AGTGTCGAACACTTCAGTCAGCTGGAAAAAGTCGAAGGAAAAAGGGAAAAAAAAGACACAAGGATATAAGAAAAGAGAAGGAAAAGGCAAATACGGCGGAGCAATCATCTGGATCTGACTCCGAGGAGGAACAGAGTCATATTGCATTGGAACATGTACATATTTCCAAGCCACTTGCTAAATGCATTCAAGCTTACCTTGTGTCGGAACCCAATAAGACCAAAACAACAATTATTATTGACTCCGGAGCAACATCCCACATGGTCCCTCACCGCTCCTGGTTTGAGCCAGGAACATACCATGTTCTGCATCCTCCGAGGACAATCAGTTTTGGGGATGAATCCTCTGTAAATGCTATTGGAATTGGAACAGTAATCCTACAAGCAACCGTTGGCAAAAAGGACTACAATATTGCACTGTCAAATGTCTTACTTGTGCCAAACTTCACTTTAGCACTCGTCTCTGTCCACAAATTGTCCAAAACAGGGTTATCAACACTTTTTCCAGCAGGGTCAAACACTTGTGAAGTTCGGAAAAAGGAGGAACTTATCCTCACTGCCTTACACAAGCGAGGACTTTATCACATCCAAGCAAAACCCGAAATCAACCCGGAGTCAGCTTTTGCAGCAGTAGATGTAAATTTATTGCACAGGAGAATAGGACACATTGGAATGGACCGCTTGCAACGAATGGTTACAAAAGGACAGCTCCAGGACATAGACACCCTTACCGGAACCCCGGAGTTTTGTGAATCTTGTGCTTTAGGAAAAATGAAGAAATTACCTTTCAAGTCCACTGGAGGAAACCGAGCCAAGCGCCCCATACAAATTGTGCACACAGATGTTGGAGGACCAATCAAACCAACTTCCAGGGAGGGTTTTTGGTACTGGATTATCATTGTAGATGATTTCTCCAAATTTCCATGGATATACTTCCTAAAACATAAAAGTGAAACACTGAAACGATACAAGCAATGGAAAGAAGATGTCCAAACATTCTTCTGGACTCATTTGGGAGAAGAAAACTTCACTCCACTGTACACAGAATTCCTCCGGAGCAATGGGGGAGGAGAATATACTGGCAATGCATTCAAAAATCAACTCCGAGGAGATGGTGTCATCCAAGAAACTACAGCTGCAGATACTCTGGAACAAAATGGCATTGCAGAATGCATGAATCAGACATTGGCTACATTAGCAACCACTATGCTCCATGATTCCAAGCTCCCAAAGTCATTTTAGGTAGATGCCATGCAAACAGCTGCATATATCACAGCACGCAGCCCAGCATCAGGACTCCATGGAAAGACCCCATATGAAATACTGTTTAAAAGGAGAGTTGATCCAACTTTGTTTTGCCCTTTCGGATGCCAAGCATATGCCTTGATTCCGAAAGACAAAAGGCAAGGGAAGTTTTACTCCAAGGGGCGCAAAGCCATAATGATTGGCTACACACATGGAGAGCAAGCCTACAAACTCCTAGACACTGAAAAATGAACTGTGTTTTCCAGTCGGCATGTCATATTCAATGAATCCGGAAAGGTACAAAAGGACGACACTGCTCCCTGGAACACAGACACTAGCACAGATCAGTGGGAGGGACTCATTCCAGAGAATGCTCACTATCCAGACCAAAATACATTGGAGGAGGATGTTCCTGACCCTCGGATCCGAGATCCAAATGAATTGCAAATGGAACCACATCTCCAAGGAGATGTTCCACAAGCAATAGAACCATATCAGCATGAAGATGTTCCGAGAGCAGTGGGGCAATACCTCCGTGGAGACGTTCCAAGAGCAGTGGGAGCACCTGATCAGCTAAGACACCCTCCACAACAGTCTCTACAACCAAGACCTGAACACTGGCCATCTTCAGAACGGAAAGCCAAAGTAGAGTCACAGTCAGTGGGAGGACAGCCCATCAACGTACAGCCAGCTGATGTGGAAGAAGTCCGAATACAGCTAGACAGCCTGTCCATTGGATCAGCTTCTGGAAGGCATACAACACCTCCGAGAAGTCATCCAACACCTCCAAGGAGTCCAATTCCTCCGAGGAGTGATTCAACACCTCCAGGAGTGAGTGGGGCAACACACACACAAATGCGTCTACTCCCTGGAGTACCTGCACAAGCTCCCAAAAGAGCAGTCATGCCTGCTGAAGTCCTAGGAGTACGCAGAAGCAGTCGCCAGACCCGTTCTGCAGACAAAAACCGAGATTATCAAAGGACTCTAGATGAGGAACAGTCTCAAAAAGAGCAGCATGACAACTCCATGGAGAAACCTAACACTCCTGAGGTTCATGAAGAAACATCTGATACAGAGGAGACATTCTTTGCTGGAATAGCAAGTACCGGTCCATCTAACACAGACCTTCCAAGGACACTAAAGGAAGCCTTATCACGTCCGGATGGAGAATTATGGAAGTCTGCCTTGGAGGAGGAACTCCTAAGTCTCAATACTAATGCAGTATATGACACTGTTCCACTTCCGAAGGGGGTGAAACCCATCACATCAAAACCTGTGTTCCGGATCAAGTTTGATCAAAATGGAAACATTGAGAGATACAAACTCCGGATTGTTGCACGAGGTTTTACTCAAAGGGAGGGGATTGATTACCAGGAGGTTTTTGCTCCGGTTGCAAACTTAGAGTCGATCTGAATTATTCTAGCCCTAGCAGCAAAGTACAACCTAGAACTTGATCAAATGGACGTATCCACAGCTTATCTCAATGGAGAACTTGAAGAAGAACTGTACATGCTTCCTCCAGAGGGTGTTTCTATCCAACCTGGATACTGCTGGAGATTGAAGGAATTCATCTACGGGTTAAAACAAGCTGGTCGTACATGGAACAAAACTTTTGATCGCAAGCTCCAGGAGCTCGGTTTCACAAGACTTAATGCAGAAACATGTCTCTATGTATTCCGGGACAACAAATAAATATGCTTTGTTGTTGTCTATGTAGATGACCTCCTCCTAGGAGCTTCATCCTGAAAATTCATGGATATCACAAAAGCCAAACTTGAATCCATATTCAAAATGCGGGACCTTGGAGAAGCAAAATACATCCTCGGAATAGAAATCCAACATGATTGTTCAAACAAAACAATATCCCTATTGCAACGCCAATACATTGACACAGTCCTGGAGCGTACTGGAATGAAGAACTGCAAACCTGTATGGACACCATTGGCCCATGGATCAAAACTCCTTGCAAATGCTCCAGGGGAAGATATAGATATAGTGCAACATGAGATGCATATTGAAGGGCGCCAAGTGTTATACCTCTCAATTGTAGGCTCCCTCATGTATGCCATGCTTGGAACCCGCCCAGACATTGCCTACGTTGTTGGAATACTAAGCAGACATAGCTCAGCTCCAAGGAGCCATCACTGGGAAGCTGCAAAATGTGTCCTCCGATATCTGAAAGCAACCAAGGACATGGAACTACGATATGATGGCACAGATGTCTCCATGGGCATGGATTTCTATGGATATTGTTACAATTAACATACCAGCACCTACTTACGCTTCACTTTTGTACTTCTACTTTTATTTTCCAAGTCACATGACCAGTCATGTGACCATTTACTTTACTTTACATTTTTGACTTTTCATAGTCACATGACCAGTCATGTGACACATCACCTGACCCGTGTCTAGACTCATCATGTGACCGGTCACATGCTAGACATCGGACTTTGAACTTTATTTACAACTGTACAGTACCTCATGTATTTTAGTATATATACAAGAGCAATACATGGGGAAGTACTCAGTGAGTCCTCCTGTTGTCTAGCACAACTAACTGATTGCAGCCTAAGGGGTAACCACTCCCCATCATCTTCTTTATAGTGTGTTCCTGTGTGCGCCAGAGTAAATAACTCTTGGTTGTTACAGATATTCAGATGCAGATTGGTCTGGAGACCCAGACACGTCTCGATCAACATCAGGCTTTGTTTTTATCACCATCTAAGGAGCAATTTCCTGGACAAGCAAAAGACAAAGCATGGTAGCTTTATCCTCCACGGAGTCAGAATACATTGGATTGAGCAATGCTGGACAACACCTTGCATGGCTTCAGACATTTTTTGAAGAAATTGGACATGCTCAAAATGGACCTACAACATAATAAAACTAAGTGAAACTCAGCCACTGCCCAAGAGGCTATAGAAACGACTGAGGTATTCCTATACTAAACCCCCTACTACTTATAGTCAGAGGTGCTACTCGCTACAGTATAATGACTCCTAGGAGTACAATGGTGACTCCATGGAGTGGTGGCTATGCTCCATGGAGAACAATGGCTGCTTTGGCAGAGACTGGGTTTATCCGGTTTTGTCACAAAGCAGTCGTATTTCTTCCTCTAGGTGATATCATCAATGGGATCTCGAGGGAAACTTCAAATTATCTAGTACGCTATCACAACCACGGATATATCACGCCAAACTCAGATCGAAAAGATACCTCCCATCCCGATGGCTACCTTAAGTGAATCGAAACAAAAACAGCCAAGCTGCCCGTGGAGGACAAGGTCCACGGGTTTGACATTGCTGTAGCCGCCGAGTTCAAGAAGAGACCAGATCCAGGGGACATCAGGGATGTAAGTCAGAAGTATCCTTGTCCACACCAACTCGCCAACACTTTTCTTAGAACAAACAGAAGATAATCTGGAACCTCCATAACGTAATGTGAGAGGACCCGTGTCGTCATTTTGCATATGACATCACGATTGAGAACACGAACCTGAGACTGTGGTTGAGCAATCGTGCTTTCCCTGCGGTTACTGAGCCTATCAACTTCCTCAGTGTACGTCGATGTAATACAATGTATGTCTCGGCACTCACTGTTGTTAACCCTTAGGACCTCAACAACGTCATCTCCCTCTTTTACTCATTTGGATCCATCACTGACGTGGGTCTCGGATGGGATCCCACTATTGAGCGCATCTCGATCCAGGATGAAACCCATTACAGGTTCTCTCTTCATCACAAGGATCGGCTTATGACGTTTACCACGACACGGCCAATAGCGACTTATGGCGCTAACTCTATGGTTGGCCGTGGAACTCGCGTATATGAGGCACGCAATGAGGTTACTGGAAAGGCGGTTGTTTTAAAAGACTCGTGGGGAGATTTTGGCCGTGACGCGGAGGGCGCCATATTAGAGCAGATTCTGCTGGCTATTCGGGAAAAGTTTAAACATGAAGCAGTAGAAGCAGAAAAATACTTCACGAAAGTTCTAGTCTACAAAGATATTTCAATTGGCGATATCTGCGATTCAACCTTCGATCCCATGGAGGGTGGGGGCAGCTGCACTTTTGAGTGGTTGACTGTTGATAGCAGTATGGCCCTCTCCTCACAGCGGCATTTACCCAGTGACGGACATTTACCAGATTGCGCCAGGCCCGTATTACGTGTCCGTGCGCTAGATGATGATAGTTTCATCCCGCGCAGAATTCACTCTCGCACCGTCTTTGAGGATGTGGGTGTTGCCCTTAAGAATATGACCAGCCTAGCAAATAGCAAATATCATCTGTTGTTTAAAGGACACCCTTAAAGGTAGGATACTTCCTCTTTTCTCTCTTGCATTCATTTGTTCACGCCAGAATCAGCCCTATATTGCATGCATAAAGTGGGCTGGGTGCATCGTGATGTCAGCGTTGGCAATGGATTATGGATCATCAAGCAGGGCACTGGCAAACTTGCCGGTTTCGAATATGCAAAATGTATTCATTCTAATAAGTCTCACGATGTGCGAACGGTGAGATTAATCCGACGATAACATTGATTTCACCCACTGATCACCGATTGGCAGGGCACTCCCCATTTCATGGCGGTGGAAGTAGACGCTAAGGGATACCTGTTTTCAACGGACGAGGGCGAAGAACCTCCTTTTCGGATGAATGGGTTGCATGACATGGAATCTGTGTGGTGGACCTTGATATGGGTCCTCTTTTATTATACTGACCAGAACCATCCCACTGTTGACTTGGTTAACCAGTGGAACACACTTCAAGCAATCTTCCCCAGTGTTCTTGGCCGGACCTCGCGTCTGGTTTTCTTCACCAAATTTAAATTGGTCACTGCAAGGCGATCGCGAAGACATGTGAGCCCGTTCGTCAATTTCTTCACGAATTTGCGGGTCACCTGCGAAACGGCTATCGGAGGGCGGAGGAATCGTTTCCGATCATCAAACTTGAAGATATCCTGGAAAGCATTCATAGGGAGACTGCGAAGAATCTGTTCAATGTACACAAGGAATATGTACACGGAGATGCGAGCGATGTTATCCTTTGCCCCTTGCGTAGACTTCTTACACGCAAAAGGTCAAACTCAGAGGTTCAAACATCACCAACGATGCAGGAAAAGAGGAGGCGTTAGGTCTAGCACGCGCATCTGGATAGCCTACAGATGGTATACAGTGGTTTCGCTGAAACAATTCACAGAGCAAGCTTGCTTTCTCTCTCCCAAAACAGATGCATCGCAATCCACAACAAAATATCAAGTTCACATGATGATCACGGCCTATATTTCCACGGCCCACATGTGGGAGAACAAATTTCAACAGTGCGCACAATCATCATATTTCTCCAGTCTCATCGGATCTATCTCTCAGAGCAGTCGAATTCCCCGCGATGGGCAAGTAATTTAATACCTGTTCGTGTCCATGGATAATTATAAATCCAGCGTTAAAAACTGACAGAACAAGGCAATCAATGTAAGGCATTGAATATACGATTGTTTTCATATTTGATATCCACTCATCTTTGTTGCGATCAGTTGCTGATAAGTCGCCGGATTCTGTGGGAATAGGATCACGTCACTGCTCAGGCCCTTATAACAAACGCTTATTTGCGTAGATGCAAGATTTGTAGATCACCCCCCGACGCGTTCATGGCAGAAAGCCCGGGAAGTTTTCTTATCATGCTGGATACTGCAGCCGCCCAAGATAGGGCAAGATATTTTCGAGACCAGCTGAATCAAATCACCATGGAGGTAGAGCAGTGTATCAGCCCACGGTGATTAACTCAAACCAGACACAAAGATCAAAAGAACCGTATAGGAGTGGATATTTATAGGCAGAACATCATATTATACAGGTACGTCCAGGTACATTTTAGACTATCTTGTTTTTGTCATGTTACTAGAGGGCTATCTCCCAACTTTTCCTTATCGCAAACATCATTGGTTATGAGTCAGTGAGTAGTACGGCATGAGCTTTGTGCCTGTCCTGTTAACTCAGAAATACTTCTGGCAATCGAAGTACGCCTGCTTTGCCATTCCACGATTCACTTTGACTGCTTCAAACGCTTTCATTCATAGAAGCAAATGTTTTTGATACGGTATGTTGTTGGATAAGTAATAAATTCGACATCAGCGGGAGGCCTGTGCACAATACAGTTTGAGTCGTGTAAGATAAAATGGCAGCACACTTACATACCTTTGCAGAAGATAGAATTTTTTTATAGTCGATATCCTCGAACACCAAATTGGCATACGCCTCGACCGCTCGGCAATCTTCCAAGGGAAACTCACAAGCGGGATGAATGGGGACCTCTAATCTTGATGGTAAGCCTCCCCCCCGCGACACACCAACCAACCCCGCAACTCTGCCATTTGTGGGTATTCGTCATGTATGATCAGCTCCTCCACGTGAGGCCAGCGTATTTGACCAGCTTGTATGAACCGTTGAAGGTCCATGGGGTGCTCAGTGCTTGTGCGATGAATGCTTGGTCAACGTCGCTCAATGTGACCTGTGTTACATTCGGGAATGGGGTAATATTCTGGGTGGTGACGTGCCGTGGAAGGTTGGCATTGAGAACCAGGCTTCGCACCGCTGAAAATACGGGTGGGTCCATAAAACGTCTGCGCTCCAATAGCTCATATGCCCCACACTCTCTTGGCATGTAAAACAAATCCAACTGGGTAAGGGATGGAGTGATTGGCAGCGCGAAAATTGCTGCGACATAGCCACCCGGGGAAAGAAAAATATGTGATTTTGGAATGTTGGGATGGAGATAGAAAGACTTGAGCATGGGCAGGTTCACGCTAACTGATCCCGTAAAGTCTTGGAAATTAACCACCTCTCCGCAAAGCTTGAGACTCGATAGATCGGTGCATGATGATAATAGATGACGAAATGCGTCCACGCCAGTAATCGGAAAATCCTCCGCGGTAAGAGTAAGACACGTCAAAGAGACAGTGAAAGACAGTTCGTGACAGTCTATTCCAATACTGAGACTCGGCGAAAATAACACGGAGGTATTGCGAGTGAGAAATGCAGTGAAAATATCGCCAGGTAACATTATTTGAGGTATGGTCATCCAGAGGAAAGGAGCGTCCAAAGCAGCCGTAGCGAGATAACCATGCTACCTGTCTTTCGAAAGGCAGTTTTGGAGATGGTGGAAGTTTGATGCCTTCCTCGAAGATGACCAGGAGAACGTCCCGTGGTAAATGACAAAAATGACCGCACATTATTCCGACCTGAGCGCGGGGTGATTTTCAAATGACTGGCTCGGACTTTTGGGCCTAGCGTTTGCACAAGACGAATACCGTCGATTATGACCTGGCGCAAACTGAAATTAGAGCTTCAAGAGAGGATGGCGAGTCGCGACCTGAGTTGATCTGGATACACCCATTAGTTGTTATTGACGCAGTCAAAGTCAAGGTTTTCTTCGCGGGATTGCTAGTTATTTCAGGCTCGGCCTCGGTACTGTACTTAGCGTAGAGTGGGATGTAATAGAACGGATGCTTCTCCAGCTCGGTATACAGCGAGATGGATTGGAGGTAAGCTCCTCGGAGCAATTAGTTTCGGCACCTGTCGTCGATGGCGTATCTGAGGAGAAGACCTATCGTGGGGATAGGGGCACGGCATGACTGAGTGCTCGGCGACGTAAATAGATGCCTGGAGCGGTCAAAAAACGATGTGTGTGGGAAGCTAGTGGGGTGAGTATGGATTAAGTCCGGATATGAAACCCCATCGAGAACGTCTCTGCACGTAGTTTAGCATTGGTGTGATTTCGAGAGAGGAAGCGCCTATGAATCCATAAGGTGGGGCAAAAGTAAGGTATTTCCGGGCCCATACAAGGCAGTGCTAGGCCAGTGGGGGCCGGCATGAGTAAATGTTGCAGATCAGTGTTTTGTTGATGTGCTCGAAATGCAGAGCTTTGTATGGTAGGTTAAACTGGTTTCAGCCTGCCCCATGCATATGCTCTTCGGATCCGGATCACAATGGCAGCGGTAAGGCCAGGTGCACATCTGTGTGGTCGTGTGCACATGGTGTCTAGTTCCGGCTCCAACACCTGGCCGTGGTCTGTCAATGTTTTCATGCAGAAATAAGCGGAGGATTACGGTTTCCATCGCAAAAAAGATCATCAGGTCTAGTCTCAGTCGGAGGCGTGGTACTTTGAACGACGGCAACCTGTATCTCCCACTTTGGAGCGTTTCGGCGGTACCATGTGATCCATCGTGGGCTGGTCGTCTCAGATTTGAAGTGTAGAAAATCCAAGTGGGGAGTGCATTCTCCTCGCTCGAAGTGTAGAAAATCCAAGTGGGGAGTGCATTCTCCTCGCTCGCCACGCAGGAATGCATCGACCTATTGAATGCTGTTCATTGTATTGGGGCCTGTGTAATCAATGCCCGCCCTACAGGCTTATCGGGCCACGCTATCTATGACTTATCTATGTCAACATGCCACGCCCGCTTTTTAAGCTGTCAACCTGACAGTAACGGATAATTACGCTACGAGCACAAGGCACGCATCCCGTATCAGCTTCTCCAATAATAAAAGCCTCCGGGTCCTTTCCTATCCTTCTTCTGATCCCTCATCAGTCAACACTTTCTCCCCACCTCTCTCAAGAACGATGGCTTTCGTTCAGCCCGCCGCCATCGATGGTGGACTCGATCCCCGTGTCCACCTCTCAGAGAAGGAACAAGTTGCCATCATTGGGCCTCCTCTCGAAGACGCTTCTCCTGACGGTACAGTCCCCAACTTCGAGACATACCTCTACTACGCACAGATTCAGCGTGAGCAGGAGAGAAATGACTCCAGACCTGCTCATGAAGTCGAGGAACGTCACTGGGCTGGTCTCTTTTCAAGAGCCATCAAGCCTCCACCCTCAGACAAGGCGTCTATCGCCTCCGCCACAGACGAGAAAAGGGAGCCCTCTGAGGAGAATGCCGTTTATATCAGCAAGCAGGAAAAGCGCAATGCTTCTGGCGCGCTCAGGACTGCTACCTGGTCAAGCGTCTTCTATCTCATCACGACAGGTAACGTTGCATCTATACTTTCATATCGTGGTCTCACTCCTTTCAATCCTTAGATATCCTCGGCCCCTACTCTGCACCGTGGGCATTTGCTCAGGTCGGCTATGGACCGGGAGTCGCCTGTTTCTTTGTATTTGGTGTAATGGCGGCTTATGGCGGTTTCCTTCTCTGGTGGATGTTCCTGCATCTTGATTCAGAAAGATATCCCCTGCGAACTTTTGGTGATTTGGCTCATCGCATCTTTGGAAAATATGCTCGCCTTGGTACGTACCGAATACTTCATCGCTCTGTTGATTCTTACCTTATGTCCGCTCATCAACAGTTTGTAACATCTTACAAAGCTTGCAGCTCATCTTTAATGTCGGTCTAATTATTCTTGGGTTAGTTCTTTTATATCTTTCTCCGAAAACACTCTTACATGTGTTTTATATAGCAATGGTCAAGGGCTATCGCAAATGGCCAAATTCAAAGTATGACCTTTCGCCCCTAACTGCTTTCCTTACTGAACAGTAACCCTCGATAGCTATGCTTCGTTGTCTGCAACGTTGTATGGACCTTGGCAGGTAAGCAGGCTCCGCCATGACTCGCGGGCATCTGCTCACACATATAAATAGGAATGATCTTTGGCCAAATCCGAACACTGCAGAAGTTCGGTTGGATCGCAAATTTGTCCATCTGGATGAACATCATCGTCTTGATCATGACCATGGGCGCTGTTCCTCACATGGCACCAAACTATACAGCCACCGTCGCGAACTACGTTGCCGGTGCAGTCGAACCACCAGTTCAAACCCTTGCCATCTTTCAACAGGCTTTCCAGACTCAGTTGACCGGTATCATGCAAATCGTCTTCTCGTACGGTGGAGCGTGAGTAATACATCAAATAATTTTGATGTATCTGGCTAATTGTTGTTGGCTTAGCATGATTTTCATCGAGTTCATGGCCGAGATGCGCCGTCCTTGGGACTTCTGGAAAGCTATGACTGTCGGACAAGGTTTCATCTTTGTCGTCTATATGTTCTTTGGTCTCTTTGTCTACTCTTACCAAGGCCAATATACCGTAAACGTATGTGATCTGATCTTATTTGCGATATTTATCGCTGACTTTTCTTTTCTATATATTACACAGCCCGCTAATCAAGGCATATCTGCCTATGGCCTTCAGACTGCTACCAACGCCGTTTCACTCACTGCCGGTTTAATTGCTGCCGCGCTCTATGGCAATATCGGTGTTAAAGTCATCTACAATAACATTGGTGTCGCACTCTTCAAAGCCCCACCTTTGACGGTACCACGTGGGAAGATGATCTTTGCTATCTCTGTGGTCGTATACTGGTCCATCGCATTTGTGATTGGATCAGCCGTGCCTCAGTTCAGCAACATATCTGCTCTGATCGCCGCTGTCTGCATTTTCCGTGCGTTTTTTTTTTTTCCCGGCACTCCGCGTCATTTTTGAGTTGTGATGTGAATGATTGACTGACATTTTTTTTTTTTTTTCGCGATTAGAATTCTCGTATACATTCCCTCCCCTGTTGATGCTGGGATTCACTATGCAATATGACGCTGTCAAGGGAGATGAGCAGTTTGACCCTAACAACCCCGATGCGGCGTGCCGTGTTGACTCGTGGCGACAGTTGTCACGCTGGAGGCGTGCTTGTGAGTGACACCTGTCATGTCATATTACCATTTGATTGCGAGTAACTGACTATCATCGCTTCTAATCAGTGTCCAGTCCAACCAGTCTTCGTTTCTGGTTCAAGATGTGGAACTTTTTGCTTACTCTCGCATGTTTCGCCTGTGCGGGGTTGAGCTCTTACTCCGCGATTGAGGCCATCCAACTAGGCTTCCAGACTGGTAGCGCCTCGACGTCGTTCAGCTGTCAATCACCCGTGGATAAAAGTGGATAGATGACCATTCTGTATGTAATAACGCAAGCCTCTCGCAATGAATAGTGATGACTACTACGCCAAACTCGGAGGTGTGGGATTTGTGGGGATGTGGGTAAGATTGGTAGACGTGGTGATATATTATGTATGTGGGAGTGGGGGTGTTCACGCGATAGGTGACGGTGATGGTGACGACGAGTGATGTGTGGGATATGTGCACGGGCACGCAGATTTCGTTTTCATGTCTTAAAGATGAGGGTATCAAGTGTCATTGATGTAGTCTTTTGCGCTTGTGTGGGAAGGTTGCTTCCTCCGAGCTTATTTCGTTTGTAATTCATAGATATAGTACATAATTTCGAAATATCTCTCTTCAAACTTGCTTGATGGACTGGGATGGTTTGGTTGGTTTAAAACTCAGAGTCACTTTGCAGTCAGGGGACCTTGTACTATATAAACGATAAACATCCGGTCCGTCTGAACCGTGCACCCAAAGATAGTTTCGCGATGACTGTGCGCTTTTTACAGTGATGTTTTATTCGACGTTCGGTGCCAGCAATATCAGCAACATGCAACTGCAACATACTGTGGGGCTACAAAATATTAAATCTGCACATCGTCGAGGGCATTGAGTCTGGCGGACGGCAGATGTCTCATCGTTCGAGTTGCGGCCCGTTCACCTCTGTCCTGGTCATCTGACCGAGCACCGTGACGTTCATCCCAGAGTCTAGTTGTCGAAGCCATGGCCAGCTTGTTCCGTCGAGCTCCATCGAATGCTCAACGCTCATATATCATGCTCATGACATAAACGTATGTCACACCGAGTCTCACAAACCCGTCGTTTTTCCTCCAACCCCCACCACCGATGATGCACTTTCGAGTTCTGGCGCTTTTGGCGCTTTTGGCGGCTGTAGCACCCCTGACGTACGCTGCGTCTGCAAATGTACAGGTTGGAGGCGGGACTTGCACGGTTGTGCCCTTGGGAGGTGGTCAGGACGATGGACCTAATATCCTGGACGCTTTTTCGCAGTGCGCAAGTGGGGGTACGGTGGTGCTGAATGAATACTACGTGGTCAACACCGTACTCGTCACAACTGGACTCAAAAACGTCAATATCGAGCTGAGTGGTGTCGGTATGTCTTATGCTTCTACTGTATTCTCTCTCTCGGGGCTGGGTTTATTGACACTTTCATCAGTACAGTACACTCCAAACATCGCATATTGGTCACCGAATTCCTTATTCTTGACATATCAAAACGCGTAAGTCAGGCGTTCATGAAGCAGCATTGTTATTAATTCTTGGTGATATGCAGGACTACGTACTGGTTCCTTTCTGGCGATAATATTCACCTATATGGCGGTGGCACCCTTGACGGCAACGGCCAAGTCTGGTGGGACTATCCCAATGCGGTAGGTTCTCAGTATGATGCATCTCATCCTGTTCGCGGCTAATCTCACAGCGAAATTAGACATCTGGTACGGCTGGAGGCTCGTCCACGCTATTCGCTCGTCCTATCCCTCTCACTGTCGGAAATGCTAGTAACGTCGTCATCGAAGACTTGACACAAATCCAGTCACCTTTCTGGGTAAGTCCCACTGACGCATCTTTCCTCACAGAGCATGTGTTTACAAGTCATGTGCTCAGAACAATTTCGTTTATCAATCGACTAACGTGACATATCGCAATATCAATATCTCGACCGTTTCGTACTCTTCCAACCCAACGCTTAATTCTGGTGTGTTTGCTTCGATTTTTCTTTTTGAAAGGATGATTAAGTATTTCGGTCAGATGGATGGGACATATACCGGTCTTCCTTCGTCACGATCGAAAACTCCACAGTTAATAATGACGACGATTGCGTTTGTAAGAATACTCATAGCATGTCATGTTTGTAAATACCTTGCTAACTATCCTGCATCTAGCTTTCAAACCCAACGCCACCAATATTCTGGTCCAGAACATGAACTGCTTGGCAGGTGATGGCATGTCTGTAGGCAGCTTGGGACAAGTACGTCGAGAAAAAATTCTGCTTTGATCACTTGGCTCATGGACTCTGCGAACAGTATGCAGGTGAAACCGATATCGTTGCCAACGTCACGGTCAACAACGTGACATTGACAAACTCTCAAAATGGAGGCCGGGTGAAAGTGTTTGGTGGCTCTCCTCTTGCCAATTCGACGGCCGGTGGGGGTGGCGGCTATGTCAAGGTCATCTCCAAGGTTTTGTTGACGTATATTCAGCGCTGAGGTATCTTTATCAGAATATCACCTTCTCGAACTTCCAGGTCAACAGTGTCGACTACCCTATCGTGTTTGACGAGGTTTGTCATCTTATAGGGATACTCTGGCCTCCAACGTGACGTGCTCACCTGTTCCATGGAATTCAGTGTTTCGCGACGCCAGTCTCTTGCGTGGATTACCCAACCAAAATAGCGGTTTCAGACGTCCACTGTGAGTGTCTTCTCCATCTGACCTCCCACTCCACCCCAACCTCCGAGCGTCAGATTCCAACTTTAGCGGGACGTCATCTGGGGCCGAGGGTACTATGGTCGTCGATCTGAACTGCACCATGGCGTGCACGGACATCACAGCTGGCGACATCAACCTGACGAGTCCGAATGGTGCGGCCACCTACTTTTGCCGAAACGTGACGAGCACGTCCGAACTCGATTTTAACTGCACCGACTCGGTTTGAGAGGTGTGATGGGGGGTTGGTCTGACTGTTTGTTATCGGCACCGTGGGGGGGGAACCCATTTTGTGTCACTGGTGTTCGTGTATTATATAAAGGCTCTTTTCATGTCTGCTCAAGCTTACACTCACGAGCGTAAATTGCTCATAAAACCCAAGTTAAGAAGAATAAAAAAGGTGGTGCGACTAGTAAGGCCTAGTAAGGACTAGTTACTACGGATTACTAGTATCGCATAACTGGGGGTGGACTAAGTCGTTGAGAGAAATACATTTACATGAACATTGGATTACAGGATAACTTGGATCAGTAGAGAATAGTGGATTCCATGTTTATAACATTCAACAAAGTATAACTGCGAGTCTAAGAAATGTACCACCCAAAACAAATATATGTATCCAAGGCTCGCAAGGCAGGTATAACATTCGGAAGTCTATCTTTGCAATTTTACTCAAAAGGTACACTCGTAAGCGCAGTAATCGGCTCATACATAAAGCCCCAAGTTAAAAACTATGGAAATGTCAGACTGGGGAGGTATTTTAGGCACTGGATGAACTCGACGGAGCAGTGCAGTTGAAATCGAGCTGCGACTCGCTCGCGACATTTTGGCAAACGTACGTAGCAGTTCCGTTGGGGCTGGTCAGGTTGATGCCGGTGGCGGTGATATCCTGGCACTCGGAGGAACATTCGATATCGACTACCACCGTTCCGTCCTCTCCTGACGAGGTACCGTAGATGTCAATAACTGTTTATTGAGAGAAAATGGGTTAAGAGATGTAGATGGATAGACATGAGGGCGTTACCCACAGTGGACATCAGAGATATTGAGCTGGCTGGGGTATTCGGCACAGGCGGCGGCATCCGTGTCATAACACTGGTCAACGGTGATGGGGTTGTCGACGTTCACCACTTGGAAGTTCTGATACGTTACATTCTATGAAACGGGTGGGGGGTAAGAAGAGATGGATTGCAATATGGTGAGTGGAATGGAAACGTACCTGGACATATCCTGTACCACCACCTGCTGTCGAGTTCGCGTACGGAGAGCCACCGAAGACTTTGATACGAGCACCATTCTCGGCGTTGGCCATGTAGACATTGTTCACGTATATGTTGGCGACGATATCGGTCTCCCCGGCATACTACACAAAGGACAATCGCGCTCAGTTGCTGGGCTCAAGATGAAGTAATGATGGGTATGGAGCCTTACTTGACCTAGACTCCCGACGGAAATACCGTGTGATCCATTGCAGTGCAGATTGCTGATGATGACATTCGTGGTGTTAGGTTTGAAAGCTATAAGGATGGTAGTTAATTTAGCGAATACAACAGTATCTACTGTAACTCACAAACACAGTCGTCGTCGTTGTTTATGGTGGAGTTCTCGATGGTGATGTAAGATGAACGATAGATGTCCCATCCATCTATAAAGAGTCAATACTCAACCAACTAGATTTGAAAGAGGATTCAGACGCACCAGAGTTGGCGGCAGGGTTGGATGAATAGGATACCGAAGAAATATTTATGTTCCTGTATGTTACATTGGTGGATTGATAGACAAAGTTATTCTGTGAGAGATAGAAGAAATAAGAAGCTTTATCCAGCGGAACGGGAGAAGGTCGTGCTTACCCAGAAAGGCGAGGAAATCTCAGTCAGGTCTTCGATTACCACGTTGGACGCGTTACCAACGGTGAGAGGTACCGGGCGAGCAAAAGTGGTAGATGAACCACCTGCAGTTCCAGTAGTCTATGCAATATGTTATGAGTGAGTACGAGTTGACGAGGCAAGGCTTACCTTGTTCGGGTAATCCCACCAAACTTGGCCGTTGGCGTCCAGAGTTCCACCACCGTATAAATGAAGATTATCGCCAGACAAGAACCAGTAAGTTGTGCTTTTAGGACATCATACTTTAGTCGACGAAAAAAAAAAAGCATGGAATTGCACAAACGCATTTTGATATGCCATATACAGCGAGTTTGGTGACCAGTAAGCGATATCTGGAGTATATTGCACTGGATGATAGCGTGCGTTACCACGTGCAAAGACACACTATGATACAGGTGATGGGCTTACCAGTACCACTCAACTCGATGTTAACGTCTTTGAGACCAGTAGTAACCAAGACGGTTCCGACCACGTAGTAACTGTCCAGGACTATGGTGCCTCCGTCTCCGCATTGCGAAAAGGCAGAAAGGACGTTAGGCCCATCGTCCTGCCCCCCACCGAGTGGTACGACAGTGCAGACATTCCCATTAACTTGAACATTCGCGTTGGACGCGTACGCCAGGGGCAGTAAAGCAAGTAGGGCAGAGAGAAAGCGCATTGTTACGCCACGAGCTGAGATAATCGCTGCAGCTCGTCTTCATGGCCTGCGATGTTTTTATACCAAGTCGTTGCCCGACCTGCGAAATGCGGGGTTCGCAGAAACGGAAGGGATCATGGGACCTCGATCAGCGATCATCCGAGACGCGGTGGGACAGTAAAAAACACGTGACGTCATAGCATTCAATTGCTGACGGCATTGAGCGGCCCGCCTTGTTCCCGGGCCGTTCTGCCCCCGCAGCCAAAGTCAATGTTCCACGGACATACCGCATTTTCTGATGCTTTCTCATGTGCTTGCCATCATCAAACAATATTGGGCAACACCCTCACTTTACTGACATTGGCTGAGCAAGCGATCAATCTGCAAATTTGACTGGTTGATGGAATATTCTAAAAAAGCACGTCCACGCTCAGATGAGAGTCACTCGCCTATACAGATACTGCAGGCTCCGAATACCTGGCATCAGTTGTGGTGTCCAATTTTCTTGTGCGCTTCGTACTCAAGGGTCTTTCCTGTAGTTATCCGACTCCTATGCAAGTGACGGGAATCTGGATCGTTGCTTAACCGCACTTATTCATGCTTTGTCGAACGAACCTCTAGTATACCTTCAGGCTCTGTCCATTATCCTGCCCACGGTGCCTCCAACAGGGTGGTTGAACACCTTATCTGTCAATTGAAGTGAACGCAGTCATGACTGTCAGACTGGTAGAATCCTGCAGAAAATATTCGACTCCGCGGCTCTGCTTAATGCAACTCGCGGCAACTCCCGAGTCGAGGACCTTGCTTGTACTGGTTCTTGTTCTCTTTTCATTGCAACCATGCAGTCCGCGATGTCGACAGTACAAGGATATTTGTTGTCCCTAGATACATTTTATCCTTCAGACATGGCCTCAGCGATATCCTTTTATTGCTCGTCGTCGCAGAGTTCGACACATTTGCTGCTCTCCTTCTAATGCCACTAGTATCCATTCCATACATCATGTCATACCGCGGGTCTGACAATCTGCTAGCATATATCAAGGATGCGGTGCTACCAGCTTTAGTTTATAGCCCAAGCGCCCCGGAATTACCTCCAGTAGGCCACAAAAGTCATCGTAACACAATCTCTTGCCGTCACAACTCGCATCGCCAAATTCATGTGATTCACGTTCTGTCGTCCTATAATGATCTTGTCAATGGATGTGAGTAACAGAACTAATTGTCGTGTCCGTGCATAGCTAACATTTGAAGGTCCCAGGGACAGAAAAATACATACCATGCAAGTCCTTAGGGGTGGATGATTATGATGGGGAAACGGAAGGTGTCCTTTCAGTTCCATCTGCTCGTAGATTCGCCATACCGTATATCTCCCTGAAACCCGTCTCAAACACAAGCCTGTAAATTTATCTGGCTACCGTCTTAATCCTTGCTTACGTTTTTCCAGGCTCGAATACTGGTTATATGCTTATCCTTTACGAACTGTACAACGTGTACTGCATCTTGCTTTCCCACAAATATCGCGCTGGGGTTTCGACCTGGGTAACCGGGAAAGCGACGACATCGATGATATTTTCCGAAATACCGTTTGGACGCATCTATACGACGCGTCCAGCGCTGAGATCAGTAGGAAATCTGTGATTTTGATATGCCAGCCTCCTTGGGTGCTCAGTCCAGAAGACATGTTGCAGTTTATCGAGATGAAGTCGGTACGTGCTTGTGCTCATTCTTCTCAAGTCTCACACTGAGGCACAACCTCAGCTACCCACGCAAAGTGCATCCTACCAAAGTAAAGAACGCTTATGGGCCAGGGTAAATCTGTGATGTGAATTCTGCTCAGTCGTTGGGCTCAACTGTGTGAAATGACAGATATGGGATATATGCACAAGCAAGCGAAGTCCATACTTCATCCTTACCAGCTATCAAAAGTGGATCTTCGGCTCGTTTTCCAGAGGTAATTTACGAATCGTACGAATAAACGTTGATTCTCAGTATTATTATCTAGGGTGGACTGCAGCTTTCGTTTCTCCCGTGTATGATTCTTCCTCGCACAATCCTACTATCATCCAAGCTTTAGTATATTGGCTTGCCTCAGCTGCTGATTTACCTGAAGGCTTTATACATCCAGATGTACGCATTTCTACTTCCTTAGCTTATCCCACTCTGATTGTGTGCAGTGCCCAGAGCCTGTTATGAACATGACACCTCAGTTCGCGGCCTCGGACGCAGGTTCCGATGCTAGCAGTATTGCTTTTGCGTGGTCGGAGTCGAGATGGAGTGGTCAGAGTCAAGGTAGTTTTTAGTTCGACTATCCCTGGAGCACGGCTTGAATATAGATTTCCGTAGAACCTGGGTCTTCCGCCGGCTTTAACACACTTGTACCGGATATCTCAGATAATGAAGGGTCGGTCGTGGGGCGCATCCAAGGACCTTTACACATGATGCCCATACAGCCCCTTTGGAAAAGTCGTGCAAAAGTAGAAGAATGGCGCTCGAAATTACTACCAGTGGAAAACACACCCCCTCGTTTGTCTATGGATGAGAGCAATCAGGCGGGATTCTCTGAGCCAGTGCCTGAATACGCCGGCAGTGAAGCCTCCACTGAGTCTGATGAGACTATTATTGATATGCCTGTGGGTCACTGGCTTGCGAGCGGTTGTCGTGCAGCTTCTGTAGACCAGCGGTGCGTGATGCCATCTCTGAATTGTTTGACGTCGCTGATGAAAGGTACGCATACAGAATTTAAACCAGGCAATGTAATGCACGAAGCTCGGTTCATCCCCGCGCTTTACAAGAAACGAGACATCAATGAATACCTGGATGTGGGAAGCTTATGTCCATTGTTCAGGCACAAATGGGTGTCTGTCAGTAGCCCCCGCCCATCCGGGGCAAAGTCGACAGTGACACGACATACACTCACGGTGTTCGGATACGTATGATCCTTTTGAATGTCGAATGTCGATTGGTCTCGTTCTGCATTATAAACTTGATCGCCAAATGCTGACTGAGTCAGCCGCGTGAACCTGACTAAGGTCGATTGTTTCCTTTGCTTAGAAAGTTGATTCTTGAAGGATGGGATGATGTTGAGAAACAAAGAGCACGAATGATTGGATATAGCGTCATCGTCGATGTGAACCTGACCGTAGTGCGGCGCTACAACAGTATTAGGCCTTTTGCACTGCCACCGACACATGGCATATCGCGGTCTCGGTTATACTCTCGGCGAAGAGATATGTATTAGCAAGCTCGAAGCTTTGCTCCCCCAAGCTGACCATTCAAATTCACAATGTGACAAACAGATGGCGTAACTCTTCTTTCCTTACGAATATCACAGCGAGCAAGAGCATATAAAGGGCCCAAGGATCAACGTTAATCAACACCCCCACGACCTACAAACTTAGTACAAAGCCCCATATTCTCACACATTGACATGTCCTCAGCACGTCCCCTCTTTGTGGTTGCTGGTGTCGGTAATGGATCTGGTGAGTGGTGATACTTGAATGCGCTGGTGCACACCTCCTGATCATTGTTTGAAGGCACTGGAGCTGCTACTGCGTGAGTTCGCTTCAACCCCTGACACTGTCCGGCCTTATCATAGCACGCGCATATAGTCGCCTTTTCGCAAAACAGGGTTACAGAGTTGCCCTGATCTCTCGTGGAGTTGATTCTCTTAACAAGCTCGCCTCGGAAATCAACACGGCGGGAGGCGAGGTCAGTGTCTGGAGCTTGCGAATCCTCGAATCTGACTCACCATGGTTCTATTATAGGCCGCAGCCTTTCCTATCAAAGATTACTCTGCAGCAGAGATCAAGTCTGCATTTACCTCCTTGAAAGCCCACTTCCAGAATGCGCCTCTCCGCGTGGCTCTCTTCAATGCAAGCTTCGGCGTGTGGAAACCCTTCTTGGAGATTACCGAAGAGGAAGTACAACTTTCCACTGAGACTAACATCATCGCTTCATTTGCGTTTGCACGCGAGAGTTTATCTATCATTACAAAGCAGGATGTCGAGCTCGAGAGCGAAGGCGGCGTTGCGGGTGGCATCAGAAAGAAGGGCACTCTTTTGTTCACGGGAGCTACGGCGAGTATCAGGGGCAATGTGACTACGAGTGCCTTCGCTGCTGGCAAGTTCGGAGTTAGAGCGTTGTCCCAGAGCCTGGCAAAGGAGTTTGGGAAGCAGAACATCCATGTATGCGGTTTATTTATACTCCTTTCGAGTAAAAGACTGATAATCATGATTCACAGGTTGCTCACGTAAGTCACATAACCTTGAACCTCGAACTTAATGAACTGACGCTCGCAATCAAAACTTTGACTGATTATAGACCATTATCGACGGAGGTATGTCCCCTCCTGACGTCTGTTCTTCATAATGTTGCAGCTAATGAATCCTTACTCTTACTATATAGGCATATTAACCGACAAAAGCAGGTCCTTCAGGAATGACCCTAACTGGGAAGCGAACCCAGATGTCAGATTGAGTGCGGAAGGCATTGCTAATGTATGTTAATTCTTGATCGCTCTCCTGTTCATGTCTGACATCTTTTCATCTGTCCGTTCAGTCCTATCTCTATCTTGTGAAACAGGATAGCTCTGCATGGAGCTGGGAGCTTGACTGTAAGTGGATATATGCGCTCTTTGTAGACTGTATAACTGAAATAATTGTACCAGTGCGCCCTGCACATGAAAAGTGGTAAATAGTTTTCGAAGGAAATGTTTGACCACGGCAGTGGTAGCAGATTCATGTACAAATATAAACAGAGCCGTGTACGATAGTTCGCTGTTATCAGTTTTGTTTGGGATTTGCAAGGGAGCTCCATTGTCCAGTTATTGATATTCAAGGTGAAGTCGTCGAAGTAGGGAGTAGTACATGAGATTCCTGAGGTAGACATACACGAGTAGAAACATTAATATGATGTGCTCAACTGTCAAGGTTGCATAGGTAAGGGAGAAAATGAAACGCGAGCACTCGCGTATAACTTAAATCTTCAACGAATTGGTGATACTTCCGACGAAAAGTTATAGGACATTGGGCAGCGCCGTCCAATCGCCTGCCCTCCTCGATGCGTACATGTCAGATTCCGGCCCAGACTCCAAATCAACACCGCGAGACCACTTGTCAGGACAGGCGACGAAATAGTCATCCATGGAAGTAACGAAACGTTGCTGATACTCCGCGGGTGGCACTACAGTCACGGCCTTACCTCCTGTGAGGCCATGCTTTGCCTTATATTCTAATGTTTTGGCAAAGGTGTAGCTCCCTGTAGTAAGAGTGGGTTGGCATCAGTGTGGTCCAATGGCCACGCCGGTCAACTGAACATACCTATCGTATCGACAAGACCACAAACGATGCGCTTTTGCCCTTCGTCAACACCAAGCAAGAGTCTGACAATTACCCGTGATATGAATAAATCAAACTGCAAGGGTAAGAAGAACGTACGAGTAGTCCATGATATTGCTTTTAGCCAAGAACTCTGCATCGTTCTTTATTGCTTCACGTATGACATACTTGGAGTGGGGTCGAATCAATAGCATGGACCTTTGCTGATCTTTTGAATTTGAATGAGTCAGAACGTGGATTCAGTAGCACGAAAACAAACCAACCTTCAACCCATTCTCCATCAAAGAGCGTTCTTCGTCGCTGCGGTCCAACACCATTGGGTTTCACCTTTCGCTCTTGAATACCCTTCAAATCAAATGTTTTGGAAATATTATATCCGTAAAACAGGTTTTCCATCACCAAAAGATCTGCCTTTGCTTGCGTCGTCCCGCTCTCTAGGTTCCTGATCTCAACAGTGTAGAAACCTAGCAATTTTGCGAGTACAGTTGGCTTGCCTGCCGTGGATTCCATATATCTGAAATATGATGGCGCGAGATCGTTCAAGACTTGTCTGGATTAGACATGGTGAGTTATGAGACTGCAGGCAACAAGGTACCAACTCACAGGTCTGCAACATTCCAAGCATTAACTAGAGTTTTGATGATGAATCGATCATCCGTGGTCTTCCAGAAATTCGATTTACTTTTCCCGCCTTCGGCCATCCAATTGGTACTCCTGGAAAGACTTTTGACGAAAATATCCTCAATACCACACTTCCTCCGAAGGCCATCGAATTGTTTCGCATAGTAAACCGTACAGCTGAACTTCAGCCGCTTTCCAATCGTCCAGTCGTACTTGATATGAGGACGTTCGTCAATATAGAGTGAATCAGTAAGAAGAAGTCCATGCTTGTTCCTGAAATCCTGCGCAGCTGTGTATTGAGAACCTTCTCCAGTGGATAGAAAATATCGCATGGCATTCGTAAAACCACTTGATAAGGTAGAACCGAAGTTGGACGATGTAGGTGTAGGAGCAGGGTTCTCGGAAAATAGTAGTTGGCTAGTGGTGGTTGATGCTGAATCTTTCCGTTGTGGGGCTGCTGGATCTTTTGGGGGAGGTGAAGGAGGTAGATTGATGTTATTCGTATCTGGTCCAACCGTGGAGTTACTGTCAGTGGACACCATAGAGGCATTACCGCGTTGTATGTGAGACTGTATGAACTCGGAGTTTGACAACACGCTACCCGACAGAGACGCAGTATCACTGGCAGAAGATGCATCCAACTCTTGCAGGAGCTTCCGAGTCTCCGTCGCTTCAGGTAGTCCGCTGACCTCGCCTCCGGCATGTTCCAAGTTAACCTCGACTGCCGGTTTGGCATATGATGCCAAAGATATACCTCCACTACTAACCCCAGAGGAGCTACTCCTCTCACTTGACAATTCCCCAGGTGCTCTTTGACGTAGAACATCCTTAAAAGAAAGTAAAGAGGTGTACTCTTTAGAATGTTCCTTGCGAGTGATGACAGCGGAGTAGGCATCAGCTTCATACCAAACGACCCCTTCTTGATCTGGATCAGGTTTAGCAGATGAAGAAAAAAACCTCAAGGAGTTTGCGCTAAAGAACGAAGAGTTCTCAGAAATCGAGTTCGGCGTGGTGGGGACTGAGGTATCAGCAGCTATACTTCGATTGGACGCCATCCCTGACAATTCACGTTGAAAATCAGTGCAGCTAGTAAAAAGCTCGTTAATAAGTCATATGTCAGTTTCACAATACAAGCCTACCTAAGTGTGAACGCGATGATGCTCCCCCAGTCATCTTCTTGAATTATAAAATTACCACCTGGGACAGCATGACAACCCTTACTCCACCAAGAAGGCTCCTGAACAGACAAGAAGCCTACTCCAGCTTTTCCCTTACCCAGAGATCTTGGTAAATGTTTAGTCTGCCATGCATTGAGACGTTTACTTGCGCCCCGAGCAGCGCATATAAACGAATGGCGAACGTCATTGAGGGTTGATACAGGGGTTTGAGAGAGCTGTGTATATAAGGATTGCTCTGTTCTTTGAAAAGAGTGTCGCAGACTGGAAAGACGGAGTAGAGATTGAGCATCTTGGTCTAGGATAGATGGAAGAGTACTCTTTGGCCTCGGGGTGCTCTCAACATTGTCTGGTGCCAGCTTTTGAGCAGTAGGAGAAATGGGTAAACCTGGCTGTGGTGAACTCGGCTTAGTAGGCGGTAGGGAAATGGATTCTGGGTGAGAGCTCCAATCTCCCTTTTTCGGCATGGGCGAGTGGAGATCAGATGTACTACTAGGCAGAGGCGGAAGGGAAATTACGCGAGCTTTAGGAGTAGTATGGGTGTCATCACTTCCTCCATCATATGCGTCGTCTTCAGATGGTAAGCGAGGTAACGTCTTGCGCCAGAATCGTGAGTGGTCATCAAAAGCTATTTCCTACCGAATGCAGTGAATTGGCTGCGAAAGGTAATACGACTAATATTACTTACTAGACTATCCATATGATCCGAAACGGCTTGCCACCAAGCCTTGATCTCTCTTCTGAGCACCTTTCTGGCCTCCTCTTGATCGGACTCTTTGCCTTGAAAAAATATTCGATCTGGTGTTTTACTTCCATTGTTCTTCAATATTTGAGATCTGGGCACTTGTAAATCATATATATCATCTACTTCCGTGACCGAAAATGAGACAGCGTGTTTTCTATAAGAGAAGTGTCTGATGATGTTGAAACGTGAGTGAGGAATAGGCATTTCGGCAGTAGGCCACGGTCGTTGAGGCAGCATCATATGTTCGCATAATGGACGAGCCAGCCCACAGAGGTAGGGCGAATACAGGAGCAGCTCCAGATATTTTGCAAATGAAAGTAGACTGTAGAAAAGGCAATATATAACTTGAGTCGGAAACATACAGAAAACTGTGGACGCACTGTGTTCCGTCACTCATAGGGACACGTTCAGTCTTTTCCCCACAGACCTTGCAGCTCTCTGAGATGACGATATTGTCGCCATTTTCCTTGCTTCCCACTTCAGCACTACATATATTGACTGTGATCTTTAAATTTCCGTGGTACCACCTGGTTTCGTGAGCTCCTCGTTTCACCGAGCATGCCGTGTTATAACACGGTTTGTCTGCCTCAGAACACCAATCAATGATGGTCTGGCCTAGGATTCCATCGGCGTGACGGGAGTAGTAAAGAAAAGTAACCCACTGAGCCTTCCTACATGGTTTATAAACGATGCTCGGTGATTGCGTAGCCGAAGGCGAAGGAATGGTTGAGTCAGATGCTGGTGCTAGTGTGGAGCTTGAAGTGGAAGGAACTTGTTCAGAACGCAGAAATGATATTTCCTGATGGCGCACGAAGCCAGCCAAACCGGTCATACCCTTTCCTCGTACATCTCTCCCACTCCAACCAAGAATTGTCGTCAAACCAGCCTTTTCGTCCCCTTGGAGTAAACGAGATGGATTTGATTTTTCTTTTTCGGCTATGATAGTAAGGAGTGAAGGTGGAGACACTGAGGAAGATACCCCAGGAGAAGTGGAGAGAAGAGCCTTATACTTCTCAATCCGCCTAAGAGTCGACATGAAAGGGGGGTCATTCTCCGTGTCATCCTTCCTTATTATTGGTGTTGACAGTCGATCCGATACGAAAGAAAGACTACGTAAACGAGTGAAGGTACTGTCTGCGGATGCCGGGGTTGGGTTATGGTTATGGAAAGGTCCAGAAATCGGGAGATCAAATGACCCGCCTCGCTCAACGACGGGAGATATGTTAAATGTTCTGTGAAGAAAATCATCTTTCTTCTTTGTAAAAAACGAAAATATGCTGTGACCCGGTGAAAGAAGAGTGGGACGTTTTACAGGATGTTCTTCTGCATGGTGAGGAACTGGGGGCAAAGGCGAACGTCGTGGCTTTGGGAACTGCAATTGAGCGTGGGATTCAAGTAGAGCGAATGTTTCCAGTAGTAAAGAGAGATATGTGTACAATGATATGCGCAAGACCTTGCATAGAAGTTCGTGCTGTAGGGGTGATGTAACGCCAACTAATGTGAAACTCCCTCCTACGACTCTGACGTCGTTGGAATCAGATATAGCAGAATTATCTGATAAGATGTAATCTGTCAGGAAAGTAAGATAACGAAAGTGTAGATGCGAGGACTAACCATGCCATCCAAGCCCACATAAAACCCTATGATTGTCAGAAATAGCTTCTGGAAGATCAAATGTTCCTTCTCGAAAGATACACTGTACAGCGGTGTGCATGGAAGTAGCGCTGCTATGATGGTCCCCCGAAGGTACTACATCGCCCGCAAGTGCAGATACACAGAGCAGCAAGTGCTTTGGCAGGGGCTTTGGGACAGGAACAGCAGGAAGTGAAAGAATAGCTCGCATTCTTTCCAGGGTCTGAGCTTTATATGTGTCGTCTTCATTCGTAGAACTTGAATGAGTCTTCCGCCGGCGGATCACCTCGTCTGAAGCCTTGCTCTGAGTGTCATTATCACTGGTCTGGGTGTTTGCCTTTCCTGGGACCTCTTCGACTGTCTTCTCGTCCTTCTTGTGGTCCAAACTTGCTCTGGACGTATCTGGACGGATCTTCTCCGCATTTCTGGCCCGCCTGAATCCAGTCAGCCATCCTCCAGCGGAGATGCTCTCTCCCAAGCTTTCGAGGCCAGCTTCCAGTGCCTCTGCCCATGACTCTCTTGTGGCGTACTGAGAAGACAGTGAATCGTCTTCAGCTAAGACTTCCTCGATGAATTTCTTCAGGTGAGCGCGGGCATCTTCGTGTAGATTGTGTCGAATTTGTGGATGGCGAGGAACGCTTGGCAGAGGTTTCTGACTTTTATCAACCATTGAGTGTGATGATAGTATTACAATCCTTGCTGCACCAGGTCAATGTGAATGCAATCCACAACATAGGACGACGATTGTGGTTTGGTCGAAGTGATTGCCTCCACCCCGGGTTCTAGACAGGCGCCTTGGAGATTTCAGCGTCATGTTTCGCAGTCTTGTCATGTGCACGTGGCGTATATCTGAAGCAAACAATTCGCGGCGCGCTTGCAGCTTTGACCTCAACCACCATTTACCTCTTTCTCCAATCAATCTTATTGTCGGCAGTCAAGTCGTTCGTAATATCTGATTCGTTATTATGTGCTGCGCCATGAGAATTAGCTGCTTCTTGCGACCGTTTACATTGCATTTCAGGACTGCGGTGGCTGCCACGGTCTTTATAGAGCGGTGACTTTTTATAGATTCAATCTTGAATGTTGAACCTGTGATCCCATGCTCCTAGCTTCTTATTCGTCCAAGTGTCATTCTCCAAGGTCCGGCGTAGAAATATCATCCACTGGCCTAAAGCAGGCCCTGGTTCTTCTTGCTTTTACCATGCCAAGCGGCAATTCTCATATGATCAAGGAGGGCTAGCTAAGTCTGGAATGTCCCCTATCTTGGCCCCAATCGAGTCCGTCTGCGGCCCCCACAAAATACGCACGGTTCAATTGAGTAGAACTTTCGTTTGATTCGCTGCAGAACCTCTGTTCTTGTATCATTGGATAATCCTTCAGTTGAGAAGCCCCCGGCTGCGAGTATATATTCTGATCGGCGAAAATGGTTGTTATCAGGTATCTAAACTCTGATTGGCTATCACTCTCGAGTTCTGACCTGCCTCCACATGAATCAGCATTACTGGATGACGGTAATGGAATGGTGCCTTGCCGTGCCTCTTTGTTTCTGTAAGTATGCCACCCGTGGATGCTAGTAGCCTGCAAATACCGTGCAAGCCGTCTTCACGCGCGAATGATGTCTTACATGGATAATTATTCGTAAAAACAAACAAGCTATCAAGTGAATGATTGCATGTATAAACCGCACTTCTTTTCCAGCTTGCATGTAATATTTTCCGTGAACCTGAGTCTCACAGATACAAGGATGAGTAAGTCTCTTAGCCTACTTATCCTATTTCATACACCTTGTGATACGCTTTTCATTCTAGTTCACGGTGGGCGCAGGACCCTGGGACATAAAGAGTTGTTCCGCGGTGTCGGATATTGTGCTACCCCACATGCGGGGAATAATTAGCTTTGACTTCTATGACGTGAGTTATATTGACTTGCTGAGCGTCTAGGCTAATATACACAATTCCCGGGGCTTTAGACCCTCTCTGGCCGCCCGCCTTATGCACTGGGGGTATTAACATCTAAAGGTTCAACCATGAGTAGATGTCGCACCCACCTCAGTCTGGACACGGTCGACTGAAGAGCTGACACAGAACTAGCAATCTCAACGCCCGATACGTGCTTCGACTCTCACTGGCCGGCACTTGTTGACTTTCGAAGGAAATCTTTGATCCCGTTTGTTTCACAGCCCCAATTATACCAGACCACGGGTTCCTTTCTCAACAAGCTCCTTATCATTAGTTGTGGATGAGGTTCTCCACGATGATCATCTGACAACGCAGTCCCGACTCGGGTACCACATTGATATTCATGGGGTTAGTTCCATTCCTTCTGGAAGCGTTCAAGCGGCATCTAAATTCGTATATAAGGTCTTCCATAATGAACTAATTCTCCCCTCAAGCTCTTTCTGAACAATCAAATAACCATGGTGCACCCTCAGGAAGTTGATGTTATCGTAGCTGGGTAAGCCCCTATTCGTCTTGAAGTAGCTGTTTGTCTCATCACTATACCTGTAGCGGTGGTCCGGCAGGTATGTATATTGCAGCTAGCGAAATAGTTTTGAATCCTAACGCTTGATATGTAGGATCTGTTGTCGCAGGAAGGCTGGCCTATGCAGACCCTACCTTGAAGGTTATGCTCATTGAAGGTAGCATACATGAGAAACATCGTTTTCAAATTGCTGACATTGCTGCTAGCCGGTGCTAACAACCGAGATGACCCTTGGGTTTACAGGTTCGTCGTCTTACTGTTGTGGGATACAATATATTCATGCTCTATACAGACCTGGTATTTATGTGAAGAATATGCAACGAGATGGCATGTCAGTATTGTCTTAGTCTGTACAAATTTCTCCAAGAAATTGAACAGTCGTTCTTTGCAGCAATGACAAGGCCACATTCTACACCGACTCTCAACCGTCTCCGTATCTGAGAGGAAGGCAAAGTATTGTGCCGTACGTGAATATCATTTTCTCAATATCATCCTCTAGCTAAAATCCTTTTACAGGTGCGCCAACATCCTTGGTAAGAAAATTAACATAGGGGTTTCAAGTTTATAAAGCTTATAATCTTTATTGTCATACACAGGTGGAGGCAGCAGGTGAGGGGACGTTCTTGTGGTTGAGCAATTGTGCGCTAATACAGTGACATTGCTTCTTAGCATTAACTTCCAGGTACGTTGAATAATTATCTCAAAGGCGCTTAGGTATCCAATCCGTCTTTAGATGTACACCAGGGCATCCGCATCTGACTGGGGTTTGTTGCTTTTCGTGAGCTCCCTAAACCCTTCTAATATCTTCTTCAAACTATAGACGACTTCAAAAGCGAAGGTTGGACAGCCCAAGGTACGCTATGCTATCAAGCCTTTCGATAAATATCATCTGATCAGATTTTGTGTAGATCTTGTGCCTCTCATGAAGCGTGTAAGTTGAAGCATTTCGGGTAGTTGTGGGAATCGTCTAAACTATCTTCCAGTTGGAGAATTACCAAAAGCCGGTTAATAATGATACTCACGGATATGATGGACCGATTGCAATTAGCAATGGTGGACAAGTCACGCAACTTGCTCAAGATTTCCTGAGGGCTTCAGATGCTGTTGGAGTCCCGTTCAGCGGTATGTTTTGAAAGTGATATGATTAGCTGTGCATTAAAGCTCTCCTTGTGCAGATGATATTCAAGGTAATATCTCATTACAGCAACGACGGGATACGTGACTGACTTGATTAGATCTCAATACTTCACATGCCTCTGAGATATGGGCCAAGTACATCAACCGTCATACTGGGCGCCGCAGTGATGCTGCTACTGGTATGTGTTTTCTCTCATGCAGTTAATTTGGCCTAATGTCATCTCGTTATCAAGCCTATGTACACAGTGTCATGGATGTTCAGAGCAACCTTTACTTGCGCACCAACGCACGCGTTTCACGTGTCATCTTCGAGGGCAACAAGGCAGTTGGTGTAGCTTATGTTCCGTCCAGAAACCGTGCTCATGGTGCTGAAGTCCGAGAAACTATTGTAAGCTATACCCCTTATATCACCAGAGTTTGCATTTTAAAGTTATTATAGGTTCGGGCACGAAAGTATGTCGTATTGAGCAGCGGAACTCTCGGTACTCCTCAGGTTAGCCCAGTTGATCGGTTTTTGTTACACAGCTGAAGCAACCCGCATGATTAGATCCTTGAACGTTCTGGTGTTGGATCTGCCGACATGTTGAGACAATTGGACGTCAAGGTCGTTAGCGACCTGCCTGGCGTTGGGTTAGTATATTTTTTTATATGGATAATGAACAAAATTGATGTCCATAAAAGTGAGCAGTACCAGGATCATTACACGACACTGTCTCGTAAGTTCCTAGTGGTAGCTGTCTACTGAAATCACTATTGACGACATTCACACCCAGTTTTCCGTGTATCCAACGAAAGCAGCACGTTGGACGACTTCCTCCGTGGGAATAAGCAAGCTCAACAAGAGGTACGACATACCTACTGGCAAAATGCTGTATTCACTAATCGCCCTCACATCTCTAGCTCTTCCAAGAATGGGAAGTCAGCCCTGAGAAGGCGCGCCTGTCATCCAATGCAATCGATGCTGGATTCAAAGTGAGCTAGTTTTATTCAACCTCGCAGATCAGATGAGTTAATACGCGCGTAGATCCGACCTACTGAGGAAGAACTCAAGGAGATGGGTCCTGAATTCGGTGCTCTTTGGGATAAATACTTCAAAGACAAGCCTGACAAGCCCGTTATGTTCGGCTCAATTGTCTCAGCAGGTCCGTTAGATGTCTTCAGATCCTCATGTTGAACACTAACCATATTACTAGCCTATGCCGACCACACACTGCTTCCTCCCGGCAAATATATGACTATGTTAGTTTTTGCTAGTCTTATCATGACACTGTTAGCTGACTGGCATTTCATAGATTCCAGTATCTCGTGAGTAATGTTCGAATACCCTCAAAAAACTAATCTGACAATAACATGAAAAAGGAATATCCTGCGAGTCGCGGAAAGGTGCGTCTCGATCTGTAGTCTATGCCTCGCCATGTCTCATCGATATATAGATTCACATTTCGTCGACCAACCCTTACGCCGAACCCTTCTTCGACAGTGGCTTCATGAATGACAAGGCTGACTTTGCTCCGATTCGCTGGAGTTACAAGAAGACCCGTGAAGTCGCGAGGAGAATGGATGGTAAGTGGATATAGATGCGTGCATGTACTCGTCCCCTCACATGCCATTCGTATATAGCGTTCCGTGGAGAGCTCACCTCTCATCATCCTCACTTCCACCCTGCATCACCTGCGGCATGCAAGGACATCGATATCAAGACGTCCAAGCAACTCATGCCAGACGGGTTCACCGTTGGTATTCACATGGGTATGCAATGCCCTATCCACGGCTATCGTAACTTGCATTGAAATTTATTTGAAGGTACATGGCACAAACCCGGCGAACCTTACGATGCTAGCAAAGTACACGAAGACATCAAGTACACCGCGGAAGACGACAAGGCCATCGATGACTGGATCTCAGGTACGTACAATGATTCAGAGCATTATGCAGGTCTGATGGTTGTTGTAATGCAGACCACGTCGAGACCACCTGGCACAGCTTGGGTAAGCTTCTTGTTGACTGTTTCAAGTGATATTACTGACAAAATTCATCGCTGCAGGTACATGCGGTAGGATTGATCTATTTTCAGCATGAATTGCCTTCGCTGACATATTTTCAGCTATGAAACCGAGAGAAGAGGGTGGTGTTGTTGACGCGCGTCTCAACGTGTTCGGTAAGGAGTCGAATTCCACAGCATGACCCTTGAATTCCTAATGGTGCATTCTCATAGGCACCCAAAACTTGAAGTGTGTCGACCTGAGTATCTGTCCTGTGAGTGCGGAACTTCCTTGTACTTGTTCGTAAACTGAACTGCTGCCGCCTTAGGACAATTTGGGTACGAACACCTATTCTTCTGCTCTCCTGGTTGGTGAGAAGGGAGCTGATCTACTGTGCGAGGACCTCGGTATGAACTTTTTTCGCATTTCTTGGTCTTGGTCTTGATAACCCAAAATAATACTTCACAGGCATCAAAGTCAGGACGCCGCATGCGCCCGTCCCTCACGCACCCGTTCCCAAGGGTATTCCTGCCACACAGATCCCCCGCTAGTTGATCTTCCTCCAATACTCATTGAGCGAGAACAATTCTCTCGTTATCTTCACGAGTCGTGTATATTTATGCTTCTGGGATGTATGATTATGTGTGTATTTGCTGTATTCGTGTATGATCACTGCTCGTGTAAGATTTGTTTTTTTGTTAGCACGTATGTCCTGTGTCCTGTATGTAACCATTTCTGGAAATTCATCAAGGCTACCATGCCAAGTTTTACACTGCCAGTGCAGCAAGCTGTCTTAATTTCTCACATCTCTCGCCACCTAAACTAGATTTCAATCTAACAGAATCAATACAATGCACTATCTGCTGTTCACATTTCCCCACATTCTGCCAACACAAAAGGGACTAAGCAGAGTTGACTTCCAGATGACATTTTGAAAAGGACCCACCAGTAATTTTTACGACAAGTTTTGGTCTGTTATTCGGACCAGTGGGCACGTTTTCAATCTTTCTCAAGGTCAGCATTCCATCTATGACCTTACCAAACACGACATGTTTTCCATCGAGGAAATCGCACTTTGCTGTCGTGATGAAAAACTGGCAAACAATGTTATTTAGTTAGTCGACATGAAGACACCTTTAAGTTATGTGAATACCTGACAGCCATTAGTATTTGGTCCTGAGTTGGCCTGTATACAAGAATTGAGGATTTTGCGACAGGAGTCGATAACAAAAGAACTACCATGGACAGCAAGCCAGGACTGGTGTGTTTTTCTTGGAAGTTCTCATCCTGGCGCGGTAAATTGAGGGTTAGATGGCCGTCACAATTGAAGGTTTGATTTAACGTACAGGGAAATTATTGCCGTATATCGAGAAGGATCCTGTTCCGTCACCCTTCATGAAATCTCCACCTGTGAAGAAGGTTTGGGTAAGAGGGTAATGACACAGCCTGAATACATAATTCACAGACCTTGGCACATGAAGTTTGGCACGCTAATTGAAACCGAGGAATTTTGTGAATAGTTCGTGAACAACATTAGCAAGAACAGCGTACACTCTGTCCATCCATAGAAATTAACAGTGTGACCATGATATCAATGAGGATGCAGTTATGCAATACCTGTGGAAGGTTGCATTCTTGTATCCTTGAGGCCTGGCGTCACGTCTAACTTGAGTGTAAGTACGTCATTAGAACACAGATCAGAATGAGAAGAGAGGGTGGCCCATCAGCGCCAAGATCACGCACCTGCATTCACCGGTGCAAAGCTGTCTAAAATTCTCGGCTGTTCTGAATACAAGACAATAGATTGATCAAGATTTCAAAGGGGGCACAATGATCTACGTACTTGGGTACGATATCACTGAAAAGCTCCATCTTTATACGACCCGCAGGAGTCTCTCCTATGTTAACATCCATGAAAACGATGGGTCTGACGGAGGAAGACATTCTGGAGACGTATGAAGTGCGGTGTCCCGTTCTGAGATCTGACCCTCGGTATGATTAGAGGCGGGCGGAAATTGCCGAGATTTCAAGCGCCCTGTACATAATAGACGCGACTCGATAGACGCCCAAAGATAATGTTCCCTGTGGTCATGTCAAACTCATCGGTTGTCACATTAACCATCGATTGCACGGGCTATGCTCGCCGTCAATTCACATGTATCGCTTTAAAGCTTCCTTCGTCGTAATTTCAGTTCCCCTCATTTGACCAGGGAACCGTGACGAATAGACATGGATCCTCGCCGGTTCTGACCAGGACAATGCCATGGTGACATCTCAACCAGGCCCATAATCAATGTACGCTACTGCAGTCCCTATCCTAAATACAGTTAGCCTATCACAGGGTCTTGAAGGCATTTTCAGGAAATTGCTGTAAAATGTCCATCATTTTCAAGGTCAACGTTGGGCGCTAATTTGGTTTCTTCACGAGATTTTGGACTTGGCACCGACCGAGCCTAGCCTCGAGCCCTGGTTTTTTTTATTTTTCCCGTCATTTGCTCGTATAAAGGTAGGACCATGCCATCAGTGCACCTACTACACACCTCCCTTCCGCCTTCTCGACAAAAAGACACAAAAGGGTCGTTCAGGTTAAGTTTCTACACTCAAGTCCTTCCACTCTTTATCCAGTAAACACCAAAAATGGTCGGAGTCTTACCCATCATCGCTGCTGTTACTGCTGTTTCTGTTCAGAGTCAGTAATCGTCGTTGGATTTCATTTTTCATCCGCGACTGACTGATCGTTCTCAGCGTCCAAGATTACGAACAATTTACCTGCACACGCCGTCGCCCGTCAGACAACTGGTTTCGATCCCAGTGCTTTGCCCCAGGCATGCCAATCACCATGCCAGGTGATCAATACCATGACGGTACGTATTCATATCTGTTCATTGTATATGGTTATACTGAGGATCTATGTTGGTTGTTCATGTTAGGGCTGTGCTGATACTACTTGTCTGTGTACTACTTCTGTTGGTAGTAACCTCGAGTCCTGTATGGACTGCCTCGTCTCAAGCGTCCCTTCGGTGCAGCCCGATGCACAAAGCGCTCTCGATTGTACGAAGTCAGCCATAGCTAGTCGTGACCATCTTACTAAACCTTGTTCTACTATAGCGTTCAACGAAGCATGTGCAGGAACAACCGGTTTTTCTTCTTTGACTGTTCGTCTTCGAACCTATCCTCTACTTTCCTTGCAAGAGTCTCATGGTCGTCATTTTTATTTTAGCTCTCAGCATCTGGCTCTGCAACCCCCTCTGCCGGAAGCACTACCTCGGAAAGCGTTTCTGCTGCAGGTCCTACTACCAGTAACCCTGCTTCTGTTTCTGGTAGCTCCGCCCCAACCACCGCTGCAGGCGCAACTACTCCCACAGGAAGTGCTAGCCCTCAGGCTGGTGGCGCGATGAGCTTGAAGGTTGGTTTCACTTTGGCAGGTGCCATGGTGACCGCTATCATCGGTGGTCTCTTCGTGCTCTAGTTCTTCTACCATAAGGGAGAATGTGGGCAGGACAAGCTCTGTCGTTCAGTACAATACTTTCTTTTAGGGTATTAGTTGAAATTCAAATACACATTCTTTTGACTCCATCGGGATATATGAGAAGTACATATTTAAGTTACATTTTGAATTCAAATTTTTTGGGCTCAACATGCTCATGGAGTATTGGCTTATTCTCTCTGTAGCACATTTTCTTGACATTGACACATGTATCAGTACATATCCATCCGCTTCATAAATGCAATACACGTCTACTTTTACAGTAGTCATTTCGTACACATAGATCTTGTATATCCGTTCTTACTAGTTTGAGTTCTTATAAATAGATAGGAAGTGTTGGGTTGAGCCCAATCCAATCGATACCTTCAACAAAATCTTTATCGTCAATAAGGAAGTCCTTGAAACAGAGCAGGTAAGCATTGTGGATTGATGTCGAGATTCAAAAATTTCTTACCATGGGACAGTCAACAAGAGATCCTTTGATAGTGGAGAGACGATCTTTAACGCGTTTCAAAGGAATGTCAGGAACTACGTGGCCAGCCTTGACCTTGGGAATATAGCGCTGATCGATTCGTGTCAATAGGTAAAGAGTAAGGATAGGGTATTAAACAAACCTCATACGCCGACCAGTCTCGAACAAGGTTTGTCGGGACAGGACGGAAAATCTCCGTGAACGCCTCACGGTTCTTCCTTGCAGTGGAGTACCAGAGGTCGAGAGTCTCGTCTGAGAGGGGATCAGCGACGGCATCGTCCTCTGGGGAGTTCGTCTCATCTTCGTTGGGTTCGGGAGCGGCCCTCATGAAGGACGTCACTTGCTCATTGCGAGACTGACACATTTGAGGCTCAATAAGACCCAGGTGCTCTGTGATGGTATGATGTGAAGCTGGACGTTGAAACTCAAAATTGCAACTGACGCACCCCTAAAGAGTTTGCGACGGAAGGTTGCGGCAAACCGAGCAGCCATATAAGGTCGTCCGTCCATGGACGAATGAATCATGTCATCGTCTTCCACTACAAGGGCAATCTCGGAGTCTCCGTCACCCTTGGGGAAAGATTATTTGAGTACTTTGAGTTATCTGATACGATGAACATGATTACCCTTTGACTGCGATCGTTGAGATTAGCGGATCCCATCTGAATGATACTGCGTCAGACTCTGCATGGGGTGCTGTAGGTTAATACTTACGATAACCCTTCTATCATCAACAATCATGACCTTGGAATGGATATAGAGAAGCTCTGATATGTAACTATTGGAGATCAGGATCAGTGAAGGGCAATCGTCATCCATGCAAACACGCACGAGTTACGTTCTTCCTCTTCCGTGCCAAGCCAACGTTCGTCCCACAGCTCGGTAGCGTCCTGCAGCATGTGCTGGCCAACAGTGTCAGCGACCTCTTCATCCCCACGTATGTCATCGGCCCCACTCTCGAATCTTTCGATGACGTTCACAGCAGCATCATATGACGCCGGCATTGGAACCTTCTCCTTGTGAATGTCTGTCTGCTCGCTAACAACAAGACCTTCTTCGGTTTCTTGAGGGACTTTAACAAGGACTTCTTTAGGGGCATCTTCTCCCTGATAGGTGTTGCCGATCCATTGGCGAGCAAGAGCGATTTGTGCTTCATGGAATGTTACCCCCGAGTTTTGCTCCATCTTCGAGATCAGAGTTTCTAAGTAAAATATTTCAATACCAAACCGACCAAAGTCATGAATAAAGTAGACATACCCAATGGCGCATTAAGCCGATCGTAGGAACGAAGATGGAAGAAACGAATGTATTCCGACCTAAGAATTACCAAAGTCAGTGTGATAACATCGATCGACATGTACCACCTAGGAGACATACGGTTCATAGCCATCTTTGCGGATCTCCTCATATATACTGTGACCGCCACGGTTCATAGTTCGATACTGCGCAGCCATGATGGTTTTCAACGCCGATTCATTCTTCACATCTCCAGCGAAACCAGGGAGCTCTGGAATGACAACTATCACCTATAGTTCAATGAGCTATAGGACAAAAGGCAAGGAATATCAGTGATTTTTACCTTAAACTTTTTACCGTCGTGGGCTGCCTGGAGAATTCGTTCGACAAGGGCTTTAGCAATGAGATTCTTCACAGGACCTTCTTCCCTGGTGTTGGATATACTGGTAGTGGTTCCAGGAGGTTAAGAGCTGAGTATTCGTTATAAGCTCATCTTACTCACAAGAACTGATTCTCTGCATGGATCCAATCAGCTCACTACCAGTGACGATTACATTGACGAACTCACCGATGTAAATAAAGTGATTGGCCTCCCGAATCATTTGGCAGTCTGCGGAGGTATCAATTTCCAAATCGCGATGACAACTTAAGAACAACATACATGCGTTCTGGATACTGTGTTCGGTGAGCACACCATGACTCCAATCAGAAACACTGCGAACGGCTTGTACACGACATGTGCCATGAGGAGCAGGTTGGTACGGGGCTTCGACTTCGTCTCCAGGAGGTAAATGGAAGCGCTGCCTGAATTGACGTCCCATTTGATGCCATTTTTCTCGATGAGGGTGTCCTGACACAAATCATTAGCTTGAACAAAGTAACAAATGGAGAAAAAAATACTTACTGACGACAGCTTCGTTGGGAGACACATAAACATTGTGAGGTAATGCCAACCAATCATACAGACTAGACACATTTGGTTGAATGTAACCAATGACAAATTATGTATGCTTACTCGTCGTTCTTGTACTAAGATAGTTGCAGTGTAAACCTCCAGCCAAAACAAAGGTGAGTAAAGGGGTCTCACCTTTCGCCTTTTCACCTCATTCCATCGTTCAACAAAGTGCTGACAGAGGTCCAAGACAACAGAACCACATATCGTCATATGTACCTAGTGACTATATCAGCACAGGCTATGGCGGCAAACAAACGCCGGAATCGAAGACGCTAAACGTACATCATGCCAAGGCATTCTTGCAGTTTCTAAAATGGAAACCGCGTTGCTAACATAGTTTCCAACGTCTTGGAAATCCAGGACACGAGCATTATTGTAGTCTTGGCCCGGGAAAAGGGTTAACGAGAAGTCAGTAGGGTGAACATCAGCGAGGGGGTGAGTATGTGTGTCCCAACGACCAAAACATAAGTCCAAGCCTCCGACACATGCACGATGGTTATCAACGATGACAAGCTATAAATAATACTTTCAGCAAAGAAAGGAAGCTCTTAGTATCAATCACCCATACCTTCTCATGATGAGACCAAAACTCCACGGTATCTATGCAATAGAAATGTCAAGGATAGTCCTCTGGGGTATGCCAGAAACCCACCTTTACTACCAATGTGATCAGGATGACGCATACACGCGATATTGGGGTGCAGGCCTTCCAATACAGACTGTCACGTGTAAATATCGAGAGCTAGAAAGGTTATCAGTTCACGAACTTTGGTATGCTTTGAGCTCATAGACATCGTTTGAGTAACCTAAGAGAATCGTCAGATCTAACAACCTAATCGAAAGCCAATGAGCGTACCTCTTTATATACGACTACATATATCTTTACACCTTGCTGAGCTTTTCGTTTAAGAAGCCTGTCAAGTCTCCACTCCGGGTGGTATGCAGGGGGGCGACTATAAAGACTCAACAGATAAGGTCATATGTCAATAATGTAGATTCTTTACCGAAGATAAAGCTCCGGAGAGAGCCACCAGTCCTATTCAACAAATATCAAAGACGAGTGATACGCTGGGAAAGAGTGGCCGTACCAGTATGAAGATGGCATCTTGAGCACTGTCAAGCATCTCGGACAACGCATACATGTAATCATGCCCATCGATGTGCCTGATAATTATTGGAATATCAGATAACTGACATCAAAATATTGTTTGAAGTAGTGGAGAATACCATTTAATGGAATTTTGCGACCTCTGATCAGCAAAACTTTCAAAACGATGGCTTGCATTGATTTCTGCCCTAATTTCGTCGTTCAGCTTTTCCTCTGGGGAATCATGGCGACCTATATATAGGGGAAAGTAGTCAGTAAACGACTGCTTCGTCACTGATAATGCTTACGATTGGGTTCCAATATTCCTGTATACAAGATAACGGTGAGTTCCTTGATTTGGCATATCAGAGCAGTATCGTTACCTATAATCTCATCTCGAGCTCGATCGATTCCCTCAGGGAGTCGTTCCGCCAGATGTACGATTTTCTCAAGGAAAGACATTGCGATAATTGAGTTGCGACGGGTTCTTTACAGACTCTTTGTTAGTTAGCGTTCAAGTCGCTTGAGGCTATGGTTCTTCGGTCCAAGCGTTTCTGATTTTAATGTCTAGAGACATTTGATGGCGGGTACTTTTATCATTCCAAAGTTAGCACCCGTGGGAATTTCCGTGCTACTAGGTAAGTAAAACACAGCTATTCTTGTGCATGGCAGTTGCTACCCGGTCCTCACAGAAATTCACCTGCAACATGGAATTGAAATGAAAACACCACTGTCTTGTCTACGCCAAGAACGCACAATGTAGTGCCTAAAAGGTGGAGGTGGTTTCAATCCGATGCTGATAAACTTCTGCGGACACAGGTTTGGCTGTGAGGGGGCGTTCCGATGTCGCCCTGATTAGAACTCGTGAATGACAACAGACAACTTATGGGTGCCGGCGTCCAGATGATAGCGGATAAACGAGGATAGCTTACGAGAACAATGCATCGACGTTATAAATACCTGCATTATGTTTTGGAGGGGACAGGATTCTATGATCTGAGAACTCTGAAAGGATCAGAACCTCCTCCTTCTAAGCCCACCAAAATGGCCTGCCGAACAGCCCCAAGATAGTCGCTCAACTTTCGTCCATCCTGCGCGGCGAAATCATCGTACAGCTTGTACCGTGCGTCAGCCACGATACTTGCCAGCTGTAGCGCGCTTTTGAGGTTCCTGGCATTGGGCACAAACACGGAGTTAGTCGAGGGGAGAACGGATCAGATAAGAGGGTGACTCGCCCTGGTACGTGATCCCGAGAACTAAATAGCATCATGTGTAAACGAATGATAAGCTCCGGAACGTAGATTTGTCTTATGCGAGTGAGCTCGTGCTGCCGACGATCGCCTGGAAAGCATCTTTAGCAATAACTTCTGGAATATCGTGATGAGTAGAATAAGCCACCTGTGTTGCTGTCAAATATCATCCAGTCCAACGTCAGTAGCTTGATTATCATCTCGTGAGCCTGGTCAATGAGATCCTTCAAAGCAGGATTTTTCAACATTGAACCAATCAACAGACGGCAGAATAACAAACTTTATAATCTTTTAGCCATGCTGCCCGAGTATCTTTGTTCATCACAGAAACCTCGAGCGACTGACACTCTGTAACGCGCTCCAGGATCTCCCACACATTGAAAAATTGTCGATAATGGAGGTACTCTACTGCGCGATCTTCGGGCTCGCCAATAGATGCAAGCTCAGGGGGTAGCATGTCAAGAAGAGTCCGAGCTAGATGGACTCTGCCCGAGCCTAATCAGGCTTTGTCAGGCGAAAGAGCATATTTCAAAATCTTGATGAAACGCTCACCAAGGAAGTATCGGAGAATGACGGTAGCTTGCTCAAGAGCAGTGTCATACGTATCCTCCAAATATATTGTCCATTCTATTGAACGAAGTAGCAAGAGTTCCAAACCAGAAGGCGCTGGCTGGAGCGCTATGGTTGAAGGCAGTGGGCCCCTTAGGGGAGGAAGCAGCTGAAGAGACCATGTCATTATAAGTTTGTCAATTGTAACAGGGCATGCTGACCTGGAAGGCTTTCTCAATGGTCCGTTCCGCTGTCACTATCGCGACTCGGTTTATATCTAACCCGTGATCGCGGGCACGAGTCAATGCTAGGCGCCGTTCTTCAATATCGGCAGAGAGCTCCAGAGAAGTGAGGAACATGGCATATCTCTCCACCGCATTATCACCTAAAGCGCCAGCATACATAGCGATAAGGTCTCGCTGTCCAGCTGCCTGAAAGATACCATCAGAGACAAATAGTAAAAAACACCAAGATTATAACAAACTTCAAGGACTTGCAGATAGGCTTCAAGAATGACTTGGGTAGCCAGAGGAGGGACAGGAACGTCTATCATTTGCAAATAAAGACACAAGTGGGCAAAGAAGCGAGTCATGGTAGGATATCTTTGAAAGAGCGTTAGAACGTAAGTATTCTCTTTAGTGGGCACTTACTCGGAGGAACTTGGGTCATAGTGGCCTTCCTGTAGGCCATTAGCAAATCCTTCGAGCAATGGTTCTGTTTTGTCGAGGATGATATGCAGTTGCGACACATGAAAGGCGTTATCAGCTGGCGGTCTATCGGTACAGTGGTGAATGAAAGAAATGATATGACAAAATCGAAAGAATTTACCCATCCTCAACCTGCGCACTGCTTAGTGTTTCTAGAGTTCCCGTAGCTTCTTTTTCCCATTCCTCTTCTTCTGCATCTTCCGCAGCTGGCAAAATTTCTGGTACGCCTTCGTAAACCATTGACAACCCTCTCTCCCAAAACCCACCCCCCAGTCTGAATACTTCAGAGCTCTGCTTTTCTTCGCACAGAATACTTATCTGAGCCCAAAGATGATCTTCCCATGTCCGGCAGGCAGATTTCAAGATTACAGAGGTTTGAGGGCAGGGTGCTAGAGCAGCATATAAAGTGCGCTCTGGATCAGGTAAACTAGGCTGGATAGAAGGTCAATGTTTTCATGAAACACCATATCCAAGAAAAATTTTACATTGAGAGCAGCGCGTGTGCACGTAGATTTCCACAAAGTCCGACGCGGGTTTCCCTGCCATCCTTCGGCATCATCCTCATCTTCCATTGCATCCTCATCTCGTGGTTCATTGGCTGCTGTAGTATTAGCACAAAACCGGCACACGCTACAGCAAACATACTTACCTAGAGCTCTCCATTGAAACAATAGCGATCCTCGAATACTTGCGGCTCGCCAGGGTTGGTGAGCTTTCCTACATAGTTCTACAGCCTCATCCAGTCGTCCAGCGCGTACAAATGAATACAAAGCTTGTGTAAGACTCTTCTCAGACCCCTACTCCTAAAAATCAGAAGATAGTGCACGCTTCTTTCCAAACACACTTACCGCGTCATCTGCAGCCAGTGCTCGTCGATCCTCTCTATTTACAGCATCTGGGTCCATTTCTTTGACTAGACCATCTCTTGGTCCGCTACCTGTTCGTAGAGACTGCATAACGCTGTGTTTCGTAAATTTCCAGTAACCTGTTGTAACTTCTGGAAATTGAGGCGGAGGGGCAGTTTCATGCAGCCATTCTCTGACGACCACGAGTTCGGATAATAGAGGGGATGAATTCATGATAGCTTGAGCGAGTGTCGAAGTAGGAATGTATGGATTTTCAGAGAGTAAGGTGCGAGGATGTGGCATCGGTTCTGGTTCTGTTTTACGCGCTCTATATGGTCAAACGGGGTGTTAAAACCCATAGGGAAAATATAGCAGGAGATGATTTATGCATTGCACTCACGGCATCAACGCCTGAAGAAGTCCCCATGTATTTGCCTCCATACGCAGGGCATCCAGCTCTCCTTGAGTGACACCACCACTAGCATTCTGCTCCAGCTCTGCCAACCTAAACCGAGGAATCGTGTTGAAAGCGACGCGTAAGTCAAACAAATCAGTCGACGTACTGATCACGACATATTTGGCGGATACGAGGGGCAAATCCTGTTTCTGGGTCAAGAAGAGCGACCAAGTCATCCTTGGAAGACTGGCACACTGAGAGTACTTCCGCGCAGGACGAATAAAAGTCGGGGGCGTCTGCCATTTTTCTGGGTGCCGAGTTGATAGCTTTTCGTATTCGTGAACCACAATACGGACGATGTTCCTTTCGAATATATGAAGATGAGATAACTTACAGTTACAATATCACGAACATGAGACCGTGACCAAAAATCGAATAGGCAACCTTGGTTTCACTGCCACAAACGCATCCTCACCGAAATACACGTGACCACGTCCTTGTTCAAAATGTTCTGCCATGTACACACTGTAACACAGGAAAGATGATACTACATTTGTTCTACAGTACAAGAGATAACAAAAAAAAAAAAAGAAGAAGAAGAGCAAAAAGACGACCAAAGAAAAAAAACGACTATGAACATTGATATGTCCCGTTTTTCTCTCGTTAGACAGGCTCCTGTTAGACGGGTTTATACTGAGCGACGAAGCTTTGCCACGAAGCATTCAGATGATCGGCAGCGGGGTAGTAGCCATCTACAGGACTCTGCACTGGCATCATGTTTGACTGAGAGTACCATTCCTCCATCCCGGGTGGACTGGGGTTGTTATAGGTTGTGAAGTATTGAGGTGTCATATGGGCATCTGTATGGCCATTGTACATGCCCTGTTCGTGCATAGAGGGCACTGGAGGATAGCTTGGCGTAGAATGCGGTGAATGATGGAAGTGACCAAAGTTTTGTTGCCACGGGCTGAAGGTCTCCAGCGCAGAGGGTGGAGTGGATTCCTTCAAAGGAAGCGAGGAGGACCTATTCACGGTTGGAGATATGCTTGTAGGACTCTGAGAGCCTCTATTATCGTTGCCCGGGGACGGATGGGACGAGTTTTTCCGCCGGGAGACAAGTCGGGTCATGCCACCCAGCGACGATAATTTATCGATCTCGTTCTTGATACTTCCAAAATAGTTAACACGGAAACTATCCATGATTCTGCCCTTATCTTCGACAATAGCGGACTGGGCACGGCGTCTAAGGTTCTGTATAATGGGCTGCCAACCACATTTAGTTGGAATTTCAAAAAAAAGTAATAACCGGAACTTACTATGATTTTACTAGCTCTTGGATTTTCAGACACTTGCTCAAATAAGTGATTAGCCGATTCTAAGTGCGACAAAGCCGAGGGGGCCAGAGCCATCTGATTTTTTGTGGCAATTGCCCCTAAGACAATCTAGGAAAGACATGGTATGTATCAGTGATTTCCTTGGATACGAGATTATACTTACAGCACATGAGAAAACGTGTGTAAATAAGAACCACATGCGCTCAGTAATTGCAGGGTGTTGTGAGTAAAGACTTTCGATCAAGCCGACGAACGAACAAGCACTGCTATATGCCGCTAACACAGATGGTGCGTATTTACTACCCAGGGGATCATCAGGATGGTCTTCAACCGCGCGTGCGAAGAAGCCACGATGCATGTAAAAAAGTGCTACACAAGGATACCCATCGGTTACTGCAAAGCAAAGAAAAATCAAGTACGTACTAATTTCTCTGATGGCAAATGCAAGGTATCGTTGCATCGTGAGTTGTATAGATGGTTGTTCAACCTCTTTGCCTATCTTGGAGTTCCCAAAGCCAGGAACCTGCAGAGATGGGGGTAAGTAGAACTCTCGCACTTGTCTGTCAAGCTGCTGTATCGTTTTGTAGCTCGGAGTGCGTGCACCGAAAGCTTGATCTTGAACCGTGCTGAGGCACTGAGATGAAAATCGATGCTTCCACGCAGCAACTAGTAAGAATCATATGGTTGTTAGTGTTTTCTCTGGCTGCATGAGTAGATGAGTACGAACATGACATCTCAACCTCTCCGGCTTCATTCCGCGTAGTATCGTAAGCCATCTGGCAATCGATATGAGCCAAAGCAAATGATGGCGGTCTACCAAAGGTAAGACTCTTTATGATAATTATATCAGCTCTAAGGTCGATATTCCGAATAAATATATTATTATTCGCACCTGCCAAGAGTCATATGTATAGATTTCCCACATCAGCGTCCTGCGTTTTTGAGTTTCTTCGGACTCAAGGTTCCATTTCCCACTATCCCGATCTTGTTGGGTGAATTCAGTAACCTCACGTCATTACAGGAAATCCATTCTTACGAAGTCCGATCTGAAATCAGGTCAATGACAGTTATGACGAGAAATAATCAAGCTTACACCCTGAGCCAACTTCACCACTAGTCCCATTAGCGCCCAACGAGGTCCTTCAATATCGGACAGAAACATAAAGTGACACATTAAGAACTGCATAATTTCCGTTTGAGTCGCACGAGAATTGCATTATTTTCCGAATTAGATTACTTACCAATGCCTGTATTGATATGATTGACTGTTCTTCGAAAACCGAATCAAGTGATAGAGCGGCACGGCCTAGCTGGTAATATTGTTTCGATTCTTGAGAGTGTGATGGCTTATCGAGATCCATCAAAGTTCCTAAAGCTAAGACCATAAACAAAACGGCAAGTCGGTGAGAGTTTGCCGGTCCGTTATCTGGAACCAAGTCGGGATGGTATATCCGAAGAAATATCGATTCATGGAACTCGCTTTCAGGTATAGGCGTGTATCTGTAGAAAATTGTAGAAGCGTCAAAAAGACATAGCGTGAGGACGTACAGAAAAGCTGCATGTTTATAGTACATATCAGCAATATTCCGAGTAGTGGAAGCCCTGGGTAGAAAGCTTAAAAGTGTTCCTCGAGTATTTTCGGCAAGTTTAGCTGTAGTAGAAGCAAAAGGGAACGCGTGGCTGAGCCACGGGATATCGGAGGGCATAGGGATTTCGTGGTTGTCATTTGCATCGTGCTCCTCGTCGCCTTCCTCGTTCTAGAGTATGGCGTGAGTTTTATCATCAAAATCAGTAGAAAGCCACTCTTCAAACCTGAAGAAGATACTTTATGTCACATAGACAATCAGTGGGACAGTCAACTATCAAAAATCATATATTAGCACATACCCAGGAATTTGCGGTCTTCCCGAAGAATGCGGCTCGACCATGATCAGAGATTGATCTAAAGCGCTACGATCAGTATCGCCGATTTGCGTATAATGAGGCGGCGTACAAGGAGCCTATGGCGTCAATAACTTCTGTCGCTTCTTTACCGCCATCGTGAGTAGATAGTGGCTCGTCTTTTTCACGCTCCAAAGGATTCTTAATTCTCAAGAGCTCTGGCACGAGCAGAGGGTGAGCATCACTTGTTAGGGCGGAATGTGATTCGGCCAAAGCATCTTCGAGGTGTCTAACACGATTTGCCAGCTGCCCGATCTTGTCGTGGAGAACTTCCGTATTGGCCAACACGAATCTGCGATTGACTTTAAAGCCCACATCAAGAGTAACAAGACAGAAATCCAAACCTGTTTCCCTTCCCTGTCGTTAAAGAACCTGGAAATGAAATGTTAGTCGGTTGGCAACGTGGGGACGGCGCTCACTTGTGGAGCTCACCTTCTGGACATATGGCAGAGCAGCCCCTCTTGACACAGTTACTGCACGGAAATACACGGCTACATCTGAACAGACCATTGACAACATCGGTCAGGGGGGAGTGGGGAATGCAATGATGCGAAAATTGACCTTAGTTTGAGTCTATCATCGATTACCCCACGTTAGAGAAAGTGATGACGAATTGCATATTAGGTGCACACCTGCGACATTCTGCACACGAAAGAGCAGCACTTTTACGCTTGCGCTTTACGGACGGGGAGACATCTGCGAAATTAGGGTAGGCAGAGGACATGAGGTGTTGCGGGAGTGACCGAAAGGGCTCGACAAATGGACGAAAGCCTGTGAAGCTTTCGAAATGCTTTGCAGTGGACAAATGGCGATCGGGACTTGTATGATCGGTCAACGCCGAGAAACGCACAGACTCCGTTTAGATAAGTGGTGGCTGTGCACTGCTTCGATCGGGAATCTGGATCATTATCGCCACCGTCCGGCCGCCACCGGCGCCACGACCTTACGGAAACGTATCCCCAGAATCCCATTGTCAGAACAAAGTTGGAAACAGAATCAGTTTGGGATGCGGTATCATTATCACCCAGCTCCCATCAGCCCTGCAGCGCACCAGTTTCAGTCTCAACAGCTGTGCACCAGATTCATACTTGCTTTGTGGATCTTCTCCCAGTCCTTCACCATGCGGTGTGCAAGTGTCTTATCGCGTTACATAGAGATATACTACTACGACAAAGTATGCGCAACTACCGATCAAATACACAAGGGTTATGAGACTAGAACAGCACAAATGGAACAAAGATAGACATGACGAAAAATATCGAGCCGTGAAGCCCAGAATACGTACTCGTAAGATGGTGATGGTACATGGCGGTGTGGCAAGACAGAATGAAAAAAAAATGACTAGGGTATACAAAGCACAATTACGACATGACCCCACTTGTGTCACGATACTGATAGAGGTATACAGGATTCAAATTACCAGGAGCGCAAACGTATACGGCGCTTTGTCTTCTGAAGGCTAAGGAGGTCCCATGAGAGCGGGAGGTCGATGAAGAAGGTGATGCTGCTTCACCAGCTGTGCACGTTCACCCGCTAACTTATTAATTGAATTCAACAAATCTCCTCGTCGTAACGGCTCTAAAGATATAAAGAAAGACATGTCACTACACATTCAATACAGCACTTGGATAAGAGTACTTACTCGTGATGTGGTCGTCCTGTGGGAAAACCACAACGAAGGGGGTTAGATGCTTCTCTTCTGTTCGTGAAGATAATCATATCACGTACCATGCCTGCCTGCAGGCACCGTTCACGGTCACCAATCACTACCAAAGACGGTCAGCCCAGACTCGTAAAATACATAACCAATGACACTCAACTGGCGTGCGCAGTTAGTGCAATGATAGGGGTCCGTAACAACCCCTTATGCATTTCAAATGCGCGGATTAGTTCGGTGGCCTCCATGCCACCCATGAAGGGCATGGAGACATCCATCTTACAAGCAACGGTTATCAGCGGTCCCGAAACTCATAGAAGCCTCTTCACTGACCAAGATAATGTCGAAAGGCCTGCCTTGATGTATTCTGGCTTTGAAGGCATCGACTGCAAGGCTACCATTTTCAGCAATCTCAACAGAGTGACCATACTTCTCCAAAATCTTGACTGCTAGTTTCTGATTCACCATATTATCTTCTGCCAAGAGGATATCGAACACAACATCGTTTGGCGCTGCGACCGGGCTGACAGTGTTAGATTCTAGGGCAGAAATGAGAGCAGACGCGAGATCTTGAGCAGTCACAGGAGTCGTAACCTGTGAACTGATACTGTTGTCCAAACACCATTTCACTATGAACCCAAGGTAAAACGCCTTCAGTTCGAGAAAGCGATATAACACTCACAGTTGAGTCGAGGCATCGATGGTGCCAATAGGACTATTGGAATATATCTCAGATGCTCGTACTCGCGTATACATTCCGTCTGTTAGGCCCCGAAGTATAAGAAAATAGGATACAAGAGTAATGTGACACAGAAGAACATACCATGCTTAGTGAATCCACCACAATGGTATCAATGTGGGGACAGCGTTCCTTGACGGATACCTCGCTAGCATCGCGTACCACGTAGGACCTTAACCCAAGTTCTTGGATCCTTTGCACGACGCCCGTCTGGTCTCCGAAAGTATCCACGAACAAAATCGTACGTTTCTGGAATGGTTGCATCTTTTGCAGAGTGTTCTCCATGGTGCTCTGGCTAATTTGCGATGTGATCGTGAAGAAGAATTTGCTGCCCTTTGACACCTCACTCTCCACCCACATATTACCTTGCATTAGGTTGACCAACCGCTTTGAGATAGATAGACCAAGACCCGTTCCACCGTATTCCTAAGTATAGACATCAGCTATCGGAGCCGCCCAATGACATCATGACATATTCTCACTCTTGTAGTGGAGCCATCCGCCTGACAGAACGTATCGAAGATCAGGTTGAGTTTGTCCTTCGCAATACCAATCCCAGTGTCCATGACACAGAACTCCAATGTGACGCTTTGATCATCCAGTGCTAGGAGCCTCGTACTTAGAGCGACGTGGCCCTTGCGAGTGACTTTGGACGGAGTAAACTTGATGGCATTACCCACCAAGTTTGTAATGACTTGTCGCAGTCGTAATGAATCACCAATAAGTTGATCAGGAATATCAGGGTCCACGTCATATGTCAAGTCGAGGTTGTTCTGAGAGGCACGAACGACTAGCGTCTTGAGAATTCCAAACACAGTCTGGCGAAGGGAATATGAAACCGCCTCCATGGTCATCCGTCCAGCCTCGACTACAGCAAGGGACAACCTTTATTATCAGTAAAACAGGTATTATATCACGGTACAACGCACTCTTCGAAATATCCAAGATATCATCAATAATCAATAGTAGTGAGCGTGCCAAGGAGTGGACTAGCAGCAAACTCTCGCGCTGAGACCGGTTAAGATCACTGTCTAGGGTCAGCTCCGTCATACCAATGATACCATTCATTGGCGTTCTATGCTCGGCGTATCAGCAAAAAAAAAGAGAAGACTCAACATGATGTCATGATCCTACCTGATTTCGTGGGACATATTGGCCAAGAACTCGGACTTACTCCGATTAGCCAATTCTGCAGCTTCCCTAGCGGCTGTGTTCTTCTGTATACTATCCCTCAAGTTGAACACCATCTGATTGATCTGAGTCTTCAAGGAATCCATCTCTCCGCTAGCTTCAACGGTGATAAAACGAGTAAAGTCGCCATCCATAGCGGCTGCTGATATCTGCGCAAAACCACGAACTTGCGTGGTCAAATTACCGGCCATGGTGTTTACGGACATACTATTAAGGCGATATCTCGTTAGTAAAAGCGATAAACGCCATCATCGGAGGGTAAAAGCACGTACGTGATTTCTTGCCAGATGCCTTGGACATTGCCAACCTCGGCCTGGACACCTAGTTTACCTTCAGTACCGACTTCGAAAGCAACCTTCTTGACTTCTTTGGCAAATATAGCGAGCTGTGCAATCATGTCATTGATGGTGTTCACCAAGCTTAACATTTCTCCAGATACTGAGACGCCAGTAATCTGTTGCGTCAAGTCTCCACGAGCGACAGCGGTCTGGATTGATGGTTAGTGGACAGAATATGCATACCAGAAGAAAACCTACTGTCGCAACCGCAATTGTTCGGACTTGTAGAGTCAACTAAGGGAAAGGGCGGTCAGTACTAGCTCGTAATGGAATTATGATACCTACATTTGCAGCCATGACGTTCACATTATCAGTCAAATCTTTCCAAGTTCCGCCGACATTCGTTACACGTGCTTGACCTCCCAATCGCCCCTCCGTTCCGACTTCCCTGGCAACCCTGGTGACTTCGTCTGCGAATAGGCTCAAACTCTCGGTCATGCCGTTCACGGTCTCCTTCAATTCTAAGATCTCTCCACGGACATCAACTTCGATCTTCTTGGTCAAGTCGCCGCCAGCTACAGCCTTGGTCACCTCGGCAATCGAACGTACTTGATTCGTCAAGTTCATGGCCATTAAATTGACGTTATCGGTAAGGACCTGGCTGATCGTTAGCTTTCCAACTGGAAGTGACGTCAACTATGACCCACCTTCCACATTCCTTGAACATCAGGTACGTATGCTTGACCTCCCAAGATACCTTCCGTTCCAACCTCGAGCGAGACCCGGGTGACCTCATTGGCAAGTGTAGAAAGTTGGGCGACCATAGAGTTTACAGTCATCTTCAAGTCCAACATTTCACCTTGCACGTCAACGTTAACGACCTTGTTCAAGTCACCCAAAGCGACAGCTTTCGTAACTTCCGAGATAGACCGCACTTGGTCAGTCAAGTTGCTTGCCATTTTCTATCAAGATCATTAGTCAAGTCACGTAAAAGGAAATATATCTACGTACGTTCACATTCCTGGTCAAGTCTGCCCAGGTACCTTGAACACCCTCAACCCTGGCTTGACCTCCCAATATACCTTGGGTGCCGACTTCCAAAGCCACTCTAGTGACCTCGGAAGCGAAAGCGCTCAATTGATCCACCATGGAGTTAACGGTTGATTTCAAAGTTGACATTTCGCCTTCCACTTGTATTTCAATCTTCTGAGTCAAGTCTCCCTTCGCGACAGCAGTGGTAACTTTAGCAATGGACCGCACTTGATCTGTCAAGCTGGAACACATCCGATTGACCTATACAAACGCAGTCGAAATAGAATGAGCACGTTGTAGGTGAGAAAATAAATTGGTTGCATACATTTCGAACCAATTCAAACCAAACTCCCTCGACATCTGGAACATGAGCCTGACCACCCAATTTACCTTGTGAACCGACTTCCAATGTGACACGAGTAACTTCTGCTGCTAGAGCCCGTAATCTGATGACCATTCCGTTGACCGTATTCTTCAAATCCAATATTTCGCCTCGAGCGTCGACGTCAATTTGTTTGGACAAATCACCCAATGCGACTGCCTTTGTGACCTTTGCGATACTCCGGACTTGATTAGTTAAATTTGCTGCCAATTTGTTGACGACGCCGGTCAATTCACGCCAGGTGCCTTCAACGTCTAAAACTAGAGCTTGTCCACCGAGTTTCCTAAGAAAAATTTAAAAAGACAATCAATGCCCGAGTATGCTACGAACCCTTCTGTGCCGACTTCCTGACTGACACGAGTAACTTCCTTAGCGAATTGTCCGAGTTTGTCAACCTGTGTATTATACGTCTATCAATAGAATGGAAGGGAAAAGACTGCAAAATACCATTGTATTGATGACGTCCTTGAGTTGTACCATGACCACACCTTGCACCGGGACCGTAATTTTTTGAGACAAGTCACCACGAGCGACCGCATTGCAGACTCGAGCGACGTCTTGAACTTGCGCTTTTAGCAACCGTAATTCTTCGACAGCACTCATGCCGCTTTCAAAGGCAGCAGCAGCGAGCGGACCGGGGGGGACAACGAGTGGGGAGCCTGAAGGAGAACCAGTAAAACTGGCATTAATTCTACTCATCGTCATTGTATCAGTGATAGTCTTGCCGCAAGTTGGACACATAACATGGTCTGCATGAGACGTAGGAGGTGCCGAAGAAGAACTGCCGTTGCTGTATGACCTGTGTATTTTAGATGCGTCTAGATTAGATGGAATACCATCAAGAGAAAGAGACATTGAAGTGGGTAGGCGACCCAATTGACCCTTTGTGTTTGAAGTAGAAGGGGTTCTATCTTCGTCACGCTCGCTTCCATTGGCAAACATGTCCACGTCTTCGATATCGCCTTCGACGTCTGGGGTCGATTCAAGAGTACTAGAGAAAAACGAAGAAGCCGTTCCGTTTGCGGAGCCGATATGGCCATTTGACGAGGTGTTTGACTGCATATGAGTGGGAGAAGAGTTTGGAATAGTCTCCTTCTGAGAAGAGCAAGACGTGGACATGGGAATGTCGCCTACACTGCGTCTTTTCTTCGTCTCTGGGCCATTGCCCTGCCAATTCTCTGAAGCCTTTATAGAAGCCAGCGTCTCCTCAGCAGTGTACATTCTCCGAGCAACAGCTCCCAGCGAGCGCAAAATGCTATCAGTTTGCCAATCTGTAGGGCCATCATAGCGGGGGAGTGGCGTCGAGATTGGGCCAAGTTCGTAGATGGAAAGTAGAGCGATTAAGTGGGAAAGGAAAGGGTCAGACATGCCCCGTCGATAGTCGGGGATCGTGCTCATCGTCGCTGACGACGACAAAAAAAAAAAAGTCTGACTGAGACGGTGAAGAGGAATCAGAGAGCGAAACCAATATTGACCTTTTGTTAGCACCACGTGTTGTGCGGGGCACACCGCAAAAAACCGGCCTGTTGCCGAACCGGCACCGGCGTCAAATGACCTTTGTAAATGAGCGCCCCAGCAAAAATCAGTTTAGTTCGTCCCGGACATCCTGCAGTACTCGGACTCTGTACTTGCATCAGAAGGCAGAAATATGGATAACGCAGAATTTCATGCAGCAGTGAGCATATATTTAATTCATTATAGTCTATTTTGCGTCATCAATATTATCTCAAGATAGGTGTATCACGTCGTGAGGCAAATCCCTGTCCAGAAAGTCACTAGCTATGGTGAGAGAGAACTTCAAAGCTGCCCCTATGCCTCCAGAAAGTGAAGGCGAGCTGACTTTTGCGACCAAGGTCACATCGCGAAGCTCGTCGGAATGCCGAGGCATTCGCGACACGTTGGTCAAGGTAGGTGGCAATATCAAAATCATCTCTATCTGTCCAGTCTGAAATTTTCGTGGCAACGCAGCCCTCAAATTTCTCTCCCCAGATACCACGCCACCTGTTCCCTGGTACAGGGTAGTATCCTCCGCAGGCACCATATCCTCACGTGGACCTGGCACAAATGGCGCTCAAATCCAACGAGATGCTCTAGAGGCAGAGGGTGTGGAAGTCACGGATGGGCGTACAGGAGATTTGAGGGTGAATTTCGTGACTTGGGGTTGGTTTCCAGCCGTCGGAACAATCGATCTTGATGGACATCAGCCAGCAGGAGAGCAGCTCGAGGCTGACCCAGAGTAGTTGCTACAGGATGCGCCTTGATTCATTGTATGAGTATAGTCCGAGGCTGCCTAGCTTTTTGCAATACAGGTGAGTCCTCGGCGATATCGTTGCTTTCTACTCCACTGTGTCTTCCGGCGCTTCCGTTAACGTTGTCTGGGTCTAGTCTCATAATAGTCATGTATGACGTTCATGGGTGCTCGCGACATTTATGATCTAAGTTTCGTCTTCCACGAATTCCTATTTCCCCACGACCGAGTTATCCTGCACAATGTCTCTTTCCAGGGAGTGGCGTAATTCGTGGCCAATAGTGGTCGACTAATTAGGATAGCAGATAAGATAAGATAAATCTGCTATTGGTGGCTATTCATAACTCGAACCCATGGATTCCTGTGAACACCACTCGACTTCGTTAGTCCTCAGCTCTCACCAGTTCTATCTGCTACACAGACCTCATTTCTCTCCCATTTACCTCGAACTCTGCCAATATGCCTTGGGATCTTATCAAATTAAACTCTGGTACGCTCTACCATTATAAACACCACCCCCCTATAAAAGTCATTCGAGGAATCAGTGTTCGCTTACGAGTCTGCTTTGGGTTACCGATTCTTTGGTTGCAGGTTATTCCATACCAAGCATTGCATTTGGCACCTGGACATTAGGAAATGGCCAAGGCCCAATTGACCAGGTTGAGCAAGCGCTGGACACAGGTTTCAACCATATCGGTAATGCGCTTATCTTGGGATTTCCATACTATACCACTGGCATAAGAACTCATATGCGTTCCAGACACCGCTCAGAGTTATCGGAACGAAGGAGAAGCGGGGACCGCCCTTCACGAGAGTGGCCTTGCACGTTCTGATGTGTTTATCACCACGAAGTACTCAGGGACCGATGGACTGGGCATTGCTACTTCCATCCAAAACAGCATCAATAATGTGCGTCACACCACCTGTCTGAAGTCGTGTAATTAAGCACCCCCGCAGCTTGGGGTATCCTATGTAGACCTTTACCTAATACATTCTCCCCGTCTGGCTGTACCGGATATCCCCACTGCCTGGGAACAAATGGAAAAGGTACAGAAAGACGGCTTGGCAAGGTATGTTCTAACGTCTGCTGCGTAGCGTCATTAGCTCATTAGGCTTATCTATAGGAGCATCGGCGTTAGTAACTTTGGTGTCAGCGAACTGGAAACGCTGCTTGCTTCAGCCAGCATCAAGCCTGCTGTCAACCAGGTAAATAGGAAGCAATCCTTTTATTCCACTGAACAAAGGTCTGAACCTGAATTACTTGTATCTAGATCCTGTTCCACCCCTATGTCTACCAGCAGCAGCTTCCTATCTTGGAGTATGCTGCAAAGAACAATATTATCATTGAGGCATATAGCGCTCTCATGTATGTCGTCTCATACCAACGTTGGTCATTCAACTTACTCCCATTTCCTCTAGCCCTGTTACCAGACAACCTGGTGGGCCTCTAGATAAACCTCTGAGCGAGCTAGCCTCGAAATTTGGGGCAACGCCAGACCAAGTTCTCTTGGCATGGGTGAAAGCTAAGGGAGCTGTTGCTGTCACGTAAGGCGTTTCTTTCGCTTTCGCCATTTCTTGTTTGGTTACAGTAATTCTGTTACAGAACGAGTTCCAAAAAGGCCCGCCTGCAAGGATATCTCGCCGCTGGTGACATCAGTGGGTTCTTTTTTCTCAGGACGCTGACTTGAGAACTCCGTTGATTTCCCACCAAATCAGGTCTCTCTGAAGAAGACATTGCCGCTATTGACGCTGCAGGTGCTCGGGGCGAAAAGCAGACTAATGCTAAGATCACGCTCAGAAAGCTGGCTATCGTCGCTCTAGTCGGAGCAGCTGTTCTGGGCGGCTGCAGCTACTTTAATGTCAATATCATCTGAAGTTTTACAATCCGCATGGGACAGATGATCTCGATTCGTGACAATTCATTCCTTACCCGAGTCCTATAATGCTCATTACAATGTATGCTATGTATATTGTTCTTATGGATTCTGCCGAGTGTCACTTTGTCAAGTTTTCAACTAACCCTGCACTGCAAAACTGGGGAGGTACCAAGTATAGTAATCATGTGAAAGTGATACCCAGCCTCGTTGTGCTCAGCCACCTTCTGGCACTGTTCCGCAGCGTGAAACCATTGCACTTGATTCAGTATGCCAAGCTAGTAAACACGAGACCACAACACGCAGAATGACTTTTCAGTCTCATTACCCTGAGCAGCTACCTTTAATTTTCTATACCGCACCTGCCGCAGCATCCATCGACAACGACCGAACGATCATCATGGCACCTTCATGCATCTCCAGCCAGCCTGCATCTCTGAGCAAAATGGACTTGTACACAGACGAAAAACACCCTACATCAACATCACCTTCAAATTGCGAATGTGCGAATTCAGCATCACACCGGACTTGTCATAAATCACGTCTCCGTCGCATACTTGTGCCTGCATTACTCTCTTTACTAGCAGTGACGGCGCTGTTCTTTGTGGCCTGTGTCAGCGATTTTGATGTTTGGGGTGTTCTTGGAATGGGGTCTGGTGGCCCTCTGGCTAAACGACAGTCCTCCACTAACCAATCATCCTTCACGCAAAATAAACGTGTGTCTCTCTGTTCTTTTCGAACGCACTAGGCAACCTTTTTCGTAATTTGAATGCTCATGCCCATCTGTCACCAGTGTACTTGATTGTCGTTTTCGTTGGCCTCTTTTTGGTGCTCATAGCAGGTATCATGCTGAGTGCGTGGTGCTGCAGAGGTTCGTATTTCGCTCACGTTTACTACACGTGCTCACATATCGCGGCAGGTGCCTTTCAGAATCCACTGTGTTGCCCGTGTTATCTTTGCGCATGTTGTGGCGGACTTGGTAAGAGCTTGGATTCTGCAAAGATGTCACCTTTCATGCTGATGTTTTTGGCCCAGCCTGTTTGGAATGCATTGGTTGTGGGCTATGCGCTGTGGGTGTTGACGAAATGCTATAGGCCAGGCATAGAAATATTTCCGGTATGGCTGGAAAGCTAATTCGTGTATCATAAACGGCAGTATCTACACCTGTTCGCTTCGCTGATACGCTCAGGTTGTGATCCATGGACTTTTACCCCAAACATCTTTTTGGACACTTTCTTGTTTCTGTTTACGACTTCATGTATCTTAACGCTCCAGTCAGTGTTCCAGTTAATGTGGCGCGAGCTTTGAAATCCTTGATGTCGATGGCTTTTTTCTTAAGTTTCACTGACATATGTTCCTCTCCACTTAGTCGCAATCTTGTTGACTCCAATCCACAATTGCTTCTGGCTCAGAGGTAATGGATGCTACAACACACAGTAAGTGCCCACACACAGTTATTCGTTATGGTCTCAGTTTCCAAGCCTGCCACACACTTCATGAGAACATCTTATTTGCAGATATCGTCTGTCACGTCAGTAACTTGGTTTGACGGGAGCCTGAGACTAACGAGAACACACCGATTCCATATCATCGCCGTCTGGGACGCTTAGATCTCACACAGAAGAAGAACGTGTATAATAACAACTGGTACGACTCACGAGAAGTCTCAAATGATATTTCCCATCTTATGCATTTTTTGGGAGCATGTTACAAACGGTTGCTGTTTCGGGCTAAAACATCCAAATCTGATGGAGCTCCACAGGTAGCAAATGGCTCTTCGCTATAACTATTATGAACGTGCATGCTGAATGAAGTCAGAATAGCCAAGTAACCCACCTGTAGTAGTCACAACCATTTGACTGGGATAGATTCAAACATTGAAGTCTGGAGGTGGTGGTTTCGGATTTTGTGTTAGTTTTATGTCACTAACCAAATGGGTTGACTACAGTCCTGGAAGTTAGCCGTGATGTCGATAAGCATGCATCATATGTACCGAGCGCCAAGATAATTTTCAATACAGTGGCAACGCACCACGCAGACGCATGTAATTTGCTCCAACCTTTTATTTGGCTTCTCTCGCATGGATCACGGCAAAGTTCTCAACAGTTGAAAGCAAGATCCAGCTGGCTTAGTCGGTCGTCGTGATGACAGCCATGATCAACGAAGACATGATTTGCTGCAAGCGCAAAAGAGCCATATGGCTTTTAGCTATATAACTCAAAGCTCAGTACGTTGAGTACTTGATCAGCTCTGAACCTCTGGGTGACGAATCGTGTCGTGGAATTTGTCTTTTAGGTCATAAACCAGCTCATCAGTCCTTCCATGTTGTTCTCACTCCTCACTGCGGGTCTGTCTCTGGCTTCGGCCGTACAAGGATCGACCATTCCCAAGAAGAGGGCTACTGTTTGTAATGGCCATGCTGAGCTGTGCGACCGCAGCTACGGCAATGTGACATACATAGGAGGCAAGTTAGCATATGTCTGGCCGTATCGTTCATTCAATACTAACGCGTGCCTCTAGCTCACGATTCTTTTGCTTATAGTACAGACCCCGTTGCATGTGTGTAATTTCCATGCATATCGTCTTCCTTTAGTCTGAAAAGGGCGTCCGAAGTGGCCAGAGATCAAGAAGTTGATGTGCCCACACAGTTGAGCTTGGGCGTCAGACTCCTACAAGCTCAGGCCCATGAGTTCGTAATTCGATGATATGAAATTTCAAAGCCAAATACTGATAATACGACTCTAGTAACAATGGCGTTCTCCACTTCTGCCATACCAGTATGTTATCTACTTTATTTTTTATCCATCGCGAATATTGACCATTATTCTGATTAGGCTGCGTATGTGATTTAACTTGAAGGTACTAACTTTTACAACTTTACTGAAATATGGGACTACAGATTCTCTTTGATGGAGGAACTGTTGAAAGTAAAAATTTTCTGAACTATTGAACTAGAATTTAGCTGAACCGCAACTTTCAGGTTACCTTACCAATGTGACGACATTCCTTGAAGCCAACCCTAACGAAGTCCTCACACTCCTGTTCACCAACCCCGAGGGCCAATCTCTCCCTGATCAGTGGGCGCCGGCTTTCGTAAACTCTGGCGTGTCTAAGTACGCTTACGTTCCTCCTCACCTGCCGATGAAGCAAAGCGAATGGCCCACGTTGGGAGATATGATCGATAGCGGGAAGAGAGTAGTGATATTCTTGGATGCTGGTGCTGACGGAAGCGATGGAGGAGTTGTTGACTACATTCTTCCTGAATTCGATATGGTACGGGAACAGTCAATATCCTTCTTCCGGCTAAGAGCTCAGTGCTCCAATTTCTTAGATCTGGGAGACACCATTCAGCGTCACTGATTCTACCTTCCCATGCTCCGTGAACCGCACTAGCGGAAACCTGTCTGCTGCTGACCACATGTACATGATCAACCACTCTTTGAACAAGGATGTGTTTAGCACGGGTGTCATTATCAGCGATCCGATAGATGCTCCAACAACCAATGGCGTTCCTTCGTGAGCATTTTCTGGATTTTCTTTATATAAATACTGATTATCATACCATCTGTTATTGCAGTATAATGGCCAACGCAAACGGTTGTGCACCCCTTGGAGGAAACACATACCCCAACTTCGTGCTGCTCGATTTCATTGATTTAGGTGATGCCTTCACGGCTGCAGACCAGATGAACGGTTTTAGCTCTTAGACAGATGAAACATTGATTGTCGATATGTCAATATTCACGTACTTAATGATAATATGTGATTTTGTGTATCATACCGTGGCTTGGAGAGACGCGCCTTAAGATTCATCACGTGCTTGATTTCTTCCTACGCAATCTGAAGACGAATCCCTGAGACTTGAGTTGATCCGCCACTACTTGCACTGAAGCCAGCACCACCTCAGCTTGTTCTCTTCTTGTATCTGCGGGCCAAAGTGCCGTTTTACTAATATTTTTATAGCATATTTGCATTCACTTCTTTGTGCATTGTTATTGTTACTTTTCGAATAGGTATCGTCTACTTGCAACTATACTTGCATCAGGAAATCGGGGAGGAGCTGTTATAACCAGGCGGAGTTGATAACTATTCGCCAAAATGCTGTGTCCCGGTAGTGGCTTGTATGTATTGATGAAGCATTACCAGATATTAGCAGAGTAATAGTACATTGCACTTATATGATATGGCGAGTCTCATAATGTTATTCCACTGGTAATTAGTAATACAAGTGAGGGTGATTGTAGTCGAAGTCATCTCAATGGTTCGCACAGGTATAATTATGTGATGCTTTGACATCTGTGTTCATGATCCAACGTCAGACTGTCAGGTTTTGTGAAGGATGTGTATTCATGATATTAGCTAGTAATCATATCTCACATTCACAAACTGAGCCAGGGATAGTTGCTGTATGCTCCAGCAGTACTGCAAATGACTGTAATCTTTCTAATAAGACTATAAGTAATGGTAACTTGAAACTCGGATGAACCAATTCTTCTGGGGAGGGGGAGCTAACACTACAAACTGCAGTCCAAGTTTACTAATCATAATTGTATCCTACTACATCTGTCCCATCTAGATCCAGTAACAATTTGTCAGTGTCCGAGTCCTCATCTGAGTCTTGATTGTAGCCAAAGTCTTCACCTTCACAGTCTTGCAGTGTGAATTCTAGATTGACGTCCTCTTCAATAAATACATCACTGTCCTCCCCGTTATCTTTATCAAGCTGATCTGACTGGTAATTGACTATCTCAGAAGTTTGGACAGCACTGCTGCTGGGTAGATACTCCGTGAAGTTGTTTGTGGAAAAGACCCCAAGTCTGTCAATGCCTTCAGATGCTTCACCGCGGGCATATGTGTGGCCGATCCCCAAGCCCCAATGATACTGCATCATCATGTCTCGATCTACAAACCTGTAAGAAACATATTGGTAGGTTTCTTTAGCATTAAACATAGCTGGGACTAACCAAACGACATAGTACTTTTTCCAATTGTTACGATCTCTATTGGACATTTAAGGACTACTCATTTTTTTTTACTCATCGGTTATACCATCGGACCGATGACTCATTTCCTTCACATACACTTCCGTTCCTCTCGCATTCACAGTACCTATTATAGTACTTAGTCCTCAACAGACGGACCTGCCCTAGATAGGACCTAACTCCTATCACTGATTCCTTTCCATTATAAATACCATGTAACAGCAGTAGTATTCTCTAATACAATTCTACGCAGTTTACGCTTACAAAGCTAGACTCCTAAGATCAGACTTCTACTCAGAAGAAGACCAACTCCCGTTGGAAAACCTCCACTCAGAACCACGTTCTCGAACTTGTCTTCGGATAAGTCTCTTTACAAACCTCGACGAACCCTCAGACTTTGTTAAGCACTTTGTGCATAACACCAATCTTGTGCATCCTGAGCAAATTTGGACATCCTGATTCCATTGGGATGTAATTTCCCTTCATGAAATGCTGGTACTAGGTGGCAGCTCCGCAGAACATTGGCTGGGTTGACGAAGCCAAAAGCATCATCTTCAGCCATGGGAACAAAACATAGCATGTTGAGTTTGTACCAGCCTGAGTCTGTTTCTCTGTCCAAAGGACCGCACAATTCGTACCACCTCACAAATAGAAATTCCATCTTACACATATGATAAGTTGTGACTTCTTGACCAGTACATACAACATTTGCGTGGCAAATGCCCAGGACACGAGCATAATAGAATGGGTGGGAGGGGCGTCACAGATTGGTGTCAAATCCATCCAGAGGAGCTAGTAACATGATATTGCAATGATCCATGCGTGGGTTAACAACATCTTGTGCTCGGCGGATGTTGTATGTTGTGTAGTTGATGCAAAAGATGCTGTGAGTATATATTCTGTCATTTTTTAATATGACTTGAATGGAAGGTTGCTGGTTTGGTGAGGGATCATTAAGGTGACACTTGGAAACAATAGGAGCGAGAAGAGTTGATTGCATACAATGGGGTAAGTGAACCTTGAGGTTTGGTACAAAATCCTATAGCAAATCAGATTGATACTGGAATTGTACAGTATTGATTTGTCCCTTACCGTGCAAGCTGGATCGCGGGAGTACATTTTGGAGGGGAATGTGATGTGCAAAGGTGAATTTTGAGACTTCCCTATGTGATGATGGTCATCAAGAGTGCTGGCCTCCTGATCAGCAGCGACAGCACAATCCTCAGAAGACATGCCGAGCTTCTGGCACATGAGATGTATATGGGCCTCCCGACGCTCAATGTGAGTAAGCTGTTCAGTGTAGGTTTTCTTGCTGGTTTTTTTGTATCTAGACTTCCCTGTCCAGTGCTCTAATTCACCCTGGGCACCAGTTATTACAAATGAAGCAAGATATGGTTAGGTGAACTTATGGGCTCAGTAGAATAGGAGTCTGTAGTGCCAAAGAACCTGATTTGTGCAGGATAATTCCCAAGCGCATGGAGTTTATAGGTTTGTAGGTTGAATGTCTTGGGTTTTTGGGCGGCTCCTGATGATGTCAACTGAATGTCAGTGCCTTGCTGGATTTGACGGCGCCTTTGTGCATCGGCTTTGCCCCGGAGTTCCCTAGTACAGAAGGCAGAGCAAGTATTTGCAGCAAATCTATGCAATTTATCACCTAGACTTTTAGTTACTGCATCTAGTATTTTCAGAGTATTGTCAGTATGTATGCATAGTTTAGCTAAACCGTGCCAAGGAGCTATGCAGAGTAGCAAGCTCAATATTTGAGTGTTGTGTGGTTCCAGAATTAAGCCATTGAATACAGGAATGGCGCACTGCATAATGGAAAAATTGAAATGCTGCAAAAATGTTGAAAGAAACGTGAAAGGCTTACCTGTAGCAAGTTTTCAAGATGGTGGGCTGTCACTCTCCGCATTTCAGATGTGTTAGTTGTGAATTGCCGGATAGTATCACTTCTGTAAGTTGGGATCTGGCGATATCTTTGACAATTGTTAGCACTGAGTTCTAAGAGAATGAACAAAGACTAACCTTAGATCCATTCTATCTAAGAGCCCCCCATTGACGGTATCTAATATCCATAGAACATGGACAAAAAGGGACCTCCACACCCCTAGCTCGACCTCATGCATAAAATTGACAACAAACATCAAATATACATTGAAACCCAATGGACCCAGCCTGTGGGAGAATGCTTTCTGTAATGTGGAAGAGTGCCAGCGGTCAGTGTGTTGCCCATCTTCAGACACCACTACTATGCACCAAAGTTAGAAATAAGGATTTGGCCATCAGGAATCCATTAACTTTGTTGCTGTTCACAGCATAATTCTTCTTGTCAATCAAATCACAAGCAACTGCAACCTTCTTCCGCTGTTCAGCGTTGCCAATGTGGATTTTGACGACTCAATTCAGCATATTGGCGTCTTGTCCAACATTGGGAACCAAAGTCATAGGTGTTAAACACCGAGGACAGGGACAGTTTCCAAGGTTTTTTATACTCGCTATTAGTATCCTACATAAGATGAGCAAGATTGTTGCACAGAACACGTTGGACCTACTTTTCAGGGTAATCTGCCGAATATATTAGGATGTGGGGATAAAATCGACGATCAATGCCATCACAACACTTGATGATGACACCATGCTGATATGCATATAGGAATTCATCATCAAGTAGAATACACCATTGTGCATGAAAACACTTGCACTGACAATGTGTCATGAAGGTGCTAGTAAGCTTGCTGTTGCTGGTGTGAGTCTTTGCAAAATCTTTGAAACTGTCTGGGAGCTATAAATCAATAAAAACAAGTCAAACAGTGTGAATGAGCTACAATAGAGACAGCACTCACGGATTGAAAATAGACTGCATGGTTGCACAAGTGACAGGATGATTTGGCGCAACAATACTTGGATTCATTGGCAAAATAAACATAAAGTGGTGTTGAAGATGAGAACTGCTGTTAGAAAACCACAAACAAAAACAAACTAACACACAATCCTCCCAGATTCCACAGAACTTGTTTATGGGCTTTGCCTCCTAGAATAGTGGAGTGGTCTGGTTGTTTGTGGGGTGGTACGTATAAAGATCCTTCAAAGTAAAACCCAGAGATGTATGAGTGTGGGTTTTGAGGAGGAGGGATAGTTGAATTTATAGAAGGATAGGGGCTTAGTGACGAGTATAGATGAGCACTACCTTGCTAATCGTAGCACAAGGTAGGTTTGAAAATGACAAGATAATGAGGTTCCCAGTGATAGCAGGCTCCTGACGCACAAACTGTAGTGCTCAGAAGGACTCTAATCGAAGGGGATGATAATCACTTTCAAAAAGTGACGAGTGACGATGACAGCAGTTAACAGTGGTAGAAGTGGGAAGTGTTGTGACCACACTGGATCACAAGTAGCAGAGTAGTGAACTTGAGAGTAGAGAAGAAGTCTGGATTGGATTTCTTGTTGTTTTTACAAGGTAAAATACAGGGGTTTATATAGTAAAAGAGAAGTAGGCTATGCACAGTATAGCTCTGCAAAAGAATGAGAAAGAATATGAAGGAAGGAATGTACGCTGATGAATCCTGCGTAGGTAGTACAGGATAAGATTGTCAAAAAAAGAAAAGAAAGGGATAGAACAATAAATGCTGTGAGTAATATCACAGGTTTGTACAGCCATAAAGTAAAGTCCAATAGCAAAAGGAGAGCAGGAAAATCATGATGTCATGGGAAGATGCAGTAAAAAAGGGGCAAGGCAAAACACTATCAGTATCAACACAGTTCCTTTATTGTCAGTCAGGCATTCTAAAAAAATATGTGTCCATAAAAAATGATTCAAAAATCAAAAATAATCGCACTGTAAATGAATGTTCTGCTGAAAAAAAAGAAACTGGAGCCACCGGTCCACCACCTAGTCCAAATCCGACAGTTCCATGGCCTTACCAATGGACTGGTTGTGTTGGACCACCTGATCAAACGAGGGAGGGAGAGGAGTAGTTCCAATTTGGAACAAGTGAGTCCCAGGCAGCGTGTGGTAGCTGTAGCTGTAGCAAAGACAATGGACAAAAGATAAGTGTACCCAAGTGGATGGGACAGCGATGAACATGGGCAACGCAAGGGGATGAACCTTCTCCAGCTCAAAAACTACCCACCCACACTCCAACCAGGCAAGACAAGCGACCAATGTTTTGATAGTATATGATGGTAGATTGACGTCATAAAGATGGACCTGTTGCCCTATTTGAACCGGCCGCCGGGGCTTTGCTGATATCATCAGTGGCACGTGGTAGTCAACGGATCAGCGACGGAAGCGGATAGGAAGTGGTGACATCAGAAATGGTGGGGGAGCAAAGAAGATGAGGAGGAGGAGGCTGGAGGTGACGAGGAGGTGAACTAAAATGGGGATCCAGAAACAACCATCGGGTGAGAATAAAAACAAGAGTAAGGGACCCATGGTGGGGCTAGGCAAAGGAAGGGAAGTGAAGGAAACGACAAAAACGAGGACGCAATGCAATGTGTAGCCAGTGGCAACACAAAAATTTGCCGAAATGCCAAAACACGGAAAGTACTGAATGGAAAGCAAAGGTGAGCATGACTGGATTGCCTAATAGAGGTGGTACTGATTAGCCACAAGTTCAAAAAAGGCAATATTAATTACTATTCCACGTGGCACTGTGCCTGTGTGGCGCAAAGGCGAGTCTTTTTGAATATTCGCTTCGTTATTGACACCTGTCCATGCTACCAATCAACTTTGGTGCATGATAGCGGCCAAAGTTTTGCATTACCAAAGGAAGTAAGTTGGGTGGAATCTGACGAAAACATAAAACCAGCCACCACACGTTGAAGGTTGCACCCGGGCTGTGGTGGGGATTCTTGAAGTTCATAATGAGTTTTCAGAAATGTGTCTGAAGTATAAGCCTCGCTGTGGACTCGAGCTTCGTGCAATTGATCACTTGGATGGCAGAATAGTTTGTATGGCTCATAATGAAAAAGCTGGTCATCATGAGGGTTTGTGAGCTTATTGCGAAGGATCTGAATAAGTGAATGATGGAACAAATCAGTAACATGATGGTCATGAGTCCCAGGGTCCGCTGATCTGCTATGAAATGGAACTGAAATGGTTACAGGTGTTTTTTGCCAGCCTGCATCCTGATCCAGCCATTCACCATTGAGATTATTGAGGCCCAAGTCCTTGTTGATTTTGCTCCACTTCACACTTTGAATGTCTTCAGGACAAAAAGATGGGTTTCCAATGATATCAATGAGCTGCCTGAAAGATTTCTGCGACTTCTGAACACTATAATTCCAATACCAGTCTCCCAGACGGAAGCAACTTTTGTTTGGGTACGGGCTGAAAGAATGATCACTATGTCCTTCAACTCGAAATGGAGTGGGCGTGTCTTCCGAGGTATCCGAGTCTTCTGAGTCCTCAGGGTCATGTGATGGTAGCTCCTCTCTGTGAAATCGGCGAAATAGTCCAAACATGTTCCGTGGTGTGTTAAAAAATCTCTTGACACGATCACGAATGGACTGCATGCATGTACTAGCTGGAGGGTGAGAGCTACCATTCACAGTGAATGGTTTAAGATGAGAATTATCGGCTTCGAGAACTGAGATGGTCGGGTTGGATGATTGGGATAATAGAGCGGTACATAAAGGAAGAGGAGACTCAGGGAGAAAATATTGGAAGTGTAGTAGCAGACATCAATTTGCTTTGTGTGTTCTGCGCTGCGCGAGTGGTAAGTTGTTTGAAGACCTGTCCCAGTCTTCACTTGGCTCTATAGGCTGCAGAGTGATTACAGTACAGTAGGAACCAATAGTGTTGAGAATACTATGAATCTTACCACTGGGTTTGTATCAGAGGAGCTGGATTGAAGTGATTCAAAGGCAGGACCACTGGCAAGATTACTGGGCTCCCCCAGACCCCTGCTGCCATCTACTTGTTCCAATGAAGTTCCTTTGAACTCCAGTGTGACATGGCTTGACTGGAATTCTAACTGGCATTTCTTGTTGTTAAAGGCTTCCTTTGCCCTGGTCAGGGCTCCTGAGAGCCGTTTTTTCCCCCTCAAGCACAATTTTTGATGCTTAGTATATGGTCTGAGAAAAAGAACGTCCACAAACACACACCTGGCTGAAGCCTGCGGCTACTGGAATATTGTTGAAGTCCTCCATACCGCCAATTGAACTTGAATGACTTAAACTTGAAGGTGAGGACTAGTCAGACCCAGCCGGTTAACTTGAATGTCCCCTATGTCCGAGTACCAGTAGCCTAAATGATAAACTGGGGCTTAGTGGGTACCAAGTGACAATCACCCGAAGACCACTGACCTTCAAGTTGGCTCCGTAGAGTTATGATCAGCACTGCCACTGGTATCCAAAATGGCAATGTGACTCTCTCGCATGGGGGCCTCTTAGGTGCGTCTGAGTCATGATTGTGCTAGCAATGAAGATGTTACTGACCAGAGAGGCATGCACTACAGTTGCCAGTGGTGGGCAGGAGGAACTTCAAGTTAGTGGGCGGGAGGAACTTCAACTTTAAATTGAACTTACTATGCTGATAGTCACAGTTGTATTCAGGTTTCCGACAAGCCAGTTCAAGTTCAATTTGCCAGTGAAATCACTGGCAGTATGCCACACATACAACTCGGAGATACATTACAACTTATCACAACCAACTGTCAGGGTTACCACTAGTGCTAGTACAACATTTTTTTTTTACTAGTAAGACTCAGACTTGGAATGACAGGTTCACTCAGATTGGCAATACATTAGCCTCATTATCGGCCACAAAATCACAGCAACCTTGAAGGCGCCCAACTTTGAAGGTGAGTGCTGCCACTAGTTCTACCGCCATGACTTTTTCTCTCTTACTGCCTTTTCTGAACACTGAGGCAGTGCAATATTACACCTCATTTTTTGTGGCAGTGCAGGTTACACCGTAATAGTGGATCTATCAACTGATCTTACTCGCAGACAACTTGAACATTGATGATGTCTAATATCTGTAGAAACCCAATGGACCCAACCTGTGGGAGAATGCATCCTGTAATGTGGAAAAGTGCCAGCGGATCACCTGGACCACTGAAAGTGACATGGATTTGCCTGAGTTGATAATAACTAGCTTGAAATAAAGAGCCAGGCAAGCAAAGTTGAGATATTTGAGTCAGCCTGAGTGTTAGGAGCAGTATGTTAGTCGCATCTTGCATTACAAATTAAATTATCAAGAGCTTGAACTCACCATGTCTCACGGCAGCCTCAATCCTAAACACTCACAATCAGCCCTAAACCCTCGCCTGCCATGATAAATAAGAAGTCATTTTAATTGGCTGGGTACTACCACGCAGTAGGAGAATCATCTCACAGCCATCTCATTTGCGTAGGACTTGCCAGTGAATCATGCAGCCGCTTCCACTTCCACGTGCAGAACGCACCCCCATTTTCTCTTCACATTCATAGATAAAGGCCACAAGCCAAGCCAGGTCAGCTGAAGATAATCTGTTTAACGGTTTTGGACAATCCAATGTAGTCAGGCCCAACCTGGAAGTTGTGAATTCAGCTGAGTTTCCTCTGGATTCCTCCAATTCAAGATGAATCTATTGCTGAAAAAATAGCCACCCAGGAAACAGGACAAAATAGTAGGATAAAACATGGTAAGTGTTTTCAGCAAAACACTTGTTATTGAGTCATAGAACAAAAAAAAATACAGATTGCGACCAAATATATAGGCTAAAGTGCATGTCAAGCTAGCATGAAGCCCCCCGCAAACCACACTGGTAAAGCAAGTCAGTACAGAAAACTCGACGCTGTAACACAACTACTTACAGCAATATCAATCTTTGCCGGGAGAGTTTGACTTGTCACTGTCATCGTCATACACATGCTTACTACACATTCCATGAAATTGAGACCTGATATGACTTTGAGGTATGTTTACCTCAATTCCAAGGTCCTCAACCATTCTGGTGACAGAATTACTACCACGATGAGCCTGCTCCAGACATTTCACAGCACTGGGAAGCTGTCCTTGGAATAGTTTGGCCTCTATTTGGCTTCTCCGTGCTCTCATTTCCACAAACATCTTTTCTGCCTCATACTCATCTTGAACAGCCACCACAAAATCTAATAAATCTTGCAAGTTGGCACTGTTGGTGCTGATATGCAAAAGAAAGGCCTTTAACACAAAGTACAGTGAGCTCTGTTGTAGCATCCATATACTTGTACTGAGGACTCAGATTGTAAACTCACTGGGGGTGCCACAGGGAAAAGCTTGTTGGGTGCTTGAGCACTGGCACTCAAATGGGAGTTATTGCGTTGACTCATAGCTGGAGAGTAAGGAGCTCAACCCGGAGAGGGCTGACCAGCAGGCTGTTCACTTTTGGCTTGAGCGATGGGATAAGGTTGGGACATGGGGTGCTGCAAATATTGTTGCATGTCAACACTGTTGGCTTTGTATTGCTTGTAGTGTGCTAGACTTGCTTCTTGAGGAATAAGATCTGTGTTGTTTTTGCTGTTAGTACGAAATCAAACTCCTTATAAAAGGCAACTTGTGGGTACACGTGCACACGTAGCCTTAAGCCAGGTTGAGAAAGATTCTGGACCCCAGGGACCATGATGCATGCCAAAAATAATACATTCAACACTCAGGGCCTGCCAGTGGTCACTCAAACTGTGCCAACTTGAACCAGTACTGCAAGTACTGGTTCAAGTTGGCACAGTACAGCCAGACAACTCCGAGTCGGCAAGTGAGTCACTCACGCTGTTCAAGTTTTCATTCAAGTTCCTCAGGCTCACACTTCAGGTCTACAATCTATTAACAGGTTATATAAAGCTTCTAGTCAGTTCAACACACTCACTAGCAGCCCGAGTCTCCAAAATTATGCAGAATCAATGTTGTAGTAACCTCCATGCGGACAACCTCCAGTTCCAAATGGGACTGCCTCCACCCCCCGAGGCCGATCTCTCACGTCAAAATTATCTGGTGTTCATGTGAGCTCAGTGTTACCGGTCTAATCATTGGCTCAGAATTAACAAAGGTCTTGTTCAGGCTATTGACCCATCCTTGAGTTCTTGTTATCATAGATATCGGAACGAATCCTAAATAGTCCTCAAAACTATTAAAACAATCAATCATTGGAAAGTAGATCCTTGATGGTCCATTGAGTTGACTTACCAATGTCTCAACACAACAGTAATTTTTCTATTTCGTAACACCTGAGCGCTTATTGGTGACATTGATATTTGCTAGATCTGAGTCTTGATTCCAACTGGACCCGCAATTTTCTTCAGGATATTGTTGATGGCCTTCGTCGCAGATATGATGACAATGAAGAGCAAGTTGTGATTCATGCTGCGAACATTTTTGGGTTGGGTTTGATACCAGTCTAAGGCAAGTGCAGCCAGACTGATCCCCATCCATGCCATTCTCACCACACTGCGTCTCTCCATCCAGACTATGAGCAGCTCATTCAATCAGCTGCGGAGTCTATGCATGGTCAATACCAATATTCTAGTAGCACTCTCACAGCAGCAACTCATAGTGCGTATCTTCAGCTGGTATTCTGGTGGATGGGGTTTATGGATATTGTTTGATAGTTACTAGTAGTACCTTTCAAGGGACCCATGAAATGGGACCATCAGCTTGTTCATTTCAACAGGCACGTGATTTTTTCAACCAGCGAGCAACGAATTCCAACAGGCCAGCAACCAAGCCCCCAGTATTGTGTATCCAAACACGGATCTGGATTTGGAGCCAATGTTTTGACGCCTACTAGAAGTGGACAATGTTCCTGGTGTTACCGGTGTCATGCACCAAAGTTGATTGGTAGCATGGACAGGTGTCAATAACGAAGCGAATATTCAAAAAGACTCGCCTTTGCGCCACACAGGCACAGTGCCACGTGGAATAGTAATTAATATTGCCTTTTTTGAACTTGTGGCTAATCAGTACCACCTCTATTAGGCAATCCAGTCATGCTCACCTTTGCTTTCCATTCAGTACTTTCCGTGTTTTGGCATTTCGGCAAATTTTTGTGTTGCCACTGGCTACACATTGCATTGCGTCCTCGTTTTTGTCGTTTCCTTCACTTCCCTTCCTTTGCCTAGCCCCACCATGGGTCCCTTACTCTTGTTTTTATTCTCACCCGATGGTTGTTTCTGGATCCCCATTTTAGTTCACCTCCTCGTCACCTCCAGCCTCCTCCTCCTCATCTTCTTTGCTCCCCCACCATTTCTGATGTCACCACTTCCTATCCGCTTCCGTCGCTGATCCGTTGACTACCACGTGCCACTGATGATATCAGCAAAGCCCCGGCGGCCGGTTCAAATAGGGCAACAGGTCCATCTTTATGACGTCAATCTACCATCATATACTATCAAAACATTGGTCGCTTGTCTTGCCTGGTTGGAGTGTGGGTGGGTAGTTTTTGAGCTGGAGAAGGTTCATCCCCTTGCGTTGCCCATGTTCATCGCTGTCCCATCCACTTGGGTACACTTATCTTTTGTCCATTGTCTTTGCTACAGCTACAGCTACCACACGCTGCCTGGGACTCACTTGTTCCAAATTGGAACTACTCCTCTCCCTCCCTCGTTTGATCAGGTGGTCCAACACAACCAGTCCATTGGTAAGGCCATGGAACTGTCGGATTTGGACTAGGTGGTGGACCGGTGGCTCCAGTTTCTTTTTTTTCAGCAGAACATTCATTTACAGTGCGATTATTTTTGATTTTTGAATCATTTTTTATGGACACATATTTTTTTAGAATGCCTGACTGACAATAAAGGAACTGTGTTGATACTGATAGTGTTTTGCCTTGCCCCTTTTTTACTGCATCTTCCCATGACATCATGATTTTCCTGCTCTCCTTTTGCTATTGGACTTTACTTTATGGCTGTACAAACCTGTGATATTACTCACAGCATTTATTGTTCTATCCCTTTCTTTTCTTTTTTTGACAATCTTATCCTGTACTACCTACGCAGGATTCATCAGCGTACATTCCTTCCTTCATATTCTTTCTCATTCTTTTGCAGAGCTATACTGTGCATAGCCTACTTCTCTTTTACTATATAAACCCCTGTATTTTACCTTGTAAAAACAACAAGAAATCCAATCCAGACTTCTTCTCTACTCTCAAGTTCACTACTCTGCTACTTGTGATCCAGTGTGGTCACAACACTTCCCACTTCTACCACTGTTAACTGCTGTCATCGTCACTCGTCACTTTTTGAAAGTGATTATCATCCCCTTCGATTAGAGTCCTTCTGAGCACTACAGTTTGTGCGTCAGGAGCCTGCTATCACTGGGAACCTCGTCATATTGTCGTTCTCAAACCTACCTTGTGCTACGATTAGCAAGGTAGTGCTCGTCTATACTCGTCACAAAGCCCCTATCCTTCTATAAATTCAACTATCCCTCCTCCTCAAAACCCACACTCATACACCTCTGGGTTTTACTTTGAAGGATCTTTATACGTACCACCCCACGAATAACCAGACCACTCCACTGTTCTAGGAGGCAAAGCCCATAAACAAGTTCCGTGGAATCTGGGAGGATTGTGTGTTAGTTTGTTTTGTGTGTGGTTTTCTAACTACAGTTCTCATCATCGACACCGGCGAGTATTCCCCTCTTGCTACTGGCGGAGGTCAGGCAGCACAAGGTACATAATTTGTTTCTTTTGCAATATTGTGACGTGTACCACGTATGGCTTGGTGAAGACTCCTCAAGCTCATTCATGCACACTAGGGAGCCCTCTAGTGGCCCTACTCGTCACAGGCCCCCCAAGACATCAACAAGCAAGGGAAAATTGGCAATTTTTCATTCCTCATGCCACAGCATCAGTTAGTGTTCCTGCAGATTCTGTAGTAAGTGGAGGTGAGGTAGTAGACACTATGGGTTTTGTGAATACTATGCCTGTTCCTGGCCCTTCCGACTCATCCGCTGCTTCCAGCAGCACCAGCAGCGGTCTCATTGAAGGAGGCCCTTCCAATAGAGCTGACACATTTCAGACTGACACATCAAGTACAATTTCTTACCAACACAATTCTTATCAATGCTAACCCTCTTCTACTCAATCTGTAGCTTCTCGCACCGCATTTGTGAATTATATTGTGGGCAGTTGGACTAGCGGGGTATCCAACAACTTGGAAGGTACATCAAAATTCTTGCTATGACTAATTTGCACCCCTCACGTTGAAAATCAAAGATATGAATATGGTATTCTTAGACAGTCTCCAAGATATTGCTCCTATGTGGCGCATAGTTCAACTTACAGCTATACGGTATACATATTCCAGCCTCACTTTGGATACAATGTTCCCGAGGAATTGTCTCGCATTGCAGCTTGCTTTAAGGGCTGTAAATATGGGTATCGGCATTCATTGTACTGGAGAAAAATGTCATGTAGAACGCGGCGAGTGACAATTTGAGCTTAAATCTATGATGTAAATTTATGGTCAGCTGACTCTGAATATTTTAATACAGATGTGATGACACTTGACTCAGATCAGGTTCGAGAACCTTGTCTTTGCGCAATAACGATATACCACCACAAAGTGATCAGTGCAATCTATGGATTTATCCATACATCTTCTTTTCAACTCTACGATTCAGTGTTCCTGGCCGCCAGTGCATCAAAAAAATACACCAGCATCAAAGCGCGAGCACTCCTCAAGTGGAATCCAAGCACTGTATTCAGTTTTTTCCATGCTAGTTATATGGATCTAGTATCTGTTGAGGTAATACCACCTTGCTCTTTTAGTGACACTCATTAGATTAACCTTCTTTCATTTGCAGAGGAATTCTGCTGGGTCCAGTCTTGCTCTAGCCCAGGCTGGGTGTGACTCGGACTACTTCAACCACCCAGCTTTCCTCCACATTTTGGATTTGCTATACTTTACACAAAACTTGGAACACTATATGGGAATAGTGAACCTCGATGCTAGTACTTCAGATTGGATTCCTTTGACCCATATAACAAATGCAACGGTTGCTAATATTGCAGCATTGGTATGTCAAGTCACTGTTACGTCTCACTGGCAAAATACTCTACCCAGCTAATAGGAACTACAATGACAGGTACACTGTTTCATCACCCAATGGGCATTGGGCACTTGACTGATACCACTACACTCCGTGATATCAACAGGACAAGTGACCGGATCCTTCAGTGGTTGTTCTGTCATCTGCTCAAGTGAAAAGATATCACAGTGGATCAACTGAACAACCAAGAAATCCCATCACGGCCGCACTTCTGTCTCTTGTACGAAAAATCTCACCGGAAGAAATATCCTGACAACCCCTAACATGTATATTGCAATAGTAGGAATAAGATAGCTTTGAACTATGCTAAGCCAACTCAGAGTACCACTGGTAGTACTAGTGCTTTTACTACACCTCCTCTGAATCATATTGGTAGCTAGGTGGGTCCGAGTCAGTCTTAGGTGTACCAAAACCCTCCAGGACCGCTAACTGGTATGATAAATCCACTGTTTGATCTTGAACATCTTCTAATTGGCTGGATTTTGCAGCCAGAAGGTGCTCAAGCCTCAATACCTTAGCAATCAATGCATCCCAGTCCTGCGGCTCCAAATAACCACTTCTATCCTTGATATTGGGCTCTGAGTCCGCATTCACACCATAATGAAGTTCTACCGGCCATTCAAGTAGCCAATTCAAACCAAAGTCAGCACTTGAATTACTCTATAGCTGGCTAGAATACTTACCTTCCAATGTAACAACCAAGAGTTAGTTACTCTGGCGCACACACAAGAACACACTATAAGGGAGATGAATGGGGAGTGGTTACCCCTTGAGCTGCAGAGAGTTTGTTGGTTAACAACAGGAGGACTTGCCGAGGAGTCTCCTGGATCTATTGGGGTATATATACTACTACATGGTTGTTTGTACATGTGTACTATACAGTTGATAGAGACAGTGGCTGATGATGTCATGGGGCCTAGCCTGCATGGCCAGCTCCACTGTGTGAGAGAGTTGTGTCTAAAATAAGAAGAAAGGCAACGCGGTGCGAGAAAGAGGAGTTTTGGACAAAAGGGGAAGTTCCGCGTGGCACCATGTGTGAAAGCTAAAGTACAAGGTTTTGAAGCGGAGAATAAAAATAAAGGAAAGGTTTGAAAATTGTGTTATCGTAACATCCAATGTCGGTGATGAGAACTGTTGTTAGAAAACTACACACAAAAACAAACTAACACACAATCCTCCCAGATTCCACAGAAATTGTGTATGGGCTTTGCCTCCTAGAACAGTGGAGTGGTCTGGCTGTTTGTGGGGTGGTATGTATGACAATCCTTCAAAGTAAAACCCAGAGATGTATGGGTGTGGGTTTTGAGGAGGAGGGATAGTTGAATTATAGAGGATATGGGCTTGTGATAACCAGACCCTATACCGAGCTAACGGAGGTCTAGTTGTCTAATCGCAAGCAGGGTCTAACAATGGTGTATAAAGATGTAATCAACAGCTGGGGGATATGTACAAGAGGTAGCTGTATATATACCAAAGAATATGTGTTATAAACGAGGCGCTGACTGAGCAACATGCGTAAGGCATGAGGCACTTGGTAATTGTCTTTGTAAGTGACTACATCATAGGTCACATGGCTATGATAAGATAAGATTCGGAGAAATTATAGATATGGTATCGTTATCGGTTTGAGATAGAGTGTTAGATTCAAGAGATCATGACAGGGCTTAGTGATGAGTATGGACAAGCACTACCTTGCTGATTGTAGCACAAGGTAGGTTTGAGAACGATAAGATGACAAGGTGATGAGGTTCCCAGTGATAGCAGGCTCCTGACGCACAATCTGTAGTGCTCAGAAAGACTCTAATCGAAAGGGATGACAATGACTTTCAAAAGTGGAGAGTGACAATGACAGCAGATAACAGTGGTAGCAGTGGGAAGTATTGTGACCACACTGGATCACAAGTAGCAGAGTAGTAAACTTGAGATTTAGAGAAGAAGTCTGGAATGGTGTTCTTGTTGTTTTTTTTTACAAGGTAAAATACAGGGGTTTATATAGTAAAAGAAAGGTAGGCTATGCACAGTATAGCTGTGCAAAAAGAATGAGGAAGAACATGAAGGAAGGAATGTACGCTGATGAATCCTGCGTAGGTAGTACAGGATAAGATTGTCAAAATAAGGAAAAGAAAGAGATAGAACAATGAATGCTGTGTAAGTAATGTTACAGGTTTGTACAGCCATAAAGTAAAGTCCAATAGCAAAAAGAGAGCAAGAAAATCATGAAGTCATGGGAAGATGCAGTAAAAAAAGAGCAAGGCAAAAAAATATCAGTATCAACACAGTTCCTTTATTGTCAGTCAGGCATTCTAAAAAAATATGTGTCCATAAAAAATGATTCAAAAATCAAAAATAATCGCACTGTAAATGAATGTTCTGCTGAAAAAAAAGAAACTGGAGCCACCGGTCCACCACCTAGTCCAAATCCGACAGTTCCATGGCCTTACCAATAGACTGGTTGTACTGGACCACCTGGTCAAACGAGGGAGGGAGGGGAGTAGTTCCAATTTGGAACAAGTGAGTCCCAGGCAGCGTGTGGTAGCTGTAGCTGTAGCAAAGACAATGGACGGAAGATAAGTGTACCCAAATGAATGGGATGGCAATGTACATGGGCGATGCAAGGGGATGAACGTTCTCCAGCTCAAAAACTACCCACCCATGCTCCAACCAGGCAAGACAAGCGACCAATGTTTTGATGGTATACAATGGAAGATCAATGTCATGAAGATGGACCTTTTGCCCAACTTGGACCGGCCGCCGGGGCTTTGCTAATATCAGCAGTGGCACGTGGTGGTTGACTGATTGGCGACGGAAATGGATAGAAAGTGGTGACATCAGATATGGTGGGGGAGCAAAGAAGATGAGGAGGAGGAGGGTGGAGGTGACAAGGAGGTGAACCAGAATATGGATCCAGAAGCGACCGTTGGGTGAGAATAAAAAAGAGAGTAAGGGTCCCATGGTGGGACTGAGTAAAGAAAAAAAGGTAAGGGAGGGCGACAAAAGCGAGGGCGCAATGTGTAGCCAGTGGCGACGCGAAAATTTGCCAAAATGCCAAAATGCGGAAAGTACCAAATGGAAAAGCAAAGGTGAACACAACTGGATTGCCTAATAGAGGTGGTGCTAATTAGCCACAAGTTCGAAAAAGGCAATATTAATTACTATTCCACGTGGCACTGTGCCTGTGTGGTGCAAAGGCAAATCTTTTTGAATATTCACTTCATTCTTGACACCTGTCCATGCTACCAATCAACTTTGGTGCACGACACCGAGTCCAAGTCCGGGTTAATACAGGTTTGGGTTTTACCTTTGCCATTGTAAGGCCCATTGTAAGGCTTCCAAGCCAGTTGTAGTTGCTGTGATTCATAGTTTGAGGAGCGCCTGTCCCTTTTCTTTTGATTCCTACACATAGCAGATTCCACTGACTCAGACGAATAACGTGAACCTGGAACACAATTTTCTTCTTCAGGTAGGTTTACCCGTTTATTCTTGAAGTTCCAAGTCTTCCCTATTTTGAGATTAAACCCAGCCCTTCAATTTTTGGGATCATCCCTCATCCTATTCAGCAGTTGGAGCTCTGTAAAAAAAAACCAACCAAAGAGGTACTCTGTTATGCACCTCACAGTTATTTCCTGCCCTCTGATCTTGTTGTTAATCACTCCACTGGCAGTGTTATTGAGACAAAGAGTCAATGACTCAGAAGAGCACATGCATTTTATAGATATTTGTAGTGCTTGTTTAAGATCTGACATGACTGCCCTGTGAACTGGAAGAAACCACACAAGAACCCAAAGCTACCAGGAGCTCAGGCTAACAACTGCAGCACTGTACTAGCATATATGCCCAAGGAGTCACAAATGGATTTCCATTTCAGGAAGCAATCCCTTGAAGATCCAGCCATTCATGATGGCGGCCAGTACATATGTTGGGTTCTATTTCCTTTTCAGCTTGAACAGCCTTCAAGTACCAAAAAGTCAACTTGATTATATGCGGTAGACATGTTCTCAATACCAGTGTGACCTTATTACCTCAAAAAGCTTTTGTTATCCCAGATACTACATTTTTTCATTTTGGTATTTCGCTCAGGGTTTCGTTGGGTCTGCCTTTCTTCACAGCCACCAAGTACCAAAAAGTCAACTTGCCCATTGTGGGTAGCCTGAGGCCCCCCTATTTTACGCATTTGGTATAACTACCTTATAATCATCTTGCTGCCAGCATCACATCATGGCAAGTTATAGCTCTTATAAAAGTTTTAGGCCACACCACTTACTCAAGAACAGCCTCTATGTCCCAAAAAGTCCTTCAAGAGGATATACTGCTTGTGCAGTACTAAGCGTCATATGGTCACTGTAGTAATGCGCATCAGGTATAAAATGTACTCTAAAGTTGTCTGCCATTGATTTTCCACCTTTTGCATCTATGTCTGAAAATGAAGGTGACAGGGAATACCGGCATAGCTTGGAGAATAACAAGTGTGGCCAGAGTTCTGCCTTGGAGCTGGGCCCTAGGAAAAGACCATAAAGAACAAGCTGTATATTTAGAGCTGCTTAAAATTATTCCGAGGCTGGAGAAAGATTTGATGAGAGAGGATTTCTCTGGGGAAGAAAAAATCCATATTGCCGACTTGGTATGGACATTTTTCTTACCACAACATACTCTTACAATAATTTGTTTTACAGATTCAAAAAGGTGCCAATGGAGCTAGGGCAGATGATACAAAAGGTCTTAAAGGCACAGTCATTGATTGATCACTCCTAAAGGTCAAGCACTTTCACCTTACATTCATTGTAATGTGAAGACTGGTCGCGGATTCAATCACGAGCGTACAGGGGCTCTTCTATGCCCAGCAGGGATGGATTGGTCAAGCTTAGAGTGAATTATTCAACTTGTCTTTGATTTGATGTATTGATTTGTCATTATAAGAATTAGAGAAAAGCTCGTCAATGGCCAAATTCAAGTCTCAGGAGATCAGTGGCCGATAATGCTGTATGCTGTAAGGACCATTTATTATTTTCTTATCTTCTCTATGTCTTGGTTTTTGAATGCTTTTCCCGTTACACCTCTGGCTCTAGGGCTGGAGGTATCATTCACTATTTTACTTCTCATAGCTCTCACAGGCTTTCTCAACCATTGTTACCACTTTATATCGCAGATCAGAGACTGGGCATCACTCCCAGCTGGCCAGCACAATGGGTAAGGGCTGGTGGTAGACATCTTGCCAACCAGCTCCAAGTCCCATCAGTGCCTGGAGATACTAATAGACACTTTAGTCAGGATTGTATCTCATCATGAGGATATGGTTCCTGAACACGCGTGACAACACTTATTATTAGTACACTTTCCCACCTGCTGATTAATCTTCAAAGTTGTACAATAGTTATCCTTTTTCTCATTGGTTGATTTTCCCCTCAGACCACTTTCCCTTTATTCTTCTTTCGGTCTGAGGGATAGACAAATAGCTATAAAAACTCTACATACTCATTGTTACGATAACACAATTTTCAGACCTTTCCTTTAACTTTCATTCTCCGCTTTAACCTTTTTACTACAGTTCACACTCTGTGCCATGCGGCACTTTCCTTTTTCGTTCTAACTCCACCTTCTCGCGCAGCACTGCCTTTATTCTTCTTTTAGACACAAACTCTCTCACGCAGTGGAGCTGGTCACACGGGCTGCACCCTCTGACATCATCAGCCACTGCTTTTATCAATTGTACAGTACATAGGTACAAATACTCTGTATTAGTATAAATACCCCAATAGATCAAGGAGACTCCTTGGCGAGTCCTCCTGTTGTATACCAACAAATTCTCTGCAGCTTAAGGGGTAACCACTCCCTCAACACTACCTTTATAGTGTGTTCTTGTGTGCGCCAGAGTAACTAACTCTTGGTTGTTACATTAGGACTTGCTCTTCTACTCTCTCACACATTGTGCAAAAAGTCCCACTGGGCACCCGGTGTCATGCACCAAAGTTGATTGGTAGCATGGACAGGTGTCAATAATGAAGCGAATATTCAAAAGACTCGCCTTTGCACCACACAGGCACAGTGCCACGTGGAATAGTAATTAATATTGCCCTTTTTGAACTTGTGGCTGATCAGCACCACCTCTATTAGGCAATCCAGTCACGCTCACCTTTGCTTTTCCATCCGGTACTTTCCGTGTTTCGGCATTTCGGCAAATTTTTGTGTTGCCACTGGCTATACATTGCATTGCGCCCTCGCTTTTGTCGTTTCCCTTACTCCCCTTCCTTTGCCTAGCCCCACCATGGGCTCCTTCCTCTCCTTTTTATTCTCACCTGATGGTCGTTTCTGGATCCCCATTCTAATCCACTTTTTCGTCACCTCCACCCTCCTCCTCCTCATTTTATTTGCACCCCCACCATTTCTGATGTCACCACTTCCTATCCGCTTCCGTCGCCGATCCGTTGACTACCACGTGCCACTGCTGATATCAGCAAAGCCCCGGCGGCCGGTCCAAATAGGGCAACAGGTCCATCTTCATGACGTCGATCTGCCATCATATACTATCAAAACATCGGTCGCTTGTCTTGCCTGGTTGGAGTGTGGGTGGGTAGTTTTTGAGCTGGAGAAGGTTCATCCCCTTGCGTCGCCCATGTTCATTGCTGTCCCATTCACTTGGGTACACTTATTATTTGTCCATCGTCTTCGCTACAGCTACACCTACCACACGCTGCCTGGGACTCACTTGTTCCAAATTGGAACTACTCCTCTCCCTCCCTCGTTTGATCAGGTGGTCCAACACAACCAGTCCATTGGTAAGGCCATGGAACTGTCGGATTTGGACTAGGTGGTGGACCGGTGGCTCCAGTTTCTTTTTTTTCAGCAGAACATTCATTTACAGTGCGATTATTTTTGATTTTTGAATCATTTTTTATGGACACATATTTTTTTAGAATGCCTGACTGACAATAAAGGAACTGTGTTGATACTGATATTTTTTTGCCTTGCTCTTTTTTTACTGCATCTTCCCATGACTTCATGATTTTCTTGCTCTCTTTTTGCTATTGGACTTTACTTTATGGCTGTACAAACCTGTAACATTACTTACACAGCATTCATTGTTCTATCTCTTTCTTTTCCTTATTTTGACAATCTTATCCTGTACTACCTACGCAGGATTCATCAGCGTACATTCCTTCCTTCATGTTCTTCCTCATTCTTTTTGCACAGCTATACTGTGCATAGCCTACCTTTCTTTTACTATATAAACCCCTGTATTTTACCTTGTAAAAAAACAAGAACTCCAATCCAGACTTCTTCTCTAAATTTCAAGTTCACTACTCTCTGCTACTTGTGATCCAGTGTGGTCACAACACTTCCCACTGCCACCACTGTTAATTGCTGTCATCGTCACTTCCCACTTTTGAAGTCATTGTCATCCCTTTCGATTAGAGTCCTTCTGAGCACTACAGTTTGTGCGTCAGGAGCCTGCTATCACTGGGAACCTCGTCATATTGTCGTTCTCAAACCTACCTTGTGCTACGATTAGCAAGGTAGTGCTTGTCTATACTCGTCACAAAGCCCCTATCCTTCTATAAATTCAACTATCCCTCCTCCTCAAAACATACACCTCTGGGTTTTACTTTGAAGGATCTTTATATGTACCACCCCACGAACAACCAGACCACTCCACTGTTCTAGGAGGCAAAGCCCATAAACAAGTTCCGTGGAATCTGGGAGGATTGTGTGTTAGTTTGTTTTTTGTGTGTGGTTTTCTAACAGCAGTTCTCATCATCGACAGCGCCGGAGTAACTAACTCTTGGTTGTTACACTCCCCTCAACGTCCTCATCCTCCCGTGTACGAGAATGCTCCGACAGCTCTGAAAACCCCAGCACTTGCTTGACAGTCAAAATACTGAAGGCTATTTCCACCTCACGTCAGCTACAGTTAAACGGGTGTCTGACAGGTTACAGATACACACCATCAAAATTGAAGCCATGCCAGAGGACCAGTTTGCAGAGGCCGAAAAAGTTTTGGAGGAGGTGTTAAAGGAACTGAATAGCCCTTGTAAAGGGGATGACATGGACTACCACCCTGACGATATCAAGGAGGTAAGTTCATGATATCCACTAGCTGCGGGCAGATCAGATAGATCATGAATGCTATGTATGGCACTCGTGGTGACTTCAAATCAAGTGCCCATAGTATGTGCAAAGATGTGTATGGGCTTCGCCTGCCAGCCGACAATATGTGGGACATAACCGTCTCTGAGACGGAGTTCACCAAGGACTGAGTTGTGAATCTCCTCAAGAAGCCTAACTGTGCATTCTTACATGGAGGCATAGGCCGTAATGTGACTTTCCTGTTCATTTAATCTCAAGTTTCTGACACCATACACAGGGTAAATGTCAATACTTCCGACACCTGGCTGTTATCAATATAATCCTTGACATTCTCTACAAGGTGAAGACAGGTCTAGGTCACGTTTTTTCAAGTCAATTAGGTCCCCTCGCTGCGCACGTTACAATCACGTTGGCAGCTACAGCCTTGTATGCGGCGCTCAAGGAACTGAAGACTGGTGTTTTTGAGCCTACCAACTTCTCCGTCAACGCATTCCGTAAATTCTACAAGGAGATGTCTTCACTGATTTTCAATACCATTTTGCAAGACGACGATCTCAAGGAGGACTACCTCGAGTTCCTCACTTTTGTAATTGCCTGTGACATGTCAATGTAAGTTTTTTTTTGTTGTTTATTCTCTTGTATACTTATTCATCTAATGGCCAAACAGGTGTTAATGTTTTTATGTCTCACATAGTCATGCTCTTTTGTTATCTTTTGCTCTCGTTCTGTTGTAGTCTTAGTTCTTGCAATATGATGTTATTTGATAATATCTTATCAGCCTGACTCGTCTAAGATATCTAATCATTATCACAATCTTATTTTTTTTGGCCAACCTCTGTTCCCAAAAGGGATGTTTTATTCTTTCCTCCAATCAGAGGCTTTTCCGACTTTGTACTAGAAGTTCCCTCGGTTATTCGTAAGCGAGAATTTTGGGCTTTGCAGATGACGTCAGCTCATTCCGAAACGGGCCCGTTTCGAAAGGGCACCGTTTTGAAACGAGACGAGACTTTTTTGGCGGGCGACGTTTCAAAACGGTGGCTGCCGAACGGGCCCTAAGTTAGTAAGTTAGCTTCATCATGGTATGCTCAGTCGACTGCTTTTGATGCTGTATTCAGTACTCACTGCGTTTACTTAGACTATATGCACCGACTGTGGAGGCACTGTTATCGAATACGATGCAGCAGCCGGGAATGGGTTTTGCGTTAAATGTGGGACTGTCGTGGAAGAAAATACCATAGTTTCCGAGGTGACTTTCGGAGAAACGTCCGCTGGAGCTGCCATGGTACAGGGCTCTTACGTTGGTCAAGGATCAAGTAAGTGGTCCGATTTTGAATTTACGTGCGCGCTGATTCGAGATATCCCAGCACATGCTAGAATGAACGGTCCATTTGGTAACAGAGGAAGCAGCGAATCTCGCGAGCAAACGATAGCGAATGGCAAGTACTACCTCGTAGCTCATATCACTTACACTTACACTGACGTTTGATGTTTGATATAACAGCTAGCAGGAAAATTCAAAGTTTTGCTGCTGCTCTCCGTCTCTCCGAAGTAGTCAGCTTAGCTGCAACACGACTGTACACCCTTGCAGTAGAACACAAATTTACTAAAGGAAGGAAAAGTCTCAATGTTGCCGCTGTCTGCCTATATGTTGCTTGTCGACAGAAGGAGACGCGTAACTATATGCTAATAGATTTCTCCGACCTTCTTCAAGTGAGTCTATCTCGAGCTTCATTGCAGAAGGAACGCACCTCATGTATTATCAGGTAAATGTGTTCGAGCTTGGCCATACATACCTTCAACTTGTACAGACTCTTAATCTGAAACTGCCTCTCGTGGACCCGTCTCATTACATTTCTCGCTTCGCGGCCCTCCTGGAATTCGGTGAAGAGACTCATAAAGTGGCTACCGATGCTGTTCGCCTCGTTCAGCGCTTTGATAGGGACTGGATGACAAGAGGTCGCCGTCCAGCAGGAATTTGCGGGGCTGCGTTGCTCTTAGCAGCCAGAATGAATAATTTTAGGAGGTCAGTGGAAGAAATCGTTCAAGTAGTTAAGATAGCCGACACGACACTCAAGAAACGACTGGATGAGTTCAAGAAGACCCCTAGTGGTGCACTAACGCTCGCGGATTTCAGGACTGTTTGGCTGGATGACGAGATGGATCCCCCAGCTTTTACGAAGGGGAAGGATAAGGAAGAGAAGGAAAGAGAGGAGACAGAGAATGGCGTGAAAAAGCCGGACAAGGGTAAGAAGGGTGCAAAGGCGAAAAAAACAAGAAAGAGGAAGAAAGTAGAAGATGATGTATCACAAGGCGAAGGGAACGAGGTCATTCCTGTTGGAGAAGAAGTCGAAGGTCAAGCTGGGCACCCTGAAATCGACCCAGCCCTATTCAATCAAGGTATATTAGTCGGAACTATACAACCACCCCCACTTTTTTACCCAGAAGACGACGATGACGATACCTACGCTAACATTGATCCAACTTTGCGCACAATTTCTGATGGCAAGTCAGACTTTCCTTCCGTCATGGACGCTCCACCCATAACACAGATCGATGAAACCGTGGATCAGGCGCTGGTAGAGGAAGTTGCAACATTTTTGCAAAATACACAAGGGTCTCTACTCACTGAAGCGCTGGATGAGGCACAGGAACGTCGCCATGCGCAGTTCACAGCCGTTGATGAACTCCAGGGGTTAGATGAAGAAGAACTTGATCGTTTTCTATTGACAGATGAAGAGGTGAGGATCAAAGAACGTGTGTGGGTGGAGCTCAATCGAGAATACCTGGAAGCTATTGCAGGTAATACAGGCGGGATATTCCTATTCGATCACTCTGCTTACTGTTATTTACTTTCAGCCAAAGGAGAACAACAAGAAACCGGAACCTCTAATAGCAAAAGTCGCAAGGTTCGTATTTTCGCTTTCTTTTAGTTTGCCAACATATTTCGTGCTGTTATATCTTCGGGACGTTGTTACTGATCAACCCTTTACAGCGAAAGAAAACAAACAATAAACCTCGAGATGCGTCTACTCCATCGGGCAGTACTGCCGCGGAGTCGGTGCGCAACCTCATCAAGAAGAATCCGAAATACAGTAAACGGATCAACTACGATGCGCTGAAGGATCTATTCATGGATGGCGGGCCCGTACCAAGGTTAGACGAGAAAGATGACATGTATACTATGGATGACAAGAGCGATGGAGAAGGTATGGTTGTCGTAGAGGAAGAAGGCGGAGGAGTGGGAGTTCAGCGGCGCAAGTTACCTGGAGATCGATCAATAGAAGAGTCGATCGACGCCAATTTGGAGGAAGATGAAGAAGGCAGCGATAAAGGTGACGAACCCCTCGACACGGGGTGGGAGGATGCATATGAACAAGAAGTTTGAGATGTTGACTTTCTGATTTTTCTTATCTTCCTGCGTAATGCGTCTTGTTGGTTACACACGATAGCATCTCATTTCCACAAGCCATTTAGCCCACTTTCTTTGATATTCCTTGAGTGGTAATCTACTCTAAAGCTTGAGGTATTAAGGGGGAGTTAATTTATTATGGGTGTGTGTTTTTATCTCTCCTTCAGTAGTTAAATGATATGATGCTTCTCACCGGCGAACTACCGGTAAATCAAACGTGCAATATTGTAGCGACAGCATATCGCACGTTGTTCAATTAACGCTGACCTGAATTTATAGCCACTTCGTCGAAAATCGAAATACTGATCTGAATGGCCATAGTATACTGGATTGTACTTATGTTAAACCAGCCACGGATCACAATGACTGTGTGATAAAGAATGGTGAGTCTTCAATCATGAAAATGTCAATCCAGTCAGTTGAGTTGACTGGTTTCTCCATTCCCTGTGTCACTAGGAGGGGCGCCCAAAACGCGAACGTGTGACCATCTCGAATCACTATTGGTGCACTTCAAAAATGATGCGGTCCCGACAGCATGAGACTATGGACCTTGACCTGTTCATTACCACATATAGGTATAAATGCTGCGAGAAACTTACTACATGCTCGACAAGGCAACGTATTTACTAAGTACCAAGTCAACAGTATTAAGGTTCCTGGGTGGGGGACCGATCACTTCTATAGCCTTGACCCTCTTCTAACGCTCTTCCAATATGTCCGTCTTCAAAGGTGACTCTAGCATAGAGGTATGCAAACCATCCTTTCATTCCAAGCTTTATCATCGGTTAATCGTGGACGATAGGTTATAACAGTCTTAGCGAATTGTGGAGCGAATATTGGCCAGGCCAGAAACGCCCTCATAATCTACATCGAAAACAAGCAGCAAAAAGGTCGTTCAACTCAGCACATCTTGCAGAAATTAGATACGTTAGAACGAAAGGTTCTTTTTCCTTATTTATAACTGTAAAGTGTGCTTGATAGCTGACTATATATTTAGTTTGTGAAGGACAAAATGCTGCATACTGCTTTTCGTGATGCTCGAGCGGAAACATGTTTACCCAGGTCCCCAATCTTGCCTCTACCGTTGTTTCTACAAGATACGACTCACCATCCTGAAGTTATTGGCTCTATATCTCCCGGTCCGTCTTCTACCGGTCACCCCTCAGGCTCGTCCATGTCTCCCAGCGCGAATGAGAGCAGTTCTCCCGTCGCAATGAAAGACTCAGTCACATTCCCTGAGAGAGATATCCTCGAGGAGGACCGAAACAATTGCATGCCGCTCAGACCAAATCGTAGGTCGGAGGTATCAAATGAACAGAATAGTCTTCCGTTCGGAACTACAGCGCGGAGGCATACAATTGAAAGAGAACAAGGGATTTATTTCGCGAGGCCCGCTGCGAAGCACGGCTCAGCAAACGGTATCAGAGAGGAGCGACGCCTAACAGGTAGTCCTCCTGGAAGGGGAGGGCGTGTTCGAATTTTAGTCCCATCAAGCGAATCAGACATCCAGGTCAGTTCACAGGCTTTTAGATCCTAAATATACTGTTCTATAAAAATGGACTGGTGCAAACTCATCACCCCGAACTTTACTGAAAATTATCGCTTTTATCAGATAACTTCATCAGTAGATGTCGGGTCAAGATATAGTACCTCGTCTCGCTCACCCCGTTCACAAAGCAGCCCGTCTAGCGCTGAATTTTCACCGAAGCTAAATAGGAAGAAGACGGTCATAACACCTAGTCATCATCCACCTCCAACAACTGCTCTGCCACTGATCCCTCCTGTGGCACCAATACCGGCGCCTGCTATCTGATACTATCAACAATTTCACACCTAGGATATACGCCTGCAACGCTCCTCGATATGAAGATATAGAAAGAGTGGACCTTTACAATCTAAGCCAAGTTTTCTTATAGTTTTAACTGTTGCATCCCTCTTCATTCGGCGCTCTGAACATTAGGGTTTATTGCGTCATATATTTATATTTCAGGAGTATATACTAGAATATGGGCTTTGCTTAAGATGTATACAGAGATTCGGTCATCGCACTTTCTAAGTTGTAATTCTTTCTCATTGCTCGTTGGATTCGACCTCGACCTACTGTGGATTTATTCTCACCCCCTGTTGTATTATCCTGCGTATTAACCTATCAGGTGTACAGTACGTGCATACTAGATTTTTGAATGGTTCGCATCTATTATTATCGTTTTGATTTCGAGCTGCGAAAGCCTGGGAAGACATTGTCTGGACCACAGTCAAGTACTATGAAGATTAAACGCCTACTGTCTCCCGCACGACATCGTCTGCGAGGTCACCAGTTGTTACAGCCACTAAGCCTTGAATGCCTAAGAATTAATTTGGTTGAAGTAGAAGAACTCACCCGAGTCACTGGTCAATATGACGCCAGATATAGAATTATGTATTATATCTAATAAGCATACCAAGCATGTCAAAGTTCTCCTTTATAAAGACAAATGATCATAGAGTAAGAATCACTGCCTGATAGAACGTAAACGCATCCAGGGAAGTAAGTGAATGTATACCAACTAGAGTTTGATCGCGCTGAGTGGAGATCTAGGGAAATGCCTAAGAAGAGAGCATCCACATATCGAAGTCACGCTTTTGCTCGAACCAAAGACATGGAGCTCCAATACATTGACAGCTGCTATCGTAGGTTCACGATTCCCTGTGAGCGGGGGGCCAAACACCTGAAGAACACGCTCCCTTGACCTTCGATAGGAATCCGGGTAGTGCATACTGGGCTTATCATTCGCGGCTAGCGCATATTTATGACACCGCCGTGACGAAGCCTAAATGACGACATGTTACAGGTATATCACCACAGAACATAGCACAGCGTTGCCACACCTTTGCACTATGCTCGATGTCTCACAGACCTCACCCTAAGCAGTATCAGTTTGAGGTTGTCGAAAGAAACCGGCTCTGGACATAATCGTGGCAAGTAGTTTGATGACAGAAAACGATACTGATTGAACGACCTGTAAAGCGAGTGTTCGTTTCTCCATATGCACAACTACATATATCGAAATTGCTACACTGCAGATGATAAGCATTTATTATAAATGGGGTAAATGGTATACTGAAAGCGAGATATCAATTTGTTTGACTACTGAGTTACTCCACTTACCGCAGAGCCCTGTTAGTTTTACGACGATGGGAGATTCATTGAGCGAATGGTTCGAGTTCTATCTGAGATTCGCCAGCAATCCTTGGAAGCAACGCGCCTAGTGATCACGAGCCTATCTGCTCTGACTAACACATGAGTAGGATGATATCATTGACAAACTTGCAAGAAACTTGAACGAAGAATGGACTACTTTGATAGCACGCTTTGAAAGCTTGAGCTTCGGCACCTCGTGAGTCCGAGTCGTAATAAGCCAAACAGCTTGAAGCATCAGTCAAGATGCTTGGCACTTGAAAAAAAAGATGTGGGATCCTGTAACGAGCCAGAAAAGTGAATGATATGACCCAGAGAGCTCGTGGCATATTCCAGATAGAAATGTGCTTGTCAGTCCGTAGAGCACTCCAGTTCATAATTCGGATGATTAGCTCTGTCACGGTGTTATCACGCCTTGACCTTTACGCAACTCCAGGTCGCCGCTTGAACTAGAGTTGCCTCAACTTGAAGTGGGTTACAAAATATCAAAATCTCTTATGGATCCACATGGGACATAGGGGAGACCACCGCCAGCGGTGCCAGTGGCACTATCACACTATCAGAAAATGACAGTTACTGGGAAAGATCAGGTGAACTTGGGTTTAGAATGTTCCGCCTTGATCCCATCGAGTCACAACGTTGACCTGCGTTCATATAGTAGCTGATTTCCAATGGGAATTGGAAATCTTGTCTCAAGCCTAGCATTCAACTAGGTCGTGGCAGAGCCTCATCATAAGCCCATTATTATTCTGAACACTAGTACGCATGCGGACAATATCGTGCACCTGTTGCTTATCTCCCTTTCGTAGGACGAGTTCATATTACATCGGATTCGGGGGCTGGGACTGCCAAAATGTATCACTTTGCTTCCGTATCTAGAGTGGGCGGCTTGTTCATGCCCGAGCTATCGCCACCATCTCCAACTGCATTTGATCCAGTAAACTGTGTTCCGACCACCTAGCTGATTACTCTTCTTCGGAGATAAACAAACATTACTCCAATAACGCAGCGACGGGCGATGCAGATCTTGTCTGTTTTTCACCCAAGTCACAAGACGGTACCGCCAAGGTCGGCTCCTCTAACCCCCTAGTTCGATATACTTCTTGAATCTTACGAGCCAATAAGGGTTCACGTACATATTATGCTGCATATAAGCAGGGACTTGCACATATTCATATCCCCTTCATTTCTCTACTCTAAGTTCAAGTCATGGTTTACTTCGCTACCTCTGCAGAGAACTCAAAGACCAGTTACAAGGTCGACCTCTCTCATCATCTCTCGAGAGAGACACGAGCAAGGCAGCCAAATCCAATCAAGACTATATGGAAAATAGCTCAGACCAAAGTAGGAACCATTAACATGGGAAATGGTACGCTCTTTGCTAGGGTATGTAATCTTATGGAGGAATGACGAAAGCTGGTAAATATACAGGAGATCCCCACAACACGTTGTATCCTATCTCTAAAATTGACTTTGTCGTCCCGTCTCTCGACCAACCAAACCCTGTCCAAGCTTGGAAGGAAGGCAATAGTAAAACTGATATAATCAGTTCGTATAAAGACGAGTCTTGCGCCCTGAGTCTCAAGACTGCTTTTGCATATGGAACCGGTGCAGGACTGCAGCAAGTGCGAGGTGTCCTTGCTGACCTCAATAACCGTATTCATTCCCCACCGAATCACACCGTATCCCTCAGTCTGGGCAATGCGGATTCTTTGACAAAGTGCTTCCGATTGTTTGGTGACCCTGGCGACTCGTTTCTTTGCGAGGAGTTTACTTTCTCGCCAATGACCAATGCAGCACTACCTCTGGGAATCAAATGGGAGCCCATCAAGATGGACAAAGGCGGTCTTATACCCGCCGATATGGACAAGATTCTCACTAATTGGGATGAAAGGACGCAAGGAAGGAGGCCACACGTCTTATACACTGTCCCGTAAGTCCCCTCTAATATTCTCTATGTTTACCTAGTTAGACAACTCATCTCGTAATTCAGCTGCTCGCAGAACCCCACAGGAAGCACTCTGCCCTTCGAACGCCGCAAATCAATATATGAAATCGCTCGAAAGTGGGATATAATCATCTTGGAAGATGACCCATATTATTTCCTCCAATATGGATTGAACGTAGATCAATTTATCGTAGAACAGCATGGATTCACGCGTGCTTTAGCAAGCGTTCTACCTCGATCCTTCTTGTCTATGGACTATGACGGGCGTGTGGTTCGGCTGGATAGGTAGGTTTTCCATTCACCACGGAGTATTTTATCATTATCTCATTCTTATCAGCTTCAGCAAAATTGTGGCCCCCGGTATGCGTCTTGGATGGGTTACGGCCAACAATTTTTTTGCCGAAAAGCTTGACTCATTAACGGACTCATCGTCGCAACACCCTCATGGATTCGGGCAGGCCTTCATTGCGGAGCTTCTTGGTGATGGGGGCTGGGGGTTGGATGGGTTCATGAAGTGGACAAAGAGTCTTTGTGACGAGTACCAACGCCGTCGAGACCTGTTTATGGACGTTTTCCGACGTGAAGTCGGTATCAATGGGTTCGCAACCGCCGAAGTACCGAAGTCGGGCATGTTTGTTTGGATTAAGATTAACTTGGAACATCATGCGCGGTATCGCGTCGTGAAGGAATCTAACGGCGACCCTCGCACCAACACGGCTGCCCTGATGGACGAGCTGTTCCGGACATTGTTGGATTCTGGGCTGGTCCTTATACCCGCGTCTACTTTTGCGATCACGGGTTCCTTGAGTCCACCATCGGGAGATTGCATCTTAGACGTGAGTATTTGCATTGACGGAGTTGGAGCGATTGCTGAGCTTCCCCTTTCCATTTTTCAGCGCGTTAACTATTTCAGAGCAACCTTTGTTGGTACCGATGAAACGATCTGTGATGGCCTCAAGATATTCGGGCGTACTATTGAACAATTTTTCTGCTTTTGAGCGGATCCTTGGGCTAATCTCCTTCTGGTGTGATGATGGCAGTATGAAACTGGGGCTTTTTTGGTGTTAGTACCATAGATGTAGATATTATTTCTAGGCGTTGTGCCCTATCATTTCTATAAGCTTGTAAAGAGGATCTAGAAGCCTCAATGTAGTATAATAACTTGTTGATTCTTGAAGCGTAATTATAAGGACCTTACTCTTTCCAACGTTAATTTATTTGTATGAAGTATTTGATAACGATAAGGGAAACCTATTGTATGACAAAGTTCAATAAGTTAAAAGCCCATTTGCTAGGGCTCTTCTGTCAATTCATGAGCACAATGTAACGTCAACAAGTCATATCCAAAGAGGCTGTATTGTGCTGTTATAGTACCGGCTTCCCTGCCATCCCCGCATTGTACGATATGATCCCATGTCAAGCCTGGGGTATAATGACAGAGCGGACATTCGATGATCGTAATATCACCTCTTCCAGCGCCCCTTTCACAGCATCTAAATTGCTCATGTTCACCGAATTCACCGAGCTCGGGCCTTCTAGAGTTCCATTGTCAAACTGCTCTGCCAAGTGATCTAAAACCTTCTTGACTTCGCTGGGACCGACTATGCTAGACTTGAGCCCCTTGAGCGTGAGAGCCTTTGTATACAGCGTTCGCAAATCCAGCGCAAACAGTCCATCTTTGCGATGAACAGCCATGGCGACGACGCGGCCATCACCGTTAGGTGTCATTGTGAAAATCGCGTCGTTGAAGGCGTCCTCGTAACCAGCGCAGTCCAGGAGGACATCTATCTTGTTCTGCAGTCCGGCTTGGGCGATAGCATCACGTATGGGCGTTTTGGAGCCCGATGACAGCTCGATGGGAGTGACAAACGAGGGTACGTTCACGTTTTGCAGAGAGCGATAAGTCCCAAACACCTTTGCGCCCAGATAATTACAGAGCTGAGCAGCCCCTGATCCGATAGCCCCACGAGCGCCTGGCGATAACGATGAGCAAGGTCCGCTGAAATCACAAACACTAAGACCCCGTACCAATGATAATCACGTTATCTCCCTTCCTAACTTGAGCAAGGTTGTCGACTGCGATCCACGCGCAGAGCCAAGGAAGTGTAAGGCTCGCTGCTTTGGCGTGATCGAGGCCCTTGGGTTTGCGGCTCAACGCTGAGATGGGAACTTTGAGATATCTGATGGAATTTGATTTAGGGATATTGGATTGCATTCTATGATTGCGCTACTAACTCTGCGAAGGTACCATCTACGGCAAAGCCTCGATCGCTTCCCGTTCCCCACACTTCGGCACCAAGCCATCGGTGGGACGACTCGTCTGAATCCTTCGAGACTTCGACGACCTTGCCAGAGAAGTCCCGACCTGGAATACGTGGGGTTGTAACAAAAGGGAGCCACCCCTTTATGGCTGCGGTATCAGACTATGATTCACGGCGTTAGTGATGGATGATGGATGGTATCCTGGGGAAAGCGTTATCTAAAGAGAACCCACCCCATTTATGCCAGCAGCCTCCACCCTCACGAGAGCCTCCCCAGAATCGAGCGTTGGTTTGGCCAAATTCGTAAGGACGAGGTTATCAAGAGAACCTGCTGTTGCGAATCTCAGAGCGTTCATGGTAGAATAATTTCGATGATTCAGATGATGTGATAGAATTGTGTTGAATGAATTGCGTCCCACTTGGGGAAGGTTGAGACGCTGCCACGAAAGCTGCATTATAAATGTTTACAATAAGCTCGAGACTTCTTGGATCGCCATCAGCGCTCGGCGTCTCTTCTCTACCATTATCAATCTTCCAGTACAGCCTGCTAGTTAGCGCCTCAAGTTTACGCTATGGAAATCACCCTTACTCACTGGAACAAACTGACCCATTAAGTTTCATCTCACCTTCTCAAAGCCTTCCTGATGTAAATTACCTTCCTCTGATGAAGCTGCATTCACAGCACCATACCTTCCTACAGTATTACTACGCAAATGCTGAATGGACTGGCTCGTAAAACGTGAATACTGATATGTTTGACTCGGACAATAACGAGCGGATTTTGCCGAGCCACTACCTCGATCGTTGATCAGAATAAAACCCTGAACGAGGGTTAAGGTTTATTCGACTTTTAAACAGGCACGGAAGGTTTGATTAGAAGAGAACAGAGAGTACGTGGAACCTACACACACCCTCTCCCCTCTGCATAATCGCGAAATAGAGCACTATCAGTCGCGACTTTTCACTCGGAAATGAAACATGTCGTTGAATTGTGACTGTATCATTCATCCAAATGACGTGCAAAACCACAACATAGTTGTACCCATCGTTGAGACAGGGGGGAGGCGAAACTTCACCAGAGCGCTTTGTGAAATTTGGAAGATTCACATACACTGTTACTCTCTCCAGCTTTCAAGTGAACAGCGAGGGAGGTTATAATATGTTTGGGCTTTCTTCGACGTAAAAGTCAAGGCTTGGTACAAAACAGCAGCTCTTGCAGGACCCAAGAGCCGCTGGTACCAGACATCAGAACGGTTTTCTGCTGTCAATGGAGGTTTATAGATACATGCCCGCCGACTTCTCGAGCTTGGGACGTTCATCGACACTGAGTACAGCGTACCAGTGAAGTAAAGACTCCATTTACACTAGACATCCCGTCGAAGAGATAGCTGAACTTGTAAGCAAGCAATCTGACGCTACTTCACAGCTTTGATACACGTTCCTGAGCCATATCGTAGACTAGACATCGCAACAGCTGGCTCGACCGACACAGTGGTTGGAATTATGATGCCCAGAGGTGGGCTTTGCGTTGATCCTTGAACGCAAAGAGGACTGTATTTCGAGAGAAGTAACCGCGGTTTGAAGATGGAGATAGGATTGCACCATTCTAGGACCCAATTGACTCACTTTGCAAATTTCTAATGATGCGACTTGGCCAAAAAGCGGTACGCACAAAAAGAGTGATTATATTCCGAAGGCCTTGTACGGGTGTCCTTGTGCGGGCGTCCCGCTATTTAGTGCGTTACGTCACAGAGCAACGAGGAATAACCAGCGGAAATAGAAAACGAGATACGTTTTCAAGACGGACGGTATCATTGAGCGGAATCAGTGAGTGGAAGCAGCTTGCGAGTTGATCGGAGCCAAAGGGGTGGCGGCCCTACGGTCCGCTCGATGTCAATGTTGATACCAGAAATCAGTGCACATAGAGATTCCGATGGATCGAACACCACAATCAAATGGAGGGCAACTCGGAGGAAGTGAATCGAAAGTTAAAGTATACAGCTTGCTCTAACCGCCCGGGGGTAGAAGAGGTGGCAAAAGACATCCCAATGGATGTCGATATCAGTGTAACCCACATCGTCCAATGGCTGTTATCGAGAGGCTGTAGTTTCATTTCATGGAGCCATAGTCCCCAAGTGGTTGGGGAGATACGCTGGAATAGATTTGGTGATTCTTCGACGAGATGACACAAAAAGCGGCGAGCCCTCTCCAAATGACTTGGCAAAAATCACTCTATGTGTAAAAGTGGCAGGAAAGCACATGGTGTAACAGAGAAAGCGCTCTGGAGTAGTCACTTTATTTGCTAAAATGTCAATAGCGATGCCGCTGAGGTACAGTCTGCGGATATTGCCGTCTTGCACCGTCAACTCCGAGTAATCGCGGTTGACGTTTTGACACTTGCAGTCCATCTTCGAGTCGTGGCGTGTTGTAAGGCATTCATATCTGGACAGCTCCTAGGTACCGGCGTAAGCATATCGTTAATACCTAAGAAGCTGAAACAGTTGTAGTCGATAGCAAGGCTGATGAGCAAGGTTCCATGGCACCTACTAACACGGGGAGTAATGATATGAGATAACTGCATAAAGCTTAGACCTTGACCAGTTGAACGATGGTTTGACGGGCGGTGGATGACGACCTCCGTGGTTCATGCACATTGTGATCTAGCATCGTGTGACCACAAGCCGAAGTTAGTAAAGATACCAATATTTCATGCTAGACGTACAACATGAATGTTCCGATAGTATCTTGATTATGATAGAATGTCTAGGCTCGGGTTACGATTGAAATTACCACCAACATGGATCGTATCTGAACGTGCATTCAAGTTACTGATAGCGATAGCCTATCCCGATATCAGAGTTATCGAGAACAGGAACCAAATGCTGTGATGTAGCGCTCGGGGAGTAGTAATAAGGCCACGATCAGCCATGAATAAAATGCTATGTGTTAGAATATGGAGATACGAGGTGGAAAAGTGAAATAGAGTTGCCATGGATGTGACTGGACGAGTGAGCCTGGGAATGCGAAAGACAGCCCGACAAACTCGCGATGATGGCGATACTACGCTCGTCCTAGCTTTTGTCAAGATTGCATTTTCAGCTATCATACGGTCCCATACCGCCTTGTGTTGCAAATTCATGCCAGGCGCTCAAGGCCGAGCGTATGATGGGTAAAGGAAAGGCCTACCGTCTTTGGTTCAACGCCGTAAGTACTTGATCGATCGTTAGTGCTCTACCATCACAAAAGTCACTTGCAATTTGAAGCTGCCTCGTTCATACTCGTATGCAATAGCCTAGTCAAGTCTTCTCTGTGGCATGTGAAGAAGAACCTGCCAGAGGCATGGCTTCCAGATTCCTAGTCCGATCTGAACAACTGTCGTTATTTTCGGTACAATGTTTTGCACGGCCCCTCCCGAGTAAAATTGGGATAACGGACGAGTTACCTATCTATCACCAGGGCGTAGCGCGAGTGTGTATACAGTGGAAGTACGCCCTTTTGGCATACGTGTCCGATCTTTGCACACCAATGCATTACAGCCCCATAATGTCTATGTACGGACAAGCCGCTGCAAGAGCACTCGGGTCAGTGGCCTTTACAACGTGTATAAAAGGTGGAGTTCAATCCGAGTCTCTGTTCAAATCGCATCCCAGCTCATTTGCACTCTTAGACGCAGTTGTAGCACCATTTTCCACAACCAAACCTATTCTTCGGAGATCACAATCATCAATGGCCCCAGCCCCGACATCCGTCCCACTTGTATCCCAACCCAATGTCATCAGTGACCTGAAAACAGCGCTTGCTGTCCAAGGTTCAGCCTCTGATCATCCTCGCACTTTGCACCAACTTTTATCCCAAGCTGCTGAACGTTATCCTCTTCAGCAACTCGGCTTCATCTCTTCATCGGCTCACGACTCGTCTATCCAGACAAAGTCATATAGCACCTTCAACCAACATGTCCGTAACTTGGCGCGTGCCTTGACAGACTGGAAGAAGCCCGTCGGTTCTATCGTCGTCGTGTACTTGACAGAGCACGAAGATAACATGGCCGCAGTATGGGCATGTTTACTTGCCGGTTATATCCCCTGCTTGCAGCCTGCGCTCAGTGCTCAGCAGTCTCACAAGGAGGGGCATATTAACCACATCAAGAATTTATTTTTATCTGCGACATGGCTCACAAACGAAATAGGTGCTGAACAAGTGATGTCAGTAGATGGTATAGACATCCACCTCTTCTCAGACCTCAAGTTGGCAGCTGAGGGTTATAACGTTCCTGCCGACTGGGCTGCCGTCGAAGCGAAGCCCGACGACGAAGCCATTTTATTCTTAACATCTGGATCCACTGGTTTCTCGAAGGCAGTAGTGCACACTCACCGAACTATTATTGCCTCTTGCTATGCCAAGGGTCAAAGTTATGGGCTGACTTCGGAGACGAATGTTCTCAATTGTGAGTTACTGAAGTTCCTTACGATAACAGCACTGGATTTTGATGAATTTTGATATAGGGGTCGGGTTTGATCACGTCGCTGGTTCACTCGAGATGCACATAACACCTTTACTTTTCGGGTCATATCAACTTCACGTACATGCATCGACTATTCTATCTGATCCACTCAGTTTCCTTCGTTTGATTGATGACAAGGTAATACAATTTGCCATCTTGAAATCAGACTATACTCATGAACTTCACTAGTCCATCAACATCGCTTTCGCGCCTAACTTCCTGCTCGCAAAACTCGCTCGTGACCTGGAGAAGAGATCTGAGCTGTATGGAGCTTTTGACCTGTCTTCAGTGAAACGCATCAACAGTGGTGGAGAGGCAGTTGTCTCTAAGACTGCGAAAATATTCGTTACTGTACTTAAGGCCTTAGCAAAAGACCCCTCGAAGGTCTCTTTTGTGGTCTCTGCTGGCTTCGGGATGACAGAAACTTGGTAGGCTGATCTCGTTGTTTACTTCGCTACGCACAAGCTCAATGACTACTTATCCAGTGCGGGCTGTATCTATGATCCCATCGATCTCAGCGTCATTAACCCCATGCACGAATTCCTCGACCTTGGTCGCCCTATCCAAGGTTGCGAGATGCGCATTGTAGACCCTGAGGACGGCATCACACTTCGTCCCGACGGCGAGAGCGGTGAACTTCAAGTCCGAGGTCCGATGGTCTTTGCTCGGTACTATAACAACCCCCAAGCCACGTCATCCAGTTTCGTGGAAGGGCGGTGGTACCGGACTGGAGATATCGGAATCATCGAGAAAGGAGTAATGAGGCTCAGTGGCCGCATCAAAGATACCGTCATCGTTCACGGCGTCTCTTACGGCATCCCTGAGCTCGAGACCTATCTGCAGCTCGTCGAGGGTGTTACTCACTCTTTCCTCGCTGCCGCACCATATCGCGCTCCCGGTCAAGAGACAGAAGGATTTGTTGTGTTCTACTCTCCTACTTTCGACCTCAACGAGGAAGATGCTTCGAATAAGCTCGCTGCGACGCACCGTGCTCTTCGTGATATTTCAGTGAAGATGATCACGCTCCCACCTCAGCAAATCATCCCTATCCCCATCGATCAGATGGAGAAGACGACGCTTGGCAAACTTTCAAGGGCACGCCTTCTTACGTTGTTCAAGCAGGGAGAGCTCGCTAAACACATTGCCCGAGCTGATGAGTTGCTCAGCGAAGCCCGTGGTGCTACCTTTGTAGTCCCCGCTACGATCACTGAGACTGCCTTCGCCAAGATCTTTGCCGGTGTATTCAACTTGTCTACAGACGATATCTCCGCGGCTGATAACTTTTTCGAGTTGGGTGGTACTTCTATCGACGTTATCAGGTTAGCGAAACACCATTTTTAAATCTATAGATGTTTCATTGATCATTCAATTATAGATTGAAGCGTGAGGGTGAGACCGTTTTCGGACTTCCCGAGATTCCGATCATCCAGATTCTCAAGCACCCTGTTCTTCGTGACTTGGCCAAATACATCGACGCTCTGGTTTCCAAAGACAACACCCAGCAAGAATATGATCCCATAGTTCCTTTACAGCTTACTGGTAACAAAACGCCCATCTTCTTCGTACACCCGGGTGTGGGCGAAGTGTTGATTTTCGTGAACCTCGCCAAATACTTCCAGAATGAGCGACCTTTCTACGCATTCCGTGCTCGTGGATTTGAGCCTGGCCAGCCTTTCTTTTCCAAGATGGACGAGATGGTGTCTAGCTATGCAGCGGCAATGAAGAGGACGCAGCCCAAGGGTCCATATGCTATCGCCGGGTACAGTTATGGTGGTGTTATCGCCTTTGAGGTAGCGAAGCGTTTGGAAGCTGGTGGTGATGAAGTGAAATTCGTCGGACTTATCAACATTCCACCTCACATCGCAGACCGGATGCACGAAATCGACTGGACGGGTGGAATGCTTAACTTGTCATACTTCTTGGGCCTCGTGTCCAAGCAGGACGCTGATGACCTCGCTCCTACTCTCAGGCCTTTGACGAGGAAGGAGCAGCTGGACGTTGTGTGGAAGCTCTCTCCTCCTGAGCGATTAGTCGAGCTCCAGTTGACACCGGAGAAGCTCGACCACTGGGTAGACATTGCTGGGTCGCTCATCGAGTGTGGCAAGGACTACAACCCCTCAGGCTCTGTTGGTGAGTGACTTGCCTATAGTCTAAAGGAATGCCATCATGTTGACTAATATTATTTTACTTAGCTGTGGCTGATGTTTTCTACGCCATCCCGTTGCGCGGAAGTAAAAGTGATTGGTTGAACAATCAACTCAAACCCTGGTCAGGTTTCAGTCGTACCGAGCCCGCCTTCACGGATGTACCTGGACGTCATTACACACTCATGGACTTTGACCACGTTCCACAATTCCAAAAGATATTCCGTAGTCGTCTTGAAGCCCGTGGAGTTTAGAGGATGGAAATCAAGCCTACATATGTACATGATCCTGTCTTTTGTACAATTCCCAAGTGTTTCATGTCTCATCACTGCTATCTAGATTAATACGAGACTGTTCTGTTAGACTATATTTACTATGTATCTTTTGCCAATGTCATATCTATTCTGGAATGCCCCACAAGTGTGATCAGATCACGTCCCCGCACCAGCACGATGTTGCGGACCGTGTTGACAGCTTTACATCACTTGTTATTATTGTTATCTTTGAAGTGTGATATTAAGTTTTATCCTCGGAGCTCACTGCAAACTTTGGTGGATAGATATAAATAGCTGTTATTTTTATCACAGTTAAAGCAGCAGAAGAACAATGACCCAGTCACACCAAGAAATTTTGTAAGACGATATCTACCCCTCCGGTGTACGTTTACTGAGTGAATCCCGTAATGACGGTGCAGTTATCGATGGGTCCATCCTGACCACCACTCACCTTCAAGCTTGACCAGTCCCATGTACCTGTGGAGGAAAGATGACGATATCAGTTGACATATGCTATACTGAAATGGGGTAGTTTGCATACCAGTGCAAGCCCCAGTACCACAATCAACCGCAACCATATCAACACCGCTCTCGGTGGTCAAGGTTGTCGTTGAACCGCTGAAGTTGATATCCTAGATGAGCCCCTTTTAAGTTAGCGGGGAAAGCGCCACCAGTTGTGAATCTGGGTAGTACTTACGGAAATGTCTGTACCAGTCCCTGGAGTCCCTAGCGATGCAGGGTAGCTCTATCGAAGGCAGGTTAATTGGTTATTATCCCTTTCCATGGTCAAAAAAATGGTTACCTGAGTGATCAGAACACCGTAGTCTGTACAACCTGTAGCTGTGTTTCCCTACATGTGGAAAACCAAGGTTTAAGGAATATCATATGGTGATACAATGCAACTTACAGAGTAGGTGACGTTAGAAACAGTGCTTCCAGTTGCGCTTGCATCAGTCTTAATACGGAATGCTTGTTGACTAACCAACGTTTGCTTAGGTGAATAGTCAGTCAAGGTTGATAAGAGGACAAACCTGTTGACGACGGTATTGCCTGAGATGACAACGCCTGATACGGTCACATCGGACGTGATGGAACCCTGCGATACTTCTGAGCCTATGTTCATATGATGCATACGGTATTATAACTCACGATAGAGATACCGTGCCCTCCGGAGCAATAGTTGTCGCTAAAGACAAGGTTGGTTCCCTTGTTGATGGCAAGACAATCGTCCTAGACAAAGTTCAATTCCTGTGACGACATAGAGGGATAATTATATGGTACCTGATTTAACACAGTGCTAATTAACTCTTGTCAGTAACCAATGTAATTTTAAAGATGCGTAAATCTGACCTCTTCTCGATGACCAAATCGTCGGCGCTGACGTCGAATCCGTCAGTGTTGTGACCTTGCATTCATTGTTAGGATCTATCTCCCAATCGGGATATACGTTATGGTATTAAGCGTACCTGCGGGAAGTCCATTACTTTGGGAGTTCGTAGCGTCACCTTGGGCTAGATAACGTGATGGAAATTAAACCACTCGTGCGAAACAAAGATGTCGAAAGCGTACAGTTATCAACAGTTATGCCAGTCATGGTGAGTGCAGCCGGGTTGGAAACCGAGAAACATTGAGCAGGGGAGTTAACGACGTAGACATCCTGTGAAGAGAATTTGAGAACCAGAATCTACACCAACAACGTGCAGTAACTCACAGACATAGTGCCCGAAATTTCAATCCTATAAGCGTGATTAATAGCCATTTTTTATTTACGCATACAAGCACCTACTTCATCATCGGGTGAGGCTTGGTCGTGCCTCCGTTAGTGCCTAGCCCATCCTGCCCATATGTTAGCGCGGAGACCAAACTTCAATGAGGTTGTGATTACCCAATAGAAAGGTCCTCCGCCATCGAATAGGTAGTTGTTTCCATTGACTAGAAAACTGAATGTCAGTTTCCGCCCACTCGCTTTAAAAGCTCTACTGACACGTGATATCACTTCCTCTGTTATACACACATATCAATGATCAAAGCGCGTGATTCTCAGCAAGAAATCGCTTACTTCACTTCAAACAATGGACCAGCCCAGCTCACATTTCCAAATTGAACGTCGCCATCTGCCATGGGTCACTGAGGGGAGAGCGTGAAAAACTAAGCACTGTAAATACTCACTGACGTTCACCGTGGTACCATCAAGCAGGGATAGCGTGAATGTTTCACCAGCCGGGACCGTGAACGCGTTGATATTGACAGTAGTGCACTCCACAGCAGCAGTCACATCGCTCAACGAGGATATGGTGCCTGTGCAGCTGCTACTGTCCGCAGTAGGGGCAGCGATGGCAAGGGAGGCGAGTAATGCAAATGTCAAGGAAGCAGCCATGTTGAGGAGTATATGCCAAATGCCAGGAGCTTTGGTGAAGATTAATGCTAACATTCTTCCACTCTTTATACCCTGTTATGCTGGTACAGCGGCGGGCCGGTTGCAGTGTGCACGAAGTATCGAGTTTCACAAGTAAAAGCTTCTTGCATTGATTCAAGATGCACGCACCTGACAAATATACAACACATTGGTTGAAAGACCAGGCGGTCCGACGCAACGACAATCCCGCTGCACAGCGTGCATCTGGAGTATAGGTTTGAGAAAAGGTGTCTTTTACTCCTGGAGACAAAAAACTCGCCAGTTAGGAACCGTCCCATTGACAGCGTTATAACGGTACCGAAAGGTGAACAGAATTTCTCTGACGTCAAGAATAGCAGTCATGTGAACGAACTGCAGCGGACATGCGAGAAACATCCGTGGCATTTTGTATATCATCCGAGCTCTTAATTTACCTTGTTCATTCTCAAGGGATTACAAATGCGACGATCGGTTAGGCGAATAGTCAAGCTTACTGAATGGACGGACACGGTAATGCCTGCGAAGATTTTAAATATAATGGATAGGAGAAGCCTTGTTACGCGTAACCATAGCCATCCATCTTGATTATTGCACTGCACCATTATTGCGAGTTGAAATCTGAGAAGTAGCTCAGCTGAAGCACTTGAATCGCTTTCCGTTTGTTGTCGCAGCTTCAAATTCCTACACAGCGGCACTGAATAACGCGGACAAACTAGTAGTAAATGGCACTTCTGGATTGATGCTCACCCGTTGTTAGAACATAGGGCCAGCACAAGAGCGTGAAAAGCATTGAATTAATCTTGAGCTGCCCTGTGCTGAATAAAGAAGCTCGTTGTGTGGAAACCATGTGGATTAACCTTGGACAAGAAGACTGAGGGGAAAATAAGCAAAATTTGCCGGACCGTCTAGGGTACAACACAGACTCCTGAGAAGTAGCCACTGAAATATATCAGAACATTGGTTAAACGCATTTAACCCTGTGAAGAGACAATTTTGTGGGGTCGTGCGTGCTCTGATGTAGTAGAACAGTTTGCGGTGTATATGCGGGAATAATGTTCTGAAGAATAATATTGAAAGTAAAACGGAGCATTCAGGCAGTCATGGGATGAAGAAGCAATCATGAAAAATGACACCGAGGAACCATCCGTCCTCCTAAGACTATGTTTGCATTGACAAAGCTGACGGACTGGGACTCGTGTTAAACGCTAGTCATTCCGAGGCATACCATTCAGAATAAGGACCGGCAGTCGCCTCCATGAGTAAAAAACTCACCAAGAAAAAAAAGATCATTATGCCAAGACACCTTTCGCGATGAGATCTTCTAGCTCTGGTGGGCTGTCAACGGCTGCAGTCATGTGCGCTGTACTATTGCTGTCAACTTGATCCAGCGGCGCTAACTTAGTCTAGCGAGCTAACTTGGGTTCAGGCTAAGCATCTGGAGTAAACCTGTAACCTGAAGAACAAGAAAAAGTTAGGTACGTATAGGAGACGGTCCGGCCGGTCCGTCATTATAATTGACCAACATTACGCATCTACTTACCGTGCGACACCAATAGACCGGAGGCCATACAATTGACATTGGGGTCTAGCTAGGAAATAGCTGGTAACAATTTCTTCCCTCTGGTCACTTATTCTTGTTCAACTCACTTAACAGAACAATAGATTGCACGCCAAAAATTATCGTTGAATTACTTTGATAAAAAGCTGGCGTACAGATAAGTCCGCTGCCTAAAGACTAAAGACCGCATTCATTCAGCATAGACTCAGATTACTGTTGATGATAATTCACCTAAGAATCACGCAAAAATGTGTGCCAATAGCTCTTTGCCAAGGTCTTGAAAGCAAGGAAGCGCCGGAGAGCAAGCTTCCTGTATTCGGTATCCTGCATGCCTGCACTGGCGCGACGATGGTGACCTGAAACGGTGACACACTTGAATACCTCGGTTTCCACAGCAGGGTATGACCCTGTTGCAGCAACGGTGCTCGACGCCTGCGTAACAGGTACCAGATAGTAAGTAGGGCGGGTACCAGACATAGTAATACAAGGAATCGTCATAGATTCGAGTGGATCGAGGCCCCTGCCCTCATATTTATCATTATTGAACTGATATGCTGCTATAGCTTGCGACTTCCGCCTGAGCATCAGTGAGGCCTTGAGTTAACCAAGATCAATAGTATCAGGGTTGGTCGATATAGAAGGCATACACCAGTCTGAGCAGTCGTATTGATTTCGCCACAAATTGTCGGCAGAATGATATACCGAGTAGATAGCATCAGATTGCGCTCTGAGAAACCGAGGTCTCCCTGGTGAAGTCGTTGATAAGACTTTTCTGGGCGGCGCTGGTGGCGAGAACGAGGTAATCCAGATAACGAGCGGCGGTCTCAGACAATTCTGGATCGTCGGCGCCGGGAGGAGTGGTCAGAATGGCTGGGTCCAAGTCATCCAGCGACGGATCTGCGCCAGAGCAAAAGAACTCGTCTGGCGAGAGAGAGTTAACGGTGATGTGGTATGCAATGAGCTCGTTGACGCTCTCGTCGCTCCCTGACTTTGCAGATCGGATAAGGTTGATTTAATCTGGTAATAAACATGCAAGTAGCATATGCTGGTAAAGATCCTGAAGTGCTTGGACTGGCCAAAACGAAGTGACAAGACTAACCAGCGTACACTAAACAGTCGCCACAGCCTGAGAGGGCGGCAAACATCACCACACAGATACAGTCTGGTTTGAGACCCAGTTTACATTTTATTGATTCATGGCTTGCCAGTGATAGCCATCTATTTGGTTTCAAATCTCATCTCATTTGAACCACACCTGAAATCACATTTCGGTATGTGATATGCCAGACTTCATATTTTCAAAAACTTACTGCTCTGATTTGAAATACGATTGTTCGAATTGATCATTCGATCCTAGGTCAACATTGCGGTGATAACTCCTAGCGCCCTTGGGAAGACTGTAGTCGTGGTCGTGCCGAGATAAAGCATTCAGCGTCATCAGCCTGGTGTATCACAGTTGCGGGTGAGAGTATTGACGATCCCTTTGACAATGATAATTTACGAAAAATCCGTGACATTCACAAACTAGACTAATGAACCTAACCCTTATCTAAGTATCTATTCTATGAACCTACGCGAACATATCTTCCTCGCCAACCACCTTCATACCAAGGAAACTCCACATTGCACTCGCGTTCAAATCATCCATACCATCCGACTTCGTACCCACAACGTCATCAACTTGAAACACAGTCTTTGCCTGGAACAAACGCTTCAAATCAGCACAAGCAGGAATCCATATCATAACAATAAACTTACCAAACCGACGGAAACTTTAATCCTTGGTTGACCGGGTGTATACCATCCTAGCTCTTCGTCCACTTTGCCATGTTTGTTCTCAGCAAGTTCGGACGATGCAGGACGAGAAGAATCTTGATTGCTTATCATCTTGAGAACATTGTGCGCAGCGACCTCAGCCTAACCAGTTAATAATCAGCTTGTGTTCTGTCGAAAAAATTGGTAACTGTATGAACCTGATAATATGCGTTGTGCCCCGCATTGATAGCCCCAAACGCATCCGCGGCATCGCCGACGACGAATATATGGGGATAGAGGGACCCTTGCTCACACGTCGAGGAATCGTTTGATAGGGGGACATTGAGTTGCATGGTTCGCAAAACTGGAGCTAGACCACTGTCCGGAATGACTGCACGTGGATCCATCTCCGCTAGCAAACCTGTGTTTGGCACTTGTCCCGTACACAACAGCTACACGTGGTTGATTTCTCAATTCCAAAATCAAAAGAAGTACGGGACTTGAACATACAATGAGGTCAGCTGGAACCTGGCGCCCCGTCGTAGTCCGAACGACTCGTTGACCTGCCTCGTTAGTCTTCCCTTCGTGTACAGACTGGAGATCGAGACGTTCCCCAAGTACGACTTCTACATTAAGCTCCTCAAAACATTGAAGAACTAGTGACAGCGTTAACCCTCCGAAAGTAAAATTCAAGAGAATGTACACACTTTCTGTATGTATAGATTCATCAAACTTTGGCAAAAGGCGACGTCTGGAGTGTATAAGGGTAACCTGTTTGTTAGGATACACGGCTGCAATGTCTGAAGCAAATTCTGTTGGAGCGGTATCAGAACACGGACAATTCGATGGTGGTGCTAACTTACGGATCCCCAACGCCCCACCGCCGACTATCAAAACACTAGAAGCCTCCTTGACGCGCTTTTGGTGTCGTTGGAGCCAACATATACCCTCAGGTTTAGTCCCCTGGTATGACGGCGAAATTGATTTTGGGGTTCCATGTTTTTCAAAATCTGCATCAGGATTGGCACTCCATAAGTTTATTGGGGAGGGAAGGTGGGATCCAAGAGCATATATGGCGTAGTCGAAATGCAATAAAGGCTCCTCAATGCCGTATTCAGGGAAAGAACGGGACAGCCCCACACTATGAGGACCTAAGGAGGTGATGTGGGCGTGCAGACGAATATGGCCAGCTTTAGGTGGACTGGAAGGTGAAATACTAAAGATATTATCGTAAGGGATGACTAAAACGTTATGAGTTGGTCAAATTGGTCAAATTAGGGCAATGAGTTTGAATGGAAGTGGCGTACATGCTTTATGTTCGTGTCCTGGTAGAACCGCGTATCTGGGGAGGTTATATACATCTATAATCAAGGGCGTAAGACCTCCGGATTTTTTTTCCGAAATTTTAACTTACGGTTGGCATGGCTGGGTCAATGTGGTATGTCAGCTACAATTTATCCCCAGCGGTCATGGTCAAAAGCACGCACGAGTTTCTATCAATCACGACAACCCTCCAACCATCTGGAAGACCACCTGCGAGGACCTTGGCAGCCCTATGACCTGAATAAAAGTTAGACGAAGTGTCCCCTAAATGTCTCTCCTAAACCCGCACCTCCATACGAAGCTCCGAGAACAACAACAGTTTTGAGACCGGCAGGAGCGTTGAACGTTTGAGAGCTGGTAGACATGATGGTGTTGGAAAGAAGAAAGCTTATTGTAAAAATGAAGTATGAAAAGAATGTCAGACGGCCAGAACGCTCAAATGGAAAGGAGGTGGTGGTGCAGACAAACCGCCTACAGGCCGGGAAAAGCTTGAAAAATAATCTGATAACGTTTATCATGAATGGGGCAGGCGTGGGAACGCGGTATTCGGCCCCAACTCGGGCTTTTTCGGACCTCTTGTTGGGTCACGTTTTCGGATATTTCGGGAAACTATTCGATTACTCCATTCGCCTCGAGCAGATCTGATAGTTTATCCATCTCCCTACTGTCGGTTCGAGGCATAGGGCTGCCCCACTCAGCCCTTTACCTCGAATCAGCAATGGCCAGCCAAGTTATGGCTTGGTAACATTGTTATCTATGATTATTTCATGTCCTCATCATAATGAGATGGCAGCATCAAGTGGGAGCTAAAGTGGGCTAATTCGGTGAATTACAGTGACCGAGACCAATGTATTGAATACAAACCGGATCTAAGGTCTTATACAGACACCCGTGTACACCGGCAAAGCAAAGATCTTGAGCCACACAATTGAGTATGGATTCAGAGCGGTGATGGCAGCATTTGTCTATATCTTGAAGACTCCAACTCACATCGTGATTAAACTAGTCAATCTTCTATCCCTGGTGTACATTGTGTTGACCTATCTCTTGACCTGTCTTCACATTTACATGTGGTACACCATATCGAGATTGTACTTATCTATGCGGGGTGAGGCCTCATACCGGTGAGGTTTCGAAGCAAATAACAGTGGGAACTTGTACCACATGACATATCATACATCACATACACATGTGAATACCTATTGGCAAAATAACTCTGCTGTAGCGATACAAGTACGTTATTTCGTACATGACTATTGTATATTGATGCCCATGGCGAGCCTTCAGAGCCTGCAGTTGACCACAAGAAAGATTAGTGTACAGATATACCAAAATGAATAGATAGTTTTAAATAGTCCAATCTGATATTAGATGACGTTCAGCTTCTCTAGGTGATGGCGGAGGATCCCTTCTCGAACTGTGTGATGAACCGCATCAGTGATAAGAGCAGATTTTTATGTGCATGCCTACATACCTACAAGCAACACGGCCTGAGTGGCCTTAGTGTCCTGTAATAAGAGGTTTTGTCGGTACTTAATCTAGTCAAGGATAGATGCTTTGAATACGCACAATAGCAGATGTTTCATGGCAGAAGAAAGCGCGAGGTTTTGGAGATAATCGTTTCTGAGAAATATGTAATCAACGGCTGGACACGTGCCAGTGAAATGAATGGCCACGTACATGATAAGCTCGGAATTTCTCTCTGAAATCTATCAGGGTGATATTGTAAGTAAAAGGTAAAAGGCTACGTAGGCAACGGAATTGGAATGGCCTACATCTTGTGACATGATACACGTCATTTGGTGAATCTCCATAACTTGGAACGAAAGTTTCTACGCGAACACCTGCTGCGAGAGTTTCCTCTAAAATATCCATCTAGTCAAAGCTGGGATAAGAAACACTGCAGATGTAGGTTGTCAAATACTCTCACTTTGTTCAGGAATAGTATCACGTTGGCACGGGCTAATAGAGGGTTCGCGCAAACCTCTTTCCAGAGGTAGATAGAGTCTTCCTAAAAAGGCACAGGTTAGCGTAGTGGTGGGGAAATGATGACGCGACACTTACAAGTCTATTTACTTTGTTGTCTTCTTCTAGAACTTGATTGAAAGCCAGCGGGACGAGGAAAATAATGGCCTGTACTAAGATGGAAGAAAGTGGCATGAGCAAAAATAAAGTAAATATTCTAAAATAAGCAACTACCATCATCGAAATACGGTATCCATTGAGGCCGCTGTAATGGATGGGGTCAAAGATCTGCTGCTGATGGAACAAGTATAACAAACCATATTTCGGCTGCCGCCCACATCATATATATACCACTCAGACCCTATCATCCATGTTGTGTCAAGATGAGCAGCATCAAGCGGAGAAGAATAAATACCATTTTCCATAAGGAACCTATGTTCCTCCACACCAAATGTCCGTAGGCGGGCACGCACAATGTCGGCTAAGCGGATGTCGTTAGCCTACTCGCTCTTGCATAAAACACTTCAAACAACTACCTTCAGTTGGTTCATATCCTGAATCAGCTATTCGGGCTGCGTCGTTAAGAAAGCTTCACTCGGGGTCAGAAAACAAAAGGGAAATATTAAGAGAGATATACTCACAAGCCTGGAGTAGACTCCAGGCGAACGCCACGCTTCTTGAGAACACCTCTAACCACTGAATCTTGCCAAAGAGCGATTATATCATCTCGACACGCTGCCAGCACCGTAGTTGGATCGTCTTTATTCCTGCCATCAGAGGTTATAGGTCGACGCATGTTTACTGCATGATCCATAGGAGGGGAGCCAACAGAAACGGCCCTTTCTAATGTGACCTTCCATCCGCTGCCAGCGCGTACACGTATTTCTGGTGACCGCTCCGGGTCATAGTGTTCAGGAAGTAATTGGCGGGTCAGGTTTGATTCCATGGAGAGAAGCGGCAACAATCGTAAGCGGATACGCCGATGATTATCTGTCAATGGTGTACTCGAAGGGGACATTGGTCCGGATCTAGATGAAGGAGGGCGCGATAGTCTGGAGGTATCATTGAGTTCGAGGTCGAGTACTGCCAGCAGTTTCTTGACGGAACTAGTAGACCAATTTTTAACATCGTGATCAACGCATCAGATGCTATAAAACCTACCCTATCAAGTTCAGTTGTACAACAGCCTTCCATATACGTCTTTCATTCGAAAAGTGATTTGGACTGAAAGCAAGCTGAAAGTCTTCACGAAGCATAAACCTCTATGTTCGTGTGCAGTAGCTGTAAGTGCTTACTCTTCAACATTGTAGACTTGCCCGACTCGGATTGTCCTGCACAATATCAATATATTGACTTGTCGTTTGTACGCAAGGGCGACTCACCTAAGAGGAGAACTTTGATAGCTTTCTTCTTCCTTTCGAGCACTTTCCGTGACTCTTGGATGCTCTCGTCAATTTCCCGGGATATCCGCTGTGCTTCCTGTTGTCGATACATTCTCTCCGTACGCTCTTCCATGCTCTCGTTCGCTGGAGGCCTGAAGACCTGGGACCATGAGTCGTCCTGCTGTCTCCTGCGAGGAGCTTTCTCTAAGGATCTGCTTGACCGGTGGTACATGTTGCTGGCTGTCATCGAAACTGTGATCCGGAAAATAAGGACACCTTAAATCGAGGACGAGCAAGAGGGGGATTAAGCGTACCTTGCAATGGGACCAAGCATACATAAAAGCCAGATAATTTAGCCACCAGATCTTGACATTTGAGATCTTCTGTACACAGCAGTTGTTTGAATAGCAACCAGTAAACGCTCATATGGGGCATCGATCATCATCCCAGCACCAGTGGCACCACAGTGCCTGACTCATGGTCCATCCATGATGCCTTTACATTTTCGCTGACAGTGATTTAGACTTGATTAAGCCTATGTTTCAAATGGCTTTCTACCTGGGTCCGACCTAGACAGGCGCGGTACGATCGTTCCTTCAGACTCGGAGAATTAAAAAGCGCCTGTAGCAACCTGCAAGAAATTTTACGAGTGCTAGACTCACCCATCACTCATAGCGCTACTAGTAGGTAAAAGATTGACACGTTGGATCAGTGAAACGGTTCGAGTGAGCAAATGCCCAGGCAGAACACAGGCCCGTCCGAGTCCGACCGGCTCAAGACGCCATCCAGGCTGTGCTCAGAGACGCCCACCCACTTTGGGAGCGAGCGCCAATCCTTTCACATGATTAGTACTACATTTGCAGCAAGTGCAGGAAAAGACATATGTACATGTCCTGTTAAATGATCTTGCCATCAAACGTCCACTTATACTGCTTGGCTTGATACCATTTGATAGCTAAAATGATTCATGTCTTACTGCGGTGTATTAATTCCTTTCATAGGGCCCGGTTGCACAGCCTGCCTATTAACTAGTACTGAAAGGTCAACACCATCAGTCGGACCTGTCCCGCTTCTGCAACACACATCGCGGCCCACCAACACATTTCAACATCCAGGACTGGCCGATTCGAGGCCAGCCCTGGATCAAATCCTCGTGGTCAATGCCCCAGAACAGATTTCGGCATCATCATCCCCACCTTTGCCAATTCAAAGATTCTCCGTCAGCTAAAAGATCTGCACGTGGAGTCTCGAGAAAATCTGCTCATACTCACCACGTAATTCGGCATATCGACCTACAATAGAACAAAAATCAAAGAGGAACGGAACAATGTTTTTCTTCCATCAAAACCCATATACACCCATGACAAAGATTAACATACCACTTCGTGCATTCTCAGATCACCGGCAACACTACACAACATATACGCCTCGACCTTGTCCAGATTGTATTCGTTAGTTAGGTACTCGACCATGTTGCGTACAGCTGCTCGTGTGGCTTCCTTGATATCTACGGGCATAACGGCGTATTATAATCAGTCATAGCTAACGATGCACATACGCCAATCTCACCTGAATTAACACCAGTCGTGCAATAGTAATCAATGCCCTCAGGTGCAGCAGCAGAGGTACAACTAAAATGCGGGGTCTTCGTATAGGGCTTATCTTTCCGCACAGTCAATCGAACTGTCACTTTCATTGGCGTCTCGATAGCAGTGCCTGACATCTCAGATTGTAAGTTCATGTTCCTCGGTTAGATAGATAGCAGACGAACCGCAAACCTCTTCATGATAAACCCAAGGTTTTAATCAGATGACGGAACTAAACATGCGCAGCATATCTTACCTCCGTCTCCTTGGGCAGCATGACCGTCCTACATCACAATCGGGTATTAACATTAATCACCAACCTAGAAACGAGATTATCTGATTTTTATCATGTGGCAGGTGCTTACCCCTATGGAGAACAGTGCACCTTCGGCTTCAATAGGAAGGTACAGAGTGGACCCAACCGTCACATGTCTCGTATCAATATTGCCTCCCGTGCAATACGGGGGTATAGTTGAGAATGCTCCACTCTTTCCCGGTGCAACTCCCATTTCGCCCGCGAATGGTCGCAGCGGTATTTTCATTCCCCTCGCCTCGTCAAACCATGTAAACCCTTTACTTTGGTCTATCTTCCATATTTTCAGGGCTGGCTCAGTGTATTCATCAGCCAACAGGCCAAATCCAGGGATCACTGCTGTCCAACCCCAATCGCCCGTCTCGATTGACAAGACATCCACCTGCAGGGTATCCCCTGGAGTAGCACCACGAACATAGACAGGGCCGTTTACCTGGTCAAATAGTGATAGATTTATAGTGCCAACTGTGTCTTTGGTCGAGTCTGCCGTAAGTTGACCATTTGATGCATCCAAGCAGTCAAAGGTGACCGTGTCACCAGAAGCGATGTGGATGACGGGAGGTATGCTACGACTAGTGATCAGACCAGTCTCACATTGCTCAAGAAGAGTCCATACCTATTGTCCCATGCCAGATTAGTTTGATCTCGCTTGAGTGAGTGAATAGACATCAGTATCGCAAGGGTATGGCAGGAAACAAGATGCTGAATGTGGCGTCAACGCAAACTAACGTGGGTCATCAGAAAACGTGATAGTAAGATTAGTGTCAAGCTCCACATGAACGAGGTACAAAATATGTTCGCACAGATGTGATCTATATATAATAATGGAAGATACTTTAGATAAGAAGCAGATATTATGAACTATGAAGCAGTTCGATTATCAAGGACAGTCAGAGCATTGACATTGCCCAGTCTATCGTTCGCTCAACCCGCTCTCCCTCTCGGATATTACGCAGATCCGATAGGTGTCTCATAGTGGGCCTTCCATGGGGGCAGTTCCATGGTTGATCCATTGTCCCCATATGTCGAACGACCTGAATCGAAAAGTGAAACTGTTAGAAGTACAAGATGCCGGACCATAAAGTAGTTGACGTACCGACGTCATTTGGTTGTGAGTCAGTGGCATGCCAACCATAATACTTTTGCGACAAGCTCTCATCGCAAACATCGCCCTAGCTTTTGAGCATCTGACCATAGTCCCGGCCGGGCGATCTTGCAGTAAATGAATTAGTTCCTCTAGGTCTAGACATATCACATGTCAGTAAAGAAAAAGCATGAGAGTTGACGAGATCCACCTTTGATATCAAACTGCGTGTTTTTACTGACTGGTTGAGCTAGTAGCTGAAGCCGGGATCCAGGTCCTGAAGTGGCATCGTCAGCTTGCACGTCAAAGCCGTTCCTTTGGAGAATTTCGAGGTTCTCGACAGCAACCAGCTCGTCTGCTGCACTCAACTCCAATACCCGGGGCCTGTGGAAACCGAACAACCAATATAGTTAAAGGAAATATACTACGCCATCAGGCATCCTCACCTGAAGAGCTTCTGTGATTCAATGACCGTAGTCTGTTGCAACGTTTCGAAATTGTACTTCTCATCAGCAGCATGTTGATCAATGATAAATAAATCATCTAAATCGCCTTCCGCTTCCATCGACTTCTGCCTACGGGCGATTATGAATCCTAAATTGAACTGGCCTAACACTTTCATGGTATCAAAGTCCTCCTTGCCAATGGTACGAGATAGAGCCGCTGTCGCTTTCTCATCATCTTCCGTATTGGTCAGTCCAGCATCAACCTCTAAGAAGGATTCAAGTCCCACAGCTGGTACGTTAGCCCTCAGATTCTTCGATAGCTGTTCCCCAAGCTGATGCCAAGTCTCCGTTACTCGGGGCAAATCAAAACGAAGAGTGACATTGGTGGTATCCGAACTTCGTGCATATTCGCCTGAAACTGTTTTAGCCCCTGAGCGGGATGTGCCTGCCACAGAACTTGCAGCCAAAGTCGAAGTCATTTCCGTATCGCGGTCTTCATGAGCTGTAAGATCGATCACTCGTTGTGAATCGGTTTCAGTCGGTCGTCCGCGTGCAGAAGATATTTTTCGCTTTTGTGGCACTGGGGCTTTCGCCGAACCGCTATCAACAGCTATCACGGTATCATCTTCTTCAGAGTCATCCGCTTCTTCGAGCTCGTTGCGTGTGGCCTCAGTAACTTGGCGATTAACCTTTGATCCTTTGTGAGGATGGTCAATCTCGTCTTGGTCGTCCGCAAGCTCGTCTTCCTCTTCTACTTCAGGAGACGCAACCCGCCCACTGTTACTCGCAAAGGCTTTCAATTTCGTACGAAGACTTTCCTTCACATTTTCCCGGCGGACTTTTTTGCGTGGAGGACCTTCTTCGCCTTCTACATCTTTCTCTGCATCAGCCCCGCGGCGTAGGTTCCATGATGCCCCTTTAGTACTAAGCACCATCTGGGCAGAGCCATCTCGCGATGTTCCATGACTGGAGTTTACAGCACTATTTGACACTGAAGTGGAAGAAACCTTACTCCTGATGCGTACCATTGATGGCAAAACTATTGTCTCCGTGACAGGGGCTTTCGGCGTCCCATTAGTTTGTGCGGTAGTCGGGAGTTGACGTCGAGGAGGCGAAGTTTGCTTTGATGAAGCAGCATCAGAAATTACAGCATGGCTTGCTGTAACCTGAGGTCTTGATAAATAACTTTCATCCATCTCATCGTCCTGAGCCTGGTCTGGGACAACTTGTTCCTGGGGAGGCTCGGCGCAATCAAGGTCATCTGAATCAGGTAAAAACAGAGGAGGCGGTGCTGGCTGTACAGGTGAACTAAGAGGACTTCTGTTGGAAACATCGACTGCAGTAGACAGTTCTGCGGTAGTATCCTGCTGAGATGCCGATTCACCTGCTTTGGCGTTCTGATTTTCATTATCTACAAGAAGGTGTGGTTCGCCCATAGTAATATCTTCTTTGTCGAGCGGTGTTTGCTGTTCCAAGTCTGTCGGAGCCAGAGTGTGGCGGCGGTCCATTGCGTCTTCGTTAGCAATGTTCTCGGCTGCAGTAAGGTTACGGCGAGTAACTTGCGACATGAGGGTTTGCTGTGTGCCTTGAGTACCTACTGCAAACGTGGATCTGGCAGATGAAAAGGAGTCTTCCAGTGCAGACTAAAACGAACACAATGCTATAAGTAACTTCAACGATACGTGATGCCTGTTCCAAGGACAAACCTTCAAGGCCTGTATAAGATTCGCCTCACTGTGGAGAAAGATTGTCCGTTTGTCAGGGCTTACATTGATATCGCATGTATCTTGGACAGCATAAGAATAGCGCTGGAAGGATTACTGGAGAAACCTACGGGTCGGGATAACGAAATCCGCGACTATAAAAGGGGATTGGTTGGCATTGAAAGAACGGTACACCTCATTGAACGCTTTTTGGATCTAGGGTGTGGATAAAAATAATGACGATTAGAAGCGTTCGGCACATTATTCTTACCTTGGGCGGACTGAACGGACGTCCGTTTATAAAGAAAAACTGTCTATCAGTGGTGGCCCTTCCACAGCTAGGAGAAAACTTCGAGATGAGGCCGCGCACACAGATGGTTGTTGGGCTTGAGGAGTCATGGGCGCCATTAAATTGTATTCAGTGGTACGGCAATAGCCCTCACCTGTCACCGTCTCCAGTACTCTGACGCCTCAGCACAGCCTTTTCTGTCTCCATCTGGAAAGTGAGATCCAACTCAACGACATTGTCGAGCGCTTTGGGACCCCATAAAGCTGTAACTGATGCCCTTGTAGATGGCGATCCATCAGTCTTCAGTTGAAGTGTCTTACGGCTGTTGTGATGGATTGCGTGAGCAATTAACAGGTGTTGCGAGCTGCACCGACCTACCCTCCGTCGGGCTGGTTTGTAACAGTAAGACGGATACCCTTGTCCGCCTTGGCACAGGGCACAAGGGCATAGGCATAAAGAAGATTGAGAGCTTTGCCAAATTCCCTCTTCACATTTCTCTCCAATTCTTTACGCCTGACTGGCAGTGGTTTGAACAACTCCTTGATGATGATCGTAGTCCCCCGCTGTAAAATTCGAGTCACTGGCGGGTAGCCCGGCGGCATCTATGGCGTCAACGTACCGTCCTGGCAGTCTTGCCCTTGCTTTGAATCTTTCCATTTCTGTCCATCTCCAACACGGTGCCTTTGGGCGTCTCGGCAGCAGTGGCAGTGACAACGGATATACCATTACTTAAAGCACAGAGGGATGATAAAGCTTCTCCGCGAAACCCGAAGGTGAGAACCGTCGACAGGTCCTCGAACGAAGTAAGTTTGGAAGTATAATGTTTCAGCGCTTTGTGCGTTAACAACATCAGCCACGGTACCGAAGAGCTGTCGACAGACTAACCAATGCCATCGTAGTCGTCTGCCTTGATACCGCTCCCATTGTCTATAACTTCAATGGATTTCAGTCCATAGTTGTGAAACCGAACTTCTTTTTTGGGGTATTAGGTACTTTTGAGAAGAGTATTTTAAAGTGCCGCAGCATACCGATGCTCTTCGCCTGGGCGTCGAGGCTGTTCTCGACCAGTTCCTTTACTGCCGTCTGGAGATCAACGACCACTTGACCGGACGTGATTCTGTGAATAGACTGGGTGTCGATTGGCTTGATAGCACCCGATGACCCGATTTGAGGAGATTGGGACATGGTACGGTCCTGCTGTTCCTTTTGTCATAGGATTAGGAATGAAGACAAAAGAGAAAAGGACATGTATGCCGTTAACGCAGAGGCCAATATGTGGCCGGGAAATGCCGACACGCTGCTGGCAGTGACACTGTGAACCCTATCATCCCGCAACAACTGAAATGTCTCATGACAGATATCCTGTTTATCAAAAGTTGGCGTGCCCGTTAGTGGGCCTGCCAGCACCGCATATGCAGCATATGAGTAATATCTATAGCTATTCGGGACGTGCGGCACAACCAATGACAGAGAGACAATGCCTTGAACACGTTTCTGAAGGGAAAGCAAACAACCCGCTTGAGCCGTATTAGGCAGCGGTTCGTCTCAGACTCCCAGCCATATAAGGAGCCCTTGTTGCCAGCCTCCGTCTCTTTATATGCTCCCTAGCACGCTAGTGCTCCTCCCTCGCGCTTCCCATGTCCCTTCCTTCACCCCAGTCACATAATGAAATACAGCTATCTAGAACCATGCTCCTAGACTTGCTCCATGATCTTTCCATTAGAGTCTTGCATGTCTTTGGCAGGCCCATTCGACTTTTTATCCACGGTGGAGCCGTTATGATTCTTCATCCTTCCCTTTCTACCTCAAGCACCCGCAGAACAACTCGCGATATAGATTATATCAAGCGAGCATTTGGTCACGAGTGGAGAAAGGCTGGGGTTTACGACGCCGAAGACAAGCTCCAGTTTTGCATCTCTGCCACCGCAAAAAAATTTCGCATAGGGTATGTTCTAAATTTCAACGTATGACTCGCTCCATGGCGTAGCACTGTACTGATACTTGCTGACAGGACCGACTGGATGAATGCTGATCCTGACGTAGCCCTTCCCTTTGCTCGAGAGTGAGTGTCATCGCTGATTCACCCTTCCAGCCAAACCCTTATCAACCCTACCGTTGGTTCCCAGCACGAAAGGACAATTATACGACCCCATTTATTACGATTCTAAGCAACCTAATAACCTCGCCATGAACACTATCTACAAGTCTACCGGCCTGACTCTGATCAGTGTCACAATGTTCTGGGGCGTGGCGCTGAAACTAGTTCGCTACAAGAAAGAAGATCCAACAGATATCGTTGCAATGCTACGACACGGAACGAAACTTAACGGTGTACAATGGACGCCACAAATATTGGAGCAATGGTTGTTCAAGCTCTGTTGGCCGATGGGCTATCAAAGTTACGAAAATTGGCAGGTAGAAGCGATGAGAGAGAGAATACGTGATGCTATAAGTTTAGCCAAACGCTGGAACCCCCAGCAAATCTCCCGCTACGGTAGTGGAGAAATCCGGACGTTCTAATCTCTGGATTGATGATACCTGTATTGCTTTCTCTCTCTCTGTTGTTTGTCGTCACGCACAGTACCCCTTCACACTTGTCTTGCAGATGTATTTGCTCTGTATCTTCTACCGATTTTTTTTTGCTGATCTTTTCCTCTGGGACGTTTTCCGCTGTAAAGGATCCCGACGGTTACTATTTTCATTTTGTAAAATAATCTACAGCAATTTTTACTTTCATAATGATAAGACAGTGTTGAGCCATCATATAGTTGGCACATAATTACGTATGTGTGGCGGAACAAGGTCTGCAGGTAAGTTAGCTATCTTGTCCAACGGTGCCCTCTTCGCCAAAGCCAGCAAATTGAGCCTGATCTTTCTAAGTGACGGATCCTCGTCATGAGCGCCCATAACGTCTATTGATCCACCTTCTTCCACATCCGGCTCCGCCTTCACTTGTGATTCACGTTCGTCAATTCTACCGCTCAGCTCCATGATCGCATCAGCAGAGAACGTCAGAGCGTGATCCATGACATCAGGCCCTTCATACAGCGCCAAGTTGCTCGTCGGCGTCTCGTCCTCCTTGTGACTCTTGATAGCAAGCGCCAGGTACTCAGCGGCATTCTTCGTCAGAGACGCCTCTAGAGCGCGCTCGCGCTCCTGTTCCATCCTCTTTCGTCTCTCCTCTTTATACGAGGCGCCCGCCCATTCATTCTCTGCGACAAATAACTCTGCAGGGCCGCGAATGAGAGTGGCCATCTCGAGCTGCTGCGCGTAAATTTGGCGCAAGGCGTTGAGCTCTTTGAATGCAGGTGGGTATATGGTTAATGACGTCGAGAGCTGGGAAGAGAGCGATGGCGAGACCGGCCGAGCGCAGTCGTAGAGGTGGGCGGCTATTTCGCGCAGAACGCTGTGCCGACCTTCCGTTATAGGATCCAATATCATGTCCGAGACATAGTCTACCAGTGGCTTCCCAAGAGGGTACGACACATCATCCTGCCGCTGTAAACAAGATTTAGTTACAATAAAAATACATAAACTGTCATATTCACCGATAAATCTGAACCATCCATGAAAGCCGCCAAGCTCCTGACATATGCCCAGCCATCTACACCTCCAAAAACAATATCCGTAATATACTGCTCTGCTTCAACTGCCCTTCCATCGGTCCAATATTCATCCCCCGTTGATGAAGCATCTGCGCCATTTTCCGAGTCACTAATCTTAGACTCCACAGACGAACGGATGGCGGAAAACAGTTTGTTCTCAGATCCCAAAGCAGTAGAAACATCCTTCGCACCGGTCTCTTCAGCAACCTCACCCACCAACGTCCCAAAAGAGCCATAATCAGTATTATTGGGTTCACGTGGGACTTTCCATGCCGGGGTGAAGCACTCGTCGTCTTTCTCTTTTACTTTTCCCCGCGCGGGAGCATTCCGCATGATAGTCCAATGACGTCGCCTCTTGTTTGGTAATACGGAACTGGTGTCCTTTGTTGTTGTAGAAATCTCTAGAAAAGGCCGCTTTAGGGGTGCACTGATCGGGGGTGGAAGAGATCCCTCCGAGGAGACCTCTGGGGGTAGCGGTGGATAGAGCGGAGTGAGTTGAGGACGGCGAGGAGAATCTGGGACAAGAGAAGAGAGGATGGAAAAGGGATCTTCCACTTGATAGGATCAATCGAGTGAGCAAAGCCCCAAAAATACATGAAAAAAGAGGAGCATACTTTCAGTGTAATCAAGACTACCATCAGGACAATAGGGAGGACCCCCTTTCTCCATTCTGAGTCTTTCCTTTTTCGTGCGGTATCGCTTCCCTGCACAAAATTGGCACACGCACTAGCCATGAGCTACTTTACATACACACCTTTCAATTTCAGTGACAGCATCATTTTTGCCCAGTCTGACTCTGGAGGGAATGCACCCAAGCCGTCTTTAGAGCCGGGGAGGCGCCCTTCGGCGTCGATACTTTCAGAGATGGTGGGTGCGGCTCCTTTCTTGTACGGGCCTCGTGGACCTCGTTTCGTTTGTGTGACTGGCGTCATCAACGATGGAGCTGGCGATGCCGCAGCACTGCCGTCGACATCCATCGGTGTCATGGTATGCGCACCATCGTCATCATCATCCACATTAAGAGCCGCCTCATCATCTTGCTCGATCTCTATATTCCAATCCGTCTCGTATTCGATGACAGTGCCCGCAGCTTTTGAGATATGGTCCAAGCCCCATACTTCTATTCTATCGGCTTCGCTGTGATATATCGTCCCAGGCGGATTAAACGTCTTTGCATTGGAAGTGACTAGACGGAAATCGGCCTGCGGAGCGTGCGTTAGCAGACAACGTGGTACAGGCTTCGAGATAAAAGACTGACAGCGAATTCTTCAAGTGATCGATACCTCGAGTGGCTAACCTTCGCAGACATAGTTCCAAGATCCATTGGACGTTTTATCACATCTGCATATCCCGGAATCTGGGCAGGATCCACAGGTGATATGAAGAATGCATAATCGTCTTTCCTGTCCCTCCTGGTCAATTCTGATCGAGTGAAAAGTGACATAGATAAGCTTACTTCTTGATCTGAGTGATTAGCTTTGTCAAAACCTCTTTCAAGGGCTTCAGTTTGACCGGTCGCGGGATCTTTCGAACCTCCGGATCCTGGAGGGAGCTCCCATTCTTTGATTTCACCTTCTTCCCTCCTTTTACCGGCCTTCCTAGCTTGAGCGGTGGTAGCACCAAAGTAATCCCTGAAGAATGGGTGCCATTTTGTCTACTTGGAGGGGTCGATAGGGAAGATTCAGCGTAGTTTTCGTTGGCTGACAAGTACTGGAAATCTTCCATGCTCAAACTTGGTGTCGGTAGTAAGGTTTCGGCGATAACTGATTGCAGGAAAGGAAAATATCACGTGATTCTCGATTTGAGCCACACACGCGTAAGTAATATTTGTTTCAAGTTCATGTCCCTATCCGAGTCGTGTTCCGAGGACTGCAAGGCCCATCTCACGATATCATATTCGCGCCGCGTTCTAAAGTGTAATTCTACTCCAACGTCAAACTACAAGGCAGTACGCACCAATACAGTAGTATTTCGGTCTCATTGCACTGCACAATTAGTGTTTTAGCTTGGTGAGTCATTTGAAACAGTCATTCTGTGGATGTTTATTTTCACGAGATTCAATATTAGCCATCAGCTGCGGTAGCATGCCTTTGGGTTCAGGGACGAGTTTTTGGGCGCGATCCTTGCAAATTTTTGAACTTGAACTTGAAACGACCTGTCACATAGTCGAGTGCAGCCGTCCGAGTCGCTCCCGCCTCTTTCCGAATCAATTCAACATGGCTCAGATCCGTGACGTCGAAAACCCGATGGAATCGCTGCTTCACTCCGTCGCCGAAACAACGACTCGAATATATATCTTGCACCACAACGGAATGTACATATTTACACGCACTGGTTTGCCCGCAGTGAACGAACTCTCACAGTCGAGGCAAAGAAACCCTCGCATTGTCTCCGTTAAGAATCGAGGATGCGGATGGAAGGAGTGACCCGTGAGGATTTATTTTTCTGGCCCCTTTTGTGCTGTCCAACAACATTTTAGGTATTGACAACGGTCGAGGCTTTCGGAGAGCTCCTTCGTCCAACAAGATGCAGTGACGAGATATCTTGATCAATGATCGGTCGTATTTACAGAGGTCGAAAGCGAGATGGAAGATGGAATCGTTCTCGAGACCCGATTAGACATACAACTCGAAGCTCTCTCGACGGTATCTTATTCATTCACTCCTTGCTGTAAGTGCATTACTATGTTGAAGAAAGGGCATTTACTGATTCTGATCGGCCATAGGACTGTCTGCATGACAATGGGGCGTCTTCCATGACCTGCCAATATCATAGTGACCGCATGTGACACACAGCATCAAGCTGGTTATCGTTATGCGACTTAGCAAGGCGGGGATTTAGTTTAAACTTGTGGTCCGACGTGCGGTACGACTGGGGTACGTACCATCACGAGATTGTTACATATCTTCTGCAACCTTGTTCACTACTATAGTTATTCTGAATGCCAAATACATGTGGGTACCTTTTGTCCGATCACAACGTGCTACTTGGGTGTTCTGATTAAGCATATGTCACCTCCGCCTTACATTCCCGCTTGGTGTCCACCATGGAAACGTTAGCGGTGACTTGTTGAATATGGTGGATAGGGTGTCCGCGGATAAGTGAGCGCAATCTGCCGGGGTGTTGAATTGATGTCGAGGGAGATTTGTAATGTAGGGACGCTGTGCCGGTGTCGATATCGTTTGCGGTGCCGTTATGGTCTGCGTAGAGGTTATATTTGCGTCATGGGAGGCGGGTCCTGTGGAGGGAGACTGGTTTCCAAGCCAAAATTATCACATGTCGACGAGTGTGGATGGTGGAAGATGAAGAGCGCCGGTATCAATGGGTACGAGGAGGGAGATGTCATGGCGATTGCACCTGGTGACGAGCTCGCTCGGGAAAGATAATGGGAGTTGTTGTCGAGGACGGGGAGAGGGTGATGAATTGGATGGTGATGTCGGTGTTGTTGGCGAGGCACGGTTGGATATGTCGGCAAGATGTTCTTCTTTTGTTCCTGTGCCAGAACATAGAGATTAAATTGAGGAGAGTTCCCATGAGGATCTGGAGAGTCTCGATCTGGGGGGAGGCCACGGAGTTTGAAAGCGGGAGCAGTAGGAGGATATAGGGTTTAATGGAGGTTTAATGAGGATTAATGATGGGATATGTGGGTATATTGCGAGCATATTGTGAGGAAAAGGAGAGGGTACCTGGTGGATGGCGTAAGGACTGTTGTTGGTTGCCATGAGAGCTGGCGAGTATTTATTTGTGCACGGTCGCGCGGTGTGAGTGGGAGATGAGGCCGGATATAGGAGGGGATATGTTTTGCGGAGGGATTGTCCGCAGGAAAGGCCGGGAGTCGGTGACGATAAACCCAAAGATCGGCTCTCTGTCGGTTACTTTTATTATCGTCAATGAAGCTTAATGAAGGATCAGCTACCACCCGCGCTCCTTGTTTTTTTTACATATCCTCTCTTCCTCTTCCCGGTCTCCCTCAGATGTGCTGAGCCTCTGGCTTTGCTTTTCATCCATTCCTTCCTCGCTTTTTCTGAATGTCTCCTCCTAATATCCCTCCGTCTCCCCGCTCACGACGTACTTTACACGACGAGTCCACAACACCAGCACCAGACGAACCACCTCCTTCACGCACACCCAGACCACCCCATACCCCGCCAGAACACGACCCACGCCCACCAAAGAGACTGCGACGACAGACGTCGCACGCTGCAATGACCACAGCCGATCCCCCTTCCTCTGCACACTCAGACTCCTCTTCACAGAGCGGCTTGGCAGACAACGAGACAGAGGCAGAGCGCAGCCAGCAGTCAGAGTTGTCCGCACCCACCACAGCACCTCCTAAAAAGAAACGCACCCGTACTCTCACGACTCCCCACCAGTCTGCAGTCCTCCATGCCCTCCTGGCCCAGGTATGTCGCTCACCCCCATACCCCGTCTCCATCCTAACTTCCTACTTCCAGTCTCGCTTTCCTACAACTGCCATGCGCGAGGAAGTCGGACGTCAGATTGGCCTGAGCGCCCGCAAAGTACAGGTTTGTCTTCCTTCCTCTCTTCTACCGTCATCTAAACACCGGTCTCACCCTCCACGTCCAGATCTGGTTCCAAGTGGGTCCCACGTTCATATTCCTCTTTTTGTCACGTATTGACGCTCAGCCCAGAACCAACGTCAGAAAGCCAGACGTCCACGTAGCGAAGGCTCCGCTCCTTTGACGCGTCCTCCACAGTACGGTCCTTTCCCAAACATGCCCACGTCCGCTCCTTCAGAAACCGCCTCATTCCACCCTTCTTCCGAGCAGAGCTCTAGCTATCCCATTTCGGAACACCCATTTGGCATAGCAGGTCCCAGTCGCACCCGCGACTCCAGTGCTGAGCGAGCAATCTACGAAGACACACAACGAAGATCTTTCGACGCAGGCCCACAGCTTTCAGGTCCCGGCATGCCGGGGTGGAACCCAGAATATCATCCTGCTTCTCCTATACGAGAACGAGGTCAGCCGCTTTCGGGGCATCGCAGTCCGGACCACATGATTTCGCCTGATTCATACACGTCCTCTCGCGCGTCTGAGGGTTTTCAAAACATACCTGCTCCCTTGGGCATCCGTCCGTTGGCGCCCCGCCCTCTGCTTCGCCCCTTCGCCTCTGATGAGACTCCGGGTGCACATCCCAGAGCATTACCTCCTCTCGACTTTAGTGCGCCACACCTCCGCAGCACCGCCATGCCCTATCCTTCGTCCTCTCCCCGAAGCCCTGCACCGCTACTTTCGCACCCAGCCGGAAACGTTACTCAATATCAATCCCCACCTTCCCACCACGGGAGAGTTGCACCTTTCGTCATTCCTCCTCCTTTCGCGTTGGAACCACAGCCTCAGTGGGACCCTCGGACTTTTTCCCCTTTCTCCCGACCTGGGTTTTCTCCCTGGTCCATCGGGCCCCGATCCTCCCTTTCTATGAGCGGGAACTTCCATGCTGCAGGGGGTCCGTCCGCATCTGGGGGCAGACCGTATCACATGTCCTCAGGTCCACTACGGCCAGTATCATCGTCCCGGTCAGGTCGCTTTGACCCTGTCCACGACGTGACTTCCATCGGCCAGGAAAGGGATGAGTATCCTCCTTCACCTGCCTCTACGGATGATATTCCGGGGGATTCAGACGACGCGTTCCAAGATCGCGACGATGCTCTGTAAAAAAACGTATGCATGACGCCCCTCGCGCCGCACACCCAACATTTCGCGCCACGATTCTAAATCCACGCATCATTCACGAAAAACTACGATGAAAGCCACTTTTTTCTTCTTTTCACCAAATCTCCTTTCGCTCTTTTACTGCACTGCGTACACCCTAATCGTTCATTCCCTGCTGTCGCTTATTGTTGTCTCAATTTTCGCATCCTATCAATTTCAGAAACAATACGAACTTGCTAATTACTACAAAACTCCGCATACTAATCCTAGTACAACTACTATAAAATGTTTCTTTTATCATGTACCTCATTCAAGTGCGTTGTTCAACCATCAATATCATCCTTATCTCCTACCTATTTTAGCCTACACCCTTATAAACTAAATACCAGTCAACTGATATACCTTCGTACATATACACCATCTCTTATATCTCAATACGAAACACGATGATAATGTTTTACCCGACAATTCAGAGAGAAGCAAAGACGATTAGGAAACTACAGATACAGAATACCATGACAGCAAAAAGAAGGCACAGAAAGAACATCTTACATATCCTCACTATTTCCGTCTCTCCCGCAACTTGACTCTTAGGGCTTCTTCTCTACTGCCAGATTTAGCATCACCATTGCTACCATTGCCACGTAGACTCTTCTGAGTATTCGAGTGAGCAATTACCGACCCTTTTGCTACCGCGAGCCGTGCATGTAACTGGGCTCGTGTGCGTAGTCTTGCCTCCACATCAGCAACTGTCCAGTCGCCTTGACCAGATGAATGACCGATTTGCTCATCGTTGTTAAGCGGGCTGCTCGAAGAAGCAGAAGATGGCGATATTTGATTCTGGACCAGTCTTTTTTCTTCCGTCAGTCTGTTCAGCAGAGTCGACCGCGTGGCCCGACTCATGGAAGGTGGGCATAAGGTTGTACCGTCCGTTGCGTCCTGTAGTACGCTGCTATGACAGCCGACACCCTCGTGTACCGTTGTACTAGGGCAGAGGGGTTGAGCGACAGCGTCGTCGTCCTGTACACATATGGCTCGTGATGATACAATAAATTTTTCCAAGTCTTTGCTCCGATCAGCGGTTGTAGAGGGAGACGGCGAAGTTGCTCCAGATTGCTCTTCCTTGAACTTTGTCAATCTAGCGCGCGTGCGGGCCATAATTTCCGGAGCGGTTAGTTTTCTTTTGTTCTCTACATCGTCGACATTGGAGTGTGGCAATAACGAAGGATCTGTAAAGGTTTGAACCGCGGCAGTTATAGTGGTGAGGTCATGAGACTCGTGTGAGTGTGAGTCGCGTTGTGGTCCAGACGCCTGGCCATGGTCTGATAACCGCGTAAGCAACGAGGGTCTGTCATTTGCGCCAGGGTTTAGGGAACACGACAACGGCTCCTGTCTGTCACTTTGAGAGGTAGGATCCGTAGAAATGCGGTCGTTGCCCGAGGGTCTGCGGCGCAAGGCACTGGATCGAAGGTTTGAAGAATTGTGAGAAAGATGTGCTTGCACTGATTGTGCAAGTGTGCGATTACGAGGTGCACGGGCAGTCCCGTTCGGTTGATTGCGAGGTGCGTCAATAGATTCAGATGGGGTCTCGTTATTAGATCTCGCGTCAAGCATGCTTATGGTTGAGTCTCCGTCTAAAGGCATTGGAGCTTCGGCCTGTAATATGCCCGCAGAAGAACCAACATTGAGCTCATCACCCACTTTAGGTGGAGTATTTTCCTCCGGCCGGTATTTTGAGGTCGGCTGCTCACTACGGTGGTCATTCTCTACTATGTCACTTGTAGACGACGGTCCAGCCAAGGGATTTTGGGAGCGTGTGGCGTTATTTAATGGGGAGTGCGAGTGTTGGTATTTATTTTTCCCTTTGCCTTTTTCTTGCCGCATATACTCGCTTGACTCTCCATCATCCCGCGGGCGTTTGGGATGACCATGCATAGAAGTTGGACTACGCCCAAGTTCGTGATGATAAGAAATGGGAGAGCCACTGCGAGTCCGACTACGCCGTGTTCGGTTGTAGGACCTCTCCGCGGACCTATTCTGGGTATGTCTAGAAATCTCATGACCAGAATGTGATCTTCTATTTTCACGCCGCCGTACCGGGGACCGCGAACGAGAGACATGACGGGAAGAAATCAGTTCAATATCAGGAGACGACGAACGCGGGGACGACGCCTCTCGCCACCGTGTTACCCTCTGAGGATGATGGGGAGGAGGGACGTCAGGAGGTGTGTCATACTGCAAGGCGAATAGCAAGAGATTAATGGAGTCGGAAATTAAGGACGTCTAGCGCTGCTTACCTGGACGACTGAGTCATACACGTTCAAGTCACGGTATGGACTTCGCAGATAGCTATATATTTCTGGGCAGTCCAAGGGGAGTATGAGAGGTACGAAATATAGGATGAATTTCAAAGCAATTTATACGATGGCAAGCCGCACAGTCGGCGTTGTCAGTGAGGGAATTATAAATTAATCTCACCGTGTGCAAAATGTTCGGCATTGACATGCCTACCACCTTCAACATAAAGAGCATCCATGTCCAGAAACTCGGCTAGCAATTTCACAGCAGATTCAGAGCGGATATCAATCGATTTCATGAGCGAGATAGTAAAGGTCGTTAGAAACTAAGTGTCAAGGGTACTGTTAGAATTTTGTGCACGAAAGGAGCTACACGGGCAGGTGCGGTTTCCTGATCATTTGTTGAACTAAAGTGAGACGACTGACCTCGACATCTAGATTGGCCCATACTTGTAATTCACGCCGGAGGAAGGTGGTCATGCGACTGATGAGATCGGGTGATGTTGAAAATTGGGCGGGAGTGGGGTAGGGACGATAACGAGTGAATGCATTGGATGCTACATGCTGCGCGTGTGGAAAGAGCGTAAGCATATATGTTGTGCGAGCGAGACCGCGGTATACCTTTGCGTAGAGGCCATGTTCATATATCCAGCGTCTTCTAGCTATTGCACGATCCAGCTGGTCGGCTTCATCCCTTTCTTGGCGCTCTCTGCGCCCCCATCGACGTTCTCTTCGTCTACTCTGTAATGCTCTGACACGAGTATCGGCTGAAGGTCTTTGTGGGGCAGGTGAATTTCGTGCGGGAGGGAGATAGTATTTTTGGTAGTCGTAAGTTGAACGTATATGATGAATAAGGTATTCACCAATGACTTGTGAGCATAAAGGACATTTTCGAGATTGTTCTTCGAGAAATAGACGTCAGCACAGCTACAGTCATATGGAAACAGAAACGAAAGCCTTACCCGACCAGATAGTGATACACTCGAAGCAAAATTCATGCGCACATGTAGGAATAACAGTTCTATCGACGAGTGATTGCAGACAAATGCTACAGTGGTCCTGGTCTAAAGAGTCTATGGAGCTGTTAGCTGTTTTCTCTTCAAGCTCTTCTATGGATGGCGATGGTGAAGACTCGAGCTTTAGTCGCTTGGACGCTGGTGCGCTGGGTACTAAGCTCATGATCGTCGTTTGTGGTCAACGCGGCTGCGACGAGTTTGGCGGGCCGTTCTATAACTCGCGCTGATGGCTGGATTTTCTATCGTGCACGTGATTTAGCTCCTCTCCTTCTTACAGAGGAAAGTTACGATGTGAATAAATTACGAAAAAGCTTTGGATTATATCCTGCGGAACCCTGACCTGGCACTTCTAAGTAATTATTCAAGGTATTTTTAATCTGTAGAATTGACATCTTAAATGGGTGTACAATGCGGAATTTTGAGTCATAAGTCTGGGATCCTATGCTATACACATGTCATATGAATAGATGGAGGACTCAGATTGATGGTAGATGAATAAATTTAGTGCTAGTGAGATGCAGTGTATATGTGTGCCTTGATGTCAGTCCTACATTTCTGAGATATGCTACTTACATCTGAGTGGCAAAGAATATATCACTAGAGTCCTGAATATATCTGAATATAATCTCACAAGCATCAATGGTATGACTGACTTTTTCTGAGAACAAAACAAGTGAATTTTTATCAGGTACTATACAGCACAACGCAATTATGACAGCTAGTACCCAGCTTCTTCAGAAATACACATGTAGAAATTATATTATGTAAGCGAACTTCGGAGCTTCGCCCGAAGCTTTACTCTTTGATTACAACTGGCCTTTTGTGGCTATCATTGTCTTTCACATGATATTTACATATGTTTGTTATATAAGAAGCATGCATTTACGTTGTTATGGCATTCGTTTGCCAGAGGAATCCTTCTCCCATGCCTGTTCCCGCGCCCTGAGGGACCAAATATCCAACAACACAATCAATCTCCACCCCCAACATAGCTGAATAATTACTGTAAGTAGAGGAGATGAGAGGGGAGGGAAAAACAGCCCATATAGTTATAATTCCTCATCTTAGATGGGGCATTATTACCTGATAATATTACTACATAGATGGGGCCAGCGGAGTCCAGCAAAGTGTATCAGCCGGGCCATGTTAGACATGATATTATTGTGCCCATCATCAACGACCTGGCTGGGTGAGAGTGTGCTCATTGAAAACGACCCAGCTTAGACAACCGGGCTGGATCAGAGTTCGCTCATTGAAAACCTGTCTCTCACCTTTTTAGGCATCATTTTCATTTGATGTTGGATATGCAAATATCTCATCACTTCCAAATCTGGTGGTGTCTTGTTGCTGGGAGGCTCTCTAGGACCATAGTGCACATGCTTGAACAACATGTTTCTGAAATGCTGTATTATATAATATACTGACCAGTAATGATTTATTAGACAACCCACATATTTTTTTTTGTCTACAGCAACACCATGAGTCCTCAGACCCCCAAGCCATCCGTTCCCTCTGATATTCCATCCAGCTGGAAATTGCGGTTTACAGAACTTGCAGCACAATGTGTGCTATTTCACTTTCGGCAAGCATTGATTCACATGCACACTGAGGGGCCCAACCTCCTCCAGCCAGAGCCAGGATCCCAGTGGGATTGGAATGCAAAACTCCTGGGAACATTTGTTAGCAAATGTAAAAGAGCAGCTGGGGTGTTAGTGATTGCATATCTCACAAAGAGTAAGTCATTTGTATTGCACCAAAGGTGTTACTGATGAATACCCAAGTAGTGAATATTCAATGGGATGCAACATTGTATGCAGAGCAGGCGGGCCCTTGTAATAACGGCCAGAACAATAAGCTCAAACAGAGTATATCTGAGGAATATCTACCCGCTGCAAAAGATATTGGCATCATCACAATCCCTTCCATCATAATAGACATTCACGGAAGAATAGTGCTATGGTACCTCCAGGGCATCCTCACTGAGGACAGATAGGTGAAAATATATTTACATGGTCAAGCAAAATACTTACATGGATATAATATATTTAGCAAAGTATGTGTGATAGTCTACGGCATCTCAAGCAAAATATGGACAGCAAACACCCCAAGAAGCCCTCAAAGAGCTGGCATCAATCTTCCAAATATTACAAAAATCCCAGGGAGTGTCAGCTATTCCCTTTTGGGTTGATAGACTTATCCCTAGCATGGTTGCAACTTGGCCATGAAGTTTGTGTTATTGTGTTATAATCTATACATTACAATTAATAAAACTTCCACCACAGCAAACTGGAGAGGCTCCACGAGCTTCCCAGTCCCTCTGCAAATCTACACCCCCGGGCACCGGTGAACTGTGGTTGCAATCCTCTGTGGAGACCGGGGCCCTCATGAGTGCAATCTTGCGTGTAGCTCACCCTGCGCTCTATGAGTTGGCCTGGGAGGTGCCAGGACAGTTTGAGGACCATATGGATGATGTGATGGTACTAAAGGCATGGAGTTTGGTCTTCAATGCACTTTCTATCATCAGCAACCAGGAGATGCCAGTACACGGGGATTGTCTATCCAAAGCAGAGTGGTATAACATGTTGGCAAGCGTAGGAGACTATGATGAGGCCATTCTGGAGCCCACTGGGGTAGGTTTTTGCTTCAAGTTTGATAGTGGGACTATTGCTGCATTTAGTGGGAAGTTGCTGAATCATGGGGTTTCATCCTGCAGTGGAGAGAGAATATGTTTTGTATATTACATGAGGGAGTATATACATACAATGTATGGGGTGGAGACCCTGGGATGGTCAGTACCTTCACATGATCATGTTATGCAGTTATAGATGTGGAATAGCAGCTGAACTGTCTTGATCTGGGTACATCACTGCTGGAAATTTGTAGCAATTTGTAGTAGCTCACTCAAAGAAAAGGGTGAAACCTGGGCACCCTGCAGTTGGATACCAGGAGCAAGTAGAAGCCCGGGAATCTTGTATTACTACAAAGCCCGGGAAGTAATGGATTGCTACAAAGTCCAGGAACATTGGATTACTACAAAGCCTGGGAACACTAGATCACTTCAAAGCCCGGGAATACTGGACTACCATTACATAGTATAATGAACCCCAGGTTTCTATTAAATTGTGGTCCACTATTCTAGTTCCCTCAAACCACTATGCCTAACCTCTGGAATGAGTCCTTTGCCTGTTCTGAGAACTGGTTCCACATCCTGATTTGCCTCTCTGCATATGCTACATGGCCGGGTTTAGCCTTCATCTTATTGGCATCTCAAAAACCCTTCCAATGCTTAGCTTGATGTTAAAAATACTGAACTGTCCACTTCATCTTGAGGCACACTAGAATATCTTCTTCTATCCACCTATTGTACAAGGATTTTGCTCTTAGCCAGTGAACCCAGTAAACTGTATTTTATTACTAAATGTTAGCTGTGTGATACTGTGAAACTGGGCTGGGGCACATACATTCAGATATCCAGGTCTGTTGGAAGGTGTCACCTTTCAGATCCATGCTCCAAAACCATGGAAATGCAGTGTTGCAGAGTCCAGTTGCATTGGGATTCATGAGCTGGGTACTTGTCTTGAGGTGGTCTGGTTTGAGCTTTTGATATTTTTGTAATATTTCTGCCTGGCACCCCAGAGATATGATTGCATGCTGGGCTCTCTTATATATGGTTGAGGGGACTTTGACGTTGGCTTCCACGTGGGTAACATCTGCCCAAGCCTTCAACTTTTTCTTTTGAGAGCCCCAAGCCACTCTCACCTTCATCCTGAACAGACAAGACTTTTTGACCCAGTAGGATATGTATCTAATGCAAGGCATTGTTGGCCTGACCTTCCCAGAGTGTAAGCTCCTGGCTTACTAGATGGTGTAGGCCTTCAATTTTGCAAGTGCCTTTTCCTAGGTTAGAGGGTAACACCAATTTTCTCCTGTCAATAGGCTCATTATTTCCATCAAAGGAGCCCGGGAGGTCAAACAGATTTATGTCTTCTGCATTGTTGTCTTTGTTGGAGTTTGGCCACCCCAGGACCTCCTCAAGAAACTTGGAAATATCAATATTACCTAGATACCTTTCAACCTTGAGGTTAAAAGTATCTACATGGGAGAGCAGGCATTGATGCCTTTCCTCTAACTTGAGTTTTTCTGCAGTTGTGCCCTTTTTGTTGATTTGTTTTGCATATATTTGAAGCTGTATCCTCTTAGGTAGAGTTACTCAGTATTCAAAAAGTATGTATTCCCGGGATCCCAGGGGCCTGGGGACTTACTGAGTCTCTTCCAACTTCAGACCCAACAATAACCAAGCAGCAGTTCCTCAGACCACTCTATTTCTTGTTTCCTGTTGCAATAAATGGAGCCGGGTTTCTGCTTTTCTGGGTAATTTTGCTATAAAGACTTCATATATATCCATGGCGTTTTCTTTATGCAGCCGGTGTCATGCACCAAAGTTGATTGGTAGCATGGACAGGTGTCAATAACAAAGTGAATATTCAAAAGACTCGCCTTTGCACCACACAGGCACAGTACCACGTGGAATAGTAATTAATATTGCCTTTTTTGAACTTGTGGGTGGCTGATCAGCACCACCTCTATTAGGCAATCCAGTCACGCTCACCTTTGCTTTCCATTCAGTACTTTCTGTGTTTCGGCATTTCGGCAAATTTTTGCGTTGCCACTGGCTACACATTGCATTGCGCCCTTGTCTTCATTGTTTCCCTTACTCCCCTTCCTTTGTCTAGCCCTACCATGGGTCACTTACTCTGCTTTTTATTCTCACCCAACGGTTGCTTCTGGATCCCTGTTCTAATCCACCTCCTCGTCACCTCCACCCTCCTCCTACTAGTATTCTTTGCTCCCCCACCATATCTGATGTCACCACTCTCTATCCGCTTCTGTCGCCAATCTATCAACCACCACGTGCCACTGCTGATATCAGCAAAGCCCCGGAGGCCGGTCCAAATTGGGCAACAGGTCCATCTTCATGATGTCGGTCTTCCATTATATACTATCAAATCATTGGTCGCTCGTCTCACCTGGTTGGAGTGTGGGTGGGTAGTTTTTGAGCTGGAGAAGGTTCATCCCCTTGTGTTGCCACCTATCTGACATCAACAGGAACCCTTATTAGGCCTGATGCCCTCATTGGGCACTGAGGCTAAGTAGTGTCAATTGGCAGGTAAGCGCAGTCCAGCAAAAGCACCAGCTGTACCAGCACTTGAGGTAAATTTCCTGGTGAACTGGGCCCACAGCAAGTGGTTTGGCATGCTATCCCGAAGGTGTGTTGAAACTTTGCACATGATGAACACATTATGAACGCGTCCCGAGATTTCCCTAAGTTCTGATCAGCTCCGGCATGTCTGCTCATTGTTGTAGGTAGCAAGAGCAAATCTCAGACAGCATCTTATAGGCTTCCAACATGATAGAATAACATCTCGCTACACTACTACAATCCAGAAGTAGAAGAATATAATGGTAGTTATCTATTTGTCTTATTTTATATGGCTTTTACTGGTAGATCAACAACTCTCAACTCAGGACATTCATCCGCAGCATAGCAAGTATATACCAGTAGAGTGCACCAAATACAGTACGTCTACATCTCACAAGGCCGTATACATGTGTGGTTCGGAGTTTGAGGTTCTGAGGCAGATCCGGATACATTGGCCTGGTCCAAAGGAAACATGTTGATTGATGACAGGTCTCCCTGAGGTAGCCAAAGGCTGTCCCACCGGTAGTGTGAAGGGTCAAGGTCCGGGTCAAGGCCAATGTCATTGGCATTGAATCCAATATCTGGTAAGGTTGGATCCAGCCTTTGAAGCAGGGTGGTGTAATACCCACTACTGGCTGGCAGCAGGGTTGACAATGACTGGGAGATGGTTGGGCTGGATAAAGAGAATGTAGTGGTGGCATTAGCTGAGGCGGTAGAACTTCTACTGACAACAGTCAGTGGTGAGGAAATCACTGTGATGTAATCAATCCCTTGTGCGAGAGACTGGTTGTTGCTGGACATAGTGTCCTCCTCCGACGGCTCAGTGCAGCTCCCTGCTGCACTACCTACATCTGCCATATGGGTCCTGTCAGCCTCACCATTGTCATCCGACTCCACGACAGCACTGCTCTTGTAATGAGCACCTGTCTTTCCCTTCTTTGGCTTTCCTTTGTCCGATCGTGTTGCTCATGCTTTCTCTCCTGCTCCTGTGAGCCTTTCCTTTCTTTTATTTTCCCACTCGGCTTCACTAAGCACCTTCCAGAAGCAAGTTCCATTCTGGAGCGCATCCAGTAGATAAGCCAATGCTGGAGTGGTTTGTATTTGTCCCGGGTTAACCACTTTTCTCTCAGTCCATCCGACGAGCTCAATGCCATGATCACAGACGAGCTTCTTGTAGTTGGCATAGTTCATGAGAGGGAGGTCTTTATCGTTGTAGCCACGTTCCTGTTGTAGTATATTGCCTTGAACTAGTCAGTCACTTGAAAAATATAAAATCCAGTGTAAGGATACATACAAAGTCCTGTTTTGATGAGATCACAGATCTCGGACTTGATTTGTGTGCTCTTCCGCCCACCAGAGATCTTGAGAAGTCCTCCAATGTCTGAGGTAATGTAGCCATCAATCTTCAAGGCCATCTCTTCAGATGTATTCTTGAAGATGTGGAGACATGCTTCAATTACTTTTGCCGAAGCATGTGCATGGTGTCGATGATGAGAACTGTTGTTAGAAAAAAAACACACACAAAAACAAACTAACACACAATCCTCCCAGATTCCACGGAACTTGTTTATGGGCTTTGCCTCCTAGAACAGTGGAGTGGTCTGGTTGTTCGTGGGGTGGTACATATAACGATCCTTCAAAGTAAAACCCAAAGATGTATGGGTGTGTGGTTTTGAGGAGGAGGGATAGTTGGAATGCAGGAAGATAGGGGCTTTGTGGCGAGTATAGACGAGCACTACCTTGCTAATAGTAGCACAAGGTAGGTTTGAGAATGACAATATGATGAGGTGACAAAGTTCCCAGTGATAGCAGGCTCCTGACGCACAGACTGTAGTGCTCAGAAGGACTTTAATCAAAAGGGATGACAATCACTTTCAAAAGTGACGAGTGACGATGACAGCAGTTGACAGTAGTAGCAGTGGGAAGTGTTGTGACCACACTGGATCACAAGTAGTAGTGAGTAGTGAACTTGAGATTAGAGAAGAAGTCTGGATTTGAGTTCTTGTTTTTTTTACAAGGTAAAATACAGGGGTTTATATAGTGAAAGAAAAGTAGGCTACGCACAGTATAGCTGTGCAAAAAGAATGAGAAATAACGTGAAGGAAGGAATGTACACTGACAAATCCTGCATAGGTAGTACAGGATAAGATTGTCAAAAAAAGGAAAAGAAAGGGATAGAACAATGAATGCTGTGAGTAATGTCACAGGTTTGTACAGCCATAAAGTAAAGTCCCAATAGCAAAAAGAGAGCAGGAAAATCATGATGTCATGGGAAGATGCAGTAAAAAAAAAGGGCAAGGCAAAATACTATCAGTATCAACACAGTTCCTTTATTGTCAGTCAGGCATTCTAAAAAATATGTGTCCATAAAAATGATTGAAAAATCAAAAATAATCACACTGTAGATGAATGTTCTGCTGAAAAAAAAGAAACTGGAGCCACCGGTCCACCACCTAGTCCAAATCCGACAGTTCCATGGCCTTACCAATGGACTGGTTGTATTGGACCACCTGGTCAAACGAGGGAGGGAGAGGAGTAGTCCCAATTTGGAACAAGTGAGTCCCAGGCAGCGTGTGGTAGGTGTAGCTGTAGCGAAGACGATGGACAAAAGATAAGTATAAGTGTACCCAAGTGAATGGGACAGCAATGAACATGGGCGATGCAAGGGGATGAACCTTCTCCAGCTCAAAAACTACCCACCCACGCTCCAACCAGGCAAGACGAGCGACCGATGTTTTGATAGTATATGATGGCAGATCGACATCATGAAGATGGACCTGTTGCCCTATTTGGACTGGCCGCCGGGGCTTTGCTGATATCAGCAGTGGCACGTGGTGGTTGACAGATTGGCGACAGAAGTGGATAGAGAGTGGTGACATCAGATATGGTGGGGGAGCAAAGAATACTAGTAGGAGGAGGGTGGAGGTGACGAAAAGGTGGATTAGAATGGGGATCCAGAAACGACCGTCAGGTGAGAATAAAAAGGAGAGGAAGGGGCCCATGGTGGGGCTAGGCAAAGGAAGGGGAGTAAGGGAAACGACAAAAGCGAGGGCGCAATGCAATGTGTAGCCAGTGGTGATGCAAAAATTTGCCGAAATGCCAAAACGCGGAAAGTACCGAATGGAAAAGCAAAGGTGAGCGTGACTGGATTGCCTAATAGAGGTGGTGCTGATCAGCCACAAGTTCAAAAAAGGCAATATTAATTACTATTCCACGTGGCACTGTGCCTGTGTGGCGCAAAGGCGAGTCTTTTTGAATATTCGCTTCGTTATTGACACCTGTCCATGCTACCAATCAACTTTGGTGCATGACAATGGGGGGAAAAATTGTCCTTGACATTGCCGCAAACAATACAGTAGAACATGTTGCACCCAGTATGTGTTTTGAGGCCTATAAGCTATTGATAAGTTAGTAAGGCTGACACAGTTAGGGTGAACAAAGTCACTTGCTTTAGGATCCAAGCGGGACATTGTATTGTCAGTCTTGGAGGCAACAGTTTTTGGTGTGGACCTTTTGACCTGATGGTTTCTTCTTATGCTCGTTATAAGCTGTAAGCATATTCTCTTTCTCATCTTCGGGCAGTGATTTCCACTTGTATGACTTAGAAGCCTCGCGTGAAATTTCAATCAAAGTTTCCCGTCCGCTGTGAGTGCCTAGGAGAAAAGATAAGTAGAAATCATGAATGTACTCTTTGCGGTGCTGGGCAATGTCCTTCCACATTCCATGGTTCCAACATTGGGCTGCCTTCCATTGCTCTTGTGTACGTTGTGCTCTCTTTCACTGTGAAACTTGACCCAACACACTGGAAGATGTATTGACCATAAGTAAATAAATGAATAACAAAAGAAATTGACTTGAAAATCAGTCAGTTTTGCTGTTCGGGGGAAGGAAAAAATTAACTAAAAAGGACTTTGGTTTCACTTGATACCACATATAGTTGCACATGGTCTATATCAAACTTGTGATGGGCTTATATTACACAAAAGTCGAGGTATGAGATGAGAGCCACACAAATACACCAATATTAGAAAACAGAATTATCTGTGAAGCTATTTACAGTGCTAGTTGAACATGTTGAGATAACAGAGCTTCAACAATGGCTGGATCCAACAGAAGTTGCTGCAAGTAAGACACCACAAGCTTCTGGCGACAAAGAAGAAAATATTAGTCCTTCCAACTCAGCCGCTTCACTTGAAATTAATCCTGCCTCAATAAAATTCTGAGACCAATTTCGACAATCATAATCTAAAGTGGCTTTGATTTTACAGAGAGCATGCAAAGGGGTTTGTTGTTGGCGCAAAAAAGACTCGACATCAGGTGTAAAGCCAAAGACAGCAGTTTCCAGCTCACTATAGTGTGTGGGTGGACGGTATAGAGGTGGGGCAATCTCAGGACGGTATGGCAGAGGGGGGGAACCGAGTGGAGTGGTTACCCAATTATCATCTGAATGCTGGTCATGAGACAATGAGCTCTCAGAGCCTTCACTATTAGTGTCAATTTCAATGACACGTTGATTCATGCCGCTGATCCTAGTCTGCTGTGCTCTGGATACATCCCCACTCCTGGGTTGACCAGTATTGGCCTCTATCCTTGGAGTACCTCTTATGCGGGCTAAAGTTTCAGGTTGGATAATATTGCTGTGTGCTGACTGGCTGGCAGACGTGAGTGGCAGGTCTTGTGCTGGCGCCAAGAATAACTCTCGTTATTGTAAAAATAAAGGATAGTTAGAAAAGACTCACCACTGATATGACTGCTTGTTTGCACTAGTTGTTGAGGATATTGAGATAAGGACAAGCTCAATGCTGGCCAAGTAAAATTAGTGATTTTATACAAGTGTATAAGGGTGACTTACCGCTAATGCAACCAGTTGTTTGTACTGGTTGTTGAGCATCCTGAGAATGGCTTAACCTTCAAGTAAGACTTCAAGTTGATGACCTCACATGTGCGTGCACTGGTACTGGCAGTGCTAATTGAATTAGTGGATGAAGAGGATGTGCATTGGAGATAATGGAGCTGGGTTCTCGGATAAGTGGTGGCTGCGTAGGAATAATCCGTAGATTATGGATCATCAGAGACTGTGTCTCTGTGTTGAAAGTGTATCCAGTGCCAGGAGTAACTTGATTAAGCTTGGCACCAAATTTATGGACGTGGACTGCAGCAAACTCTGGATTTTCATAACTGGCTCCATCAAAGTGCAAGGCCTGTTGCCTGGTCAAAAAGATCAAGATCAAGAACCTTATTCAAGCGCTGAAAGAAAAAATATACAGCATCCTGGATATCTGTGATACCCTCATAAAATGCAAGTTTGCGATCCTCAGTCTGCAAGCAAAAATGCTGGTGCAGATATGCGTTGGAATGGATTTGATCATCCTGATCCCTTGACACACCGTGATGATGTTGATATCTCTCCACATCTATTTCTTTCCGCATTGGTTGAATATCTGCTTCTACAACCCACTCTCTAACAGCAGATGGTGAATACAAGGCAAAATGTTGCATATGCAGAGATATTGAGAGGGTTAATGAGTCGTGATCACTAGTAGGTCTTGATAAGCATTAGAATTGATTGATGAAATGATTGACTTGCCACACATGTAATTTTGTCGAGTTCTCAGTATTTGATCACTGATCAAAAACCAGAGATTGATGCTAACTTATATATTTAGTGCTACAAATTATCTATTGCTTAGGAATGCACATGTACATCTGTAGTAGATTATAGATCGTGACAAGTGTTCTATAGAAGAGTCCTGGGTTAGATATAGTAAGTACTGAACAAATGAGTATTTGATGAAATACAATGTTCAACACTGGTTCTTCAGCAAGTACTAATTGATGTCATATATCTCAGGTCAGACAAGATATAGTACTGGACCACTTTCAACAGTGACAAAAAAATATGATAAATAATACATAAATTATGTAGACATACATAGCACAGTACTAGGCTAGGGCCAGGCATATAGGACACTTTTCAATACTGGCCTTTTGGCGAATAAGTAACGGACAAGGTTCAACACCAATTTATTGGTAGACTAATTATATCAAGCATACTGGACAGCATTCAACGGTCCTAAATTTTCCAACTAATCAACATACGGGACGGTATACTAACACTATCTGCTAGACGGCTCATCTCGTCATTTATCTCATCATCCTCAGCAATCTCTAGGTCCTGCGAGGGCTATATATCATCTTCAATATGCTGGCGTTTAGCACTATCTATGACATTACTGTCACTGAGAATATCTGGTCCAGATGAACAAGAGGAATTGCAGAGCTGAACACCCAACCCTTGGATGCCACTAAATCCTGGCAAGGCCTTGATCGCGTTGAGCCTTGCAATATGGACAGAATCCACCCTCAACTGCCTCTTTTGAATCTCTTCTATCTCAGCAGCTAGGATTGGGTTGCTAGCCTGTAAATATTTGTAAAAGTGCAACAAAGTATTATTGTGATCAGTAATAGCTGTGCGCAGACATCATAACTCAATGTTGAGCCTCTTGATCTCCTCTTTTTCTTGAAGGACCTTGAAATATTTGTTCAATACTTTACGGTTGGTGGGTACAGTCCAAGGTTCCTTCGTGATGTCTTTTTAGGCTAATGTGTGCTTCAGGAATTCAAACTCTGATACAAAACCATAGTTAATGATATTTGACCACTGTAAGATTGGCGTAGGAGGAATCATCTGAGCAGCGAGAGAATTGTACTTTGCTAATGCAGTTTGTATGGCTTTTCTGCGAGTTTTGATTGCTCTTCCAATAGCAACTTGAAGTTTGTATCCTTAGGATTTTCAATATCAGACAAAAGCCAATGGAACAAGGGCTACAAAATAACTTACCAGTTCCAGCCATATTAGCTTTAGATAGCTCAAACAGACATTGTATGACTAACTGCTGTAGCTTATCTAATGCTCAATGGAAATCCTGCTGGCGCATGTATTGAAGTGTCTGTTTATACTCCGGCATTTCTGGAGTCCATAAATCAATAATACCCATCTTCTCCTCAATATCACCAACAGCTCGTATAGCAACAATAAGCTCCTGGATTGCTGTTTGCCAGGCAATTTCAATACACTGTGTGTCTTTGGATAGTTGTGTATAATTTGATTCCCTGCCAATTGAAACACCTCTGAATGATTCACAAACTGTTTGCCATTTCATGCTAACTAGGTGTAAGCACCCCATATCTGTTTTTGCTTCAGCAGACTGACAACTTACTCTGCTTTGTTTCTCTGAATTAGAGCACACACATATGCACTTGCCAGCACCCATTCTTCAGGTTCATCTTTGAGATTTTCTAGCAGGTCATGTTCTGCTTTAATCCAGTCCTTGATAGAGTCCTCATGTATGCCCAACTCAGAAGTCATTGCGGACACGTGTGGAACATAGTCTTTAGTTATTGTCAGTGCTTGTTGATAGTTATTGTACAGAAATTTACCTGTGTTTTGAGAGCATCAGCACAAACAATGGGCAGGAAGTAATATGTAATTTACTGATGTCTTGATATCTGTTTTTATCCCACTGCTGGAAGTGGAGATCTATGCTTTGCATCCAGTGATAACGGGTAGTGTGTCAGATACCACGGGCAACAGAGTTAGACGCTGAAAAAACCCGTTCAAGGGTCTCAAGGTCTTCAAGGCCATATCCAGTGAGGTAGAGTGGGTGCTTGCATAGCTGGCAAAGACAGTTGTGGCCATATCCATGAAATGTGTTGACCACAATCTGTAGGCGTAGTTTTTGAGCCGGCTTGCATGTACAGTGGCTTCATGAGCGCACCCAATATCATACCCAATCCCTACATCAGATCCATAATTGTCAAGAATGTGGTCAATAATAGCTAAGGGATATTTTGTGCTGTGGGAAAAGTTGTGAACAGCAAAGTATAAGATACATATTGTACTTACAGTTCACCACTTTGAACCATCTCACAAGCCTTGATAATTATGCCATGACGGCATGCACCAACAAACATGCCAGAGATGTCATACACCGCCAGCAACACCTTCTCGTTTTCAGGGGCAGTATTCTTCCATTGAATCCCACATGCTGACGGTATATCCTCCCCATCAGCAGCATCTCCAGGGGTGTTGTCTTTAACCCATGGCACGTCCAGGTCTCGCTCAATATTCTGGAAAATAAATGTATATTAGTATCATGTCTTTAAGTAGATCCTGACTCACATCTTTGCTCAGCTCAGGTAGCTCCAGTTTCTTTTGAAGCGATCTCTTGACTTCATTTTGATATTGATTAACTTCTGTGCGAGAAAGGAGGTAGTTACTGTTGAAGATATGACTGTCAGCTGTGCCAGCAGCCATGGCTTGTTTCACTGAGTTATTTCCATCCATTGCAGCAAGAATTGAAGGAACAAGGGCTTTTTCACCCTGGAGCTAAGAAAAAAGACAAAATGTAAAACAAGTAAAGACTAAAGCAATAGAACATACCTTATAAGTACAGCATGGGCAACTATTACAGACCCGATAATTTGGAGTGTCAATTGCCAAGGCCTTGTTGACTTGGAGTGATACATCCTGCAATATACTAAAATAGGTGTTGAATGCAATTGAAAGCTGTTCCTGGTAGCATGAATGGTATGTAACCTATCCAAAACTTGTTACTGTAGACTCTGGCCAGCCTTGAAAAACAATATGACTTACATTGTGGAGATCACATAATGTCTTGGCCATGACCTGTTCGCTATTCTGAGCATGCCGCCGCTGAAGCCTTTGGTATAACTCCAATACCTTGAGGTCAATTTCTACACTTGGCTTGACTGGGGAGCATCCAAGAAGGCCATGTCTCGGCAGTGAGATATTGGCATTCTCATGAGGAAGTTGGACTATGTCTTGCAGAGAATGTTGGTCTGGAAATGTATCACTAGGTAAGTAGACATTGAAAGCAATGTGTTGCTTACCAAACGTCCACACAACGGTAACCTGAAAGACATGGTGAGTGTTTTCACAGAGCTCACCTGTTGCAGAAGATCCTCTATGTTTCCACTCAAGGAATGCATGAGCAAGACTGGGGATAATCTTGTCCCAGTGCTTGTACATGGACTGCAGCCTTTGCCATTGATGTTGCTTGCCACAATTATAAGCTTTATGTTTACTAAATTGGAGGGAAATAAAACAATAACAGAGTGGTTTAACTGGTGAACATACCCAGAGAGTGTCCCTTGGAGTGATTCGAAGGCACAATGAATGGAATCACCGTATTCCCCACCTTCATGCAAAATATCAGGGCAAAAGGCTTTGTCATCCACCCAATCCATAGAAAACCCCTCATATGTCCGCAAAGAAAAGTTGTCGTCACCTCCAGCACCAGATGCCAGTGTGACATGGTTCATGGCACGTCAAACATCAATTGGCATATCTATTACAAAGTATACTCAGTCAGTACACACTGTAAAGCAAAGACATACTTTGCAACATTGACCGCTGTTTCTTTAATCCATCCCTACTTTCTTCTGCAATCTGAGGGAGCCTCCTTGCTCCTGGTTGCAAGCATAAGTTAAGATCACCACATGAAGTGATAGTGGGGAGGCCAGGGACTGCTTTAACCTTGTGTGGTACTTTAAGCTTTGATGACTTGAGAGATCCTGAAGGCATTGTGGAGAATATGTGGTGTTGGAAGCTCTGGGGGAATAGTGGAGCTTGTCACTGTGCACAACAATGAGCAGCAGCGCAGGAAAACGGTTGCGTGAGAAGTCCGCTCGCCCGCCACGTGCGAAGTTTCAACACACCTTCGGAATAGCATGCCGAACCACTCGCTGTGCCGGGCCGTTCACCAGGAAATTTACCTCAAGTGCTGGTACAGCTGGTGCTTTTGCTGGACCACACTTACCTGCCAATTGACACTACTTAGCCTGAGTGCCCAATGAGGGCATCAGGCCTAATAAGGGTTCCTGTTGATGTCAGATAGGTGTGCGTCACCTATGTACATCGCTGTCCCATTCACTTGGGTACATTTATCTTTCGTCCATTGTTTTCACTACAGTGTGAGGAATCGATTTTTCTTATCGCATTGCCGTCATGTCGTGGTTAGCAGACTCGATCCCTATCACTCCTCTTGCCCTTGGACTAGAGATTACAGCAGGTGTTTTATTACTTCTATCCTTTTTCTTCTTATTCTCTATTCACACTCACGTCCTATCGTACCTACAACGAAGGAGACTTGTTGTAGACCCTCGAGAAGATATCCAAATGACATAGCAACGATCCAGTGCTATGTCTGGGAATACTTCAGAGGAACATTGATAAGCGAAGAAGGTTGTGAGTCAGCGCCTTCTCATGGGCTTACTGATACAGCCAATTGCACATCCCTTACCAATACGTTTTCTCATACGATTAGTAAATACGATAGATCGGACCACCTTCTCCTCTTTTTCTTATTGGTTAGTTAGCTGGTCAGACCACATTCTCAGTTATTCCCTTTCTCGGTCTGACTATCGCCGTTCACTATATAAAGAAGTACATACTTGATGTATTGTTCTCTAGTTCAATATTAGTTTGGATTTGCGCTCATACCGATACTCTTCAACCTCATACCCTGATTCACCGCCTTCCAGCAAGGACTTGACCAGGCATTGTGTTTTGTTATATAGCTTCGTATTTGTTGCCTGACAAAATATTGAACTCACCATCCTTCAAATCCTTTTCCAGAGCCACTCTTTGGAAAACCATTTCCTTACACCCTGAAAAAGACTGTCGTTGCCACTGCACCGGTCTAAACCTTCATCATCACCTTCTCCACATCTCTATCATCCCTATCCCTCTCCTCACTATCGTCATCAACCCCTCACTATCCACACCACTACACCTATTGTTGTTCAGTCTTCTCAAACTGGACGTCTTATCTACCATCACCACTCTCGTCCAATTCCTTGCATTCTTTGCCATCATCAGATACCTACAAACCGGACTCATCAGCGACGTTGTATACTTCCATCGTGTCTACGTCCCAACAGCTCTCAGAAGAGTGGGTATCAGACACGGACCGCAGACACCAGAGAGATTTCCTCGCAGCCCTCAACAAACCGCTCCCGGTCCTCCCCGTCCCTACTGAAGTCCGTACTCCAGACGCGGAAGAAATGGTCGAACAGATCACTGAGTTGTATCAAGACTCCTCTGCTTTGTCTTCTCCAATCGATCTGATCAAGGAAATCATCCTCGACATAAACGACGCCCTCACTCTCACCCAGTCCATTTTTTACCATTCCGCCATCTGTAGGAGAAATTCTCGCAGTCTCGAGGAGGTACTCCAACGTCTCCGACAGAGCACAGAGAGAACTTTTAATCTTCATATCCCTGCGGCACGAACAAATTCCGTTCATAGACTACTTCGAGAGCCTAGTACGCCCAAGTTACGAGAATACTCAGAGGGTTAAGCTTTTGAAGGGAGTAGCCAACGTACAAGAGCGAAACCTGCAACTTATTTTGCAGAGCCATATTCCAGACCTCCTCGACCTTTATCGAATTTGCCCTATTTCTTTTCCTGACATACCCAGCCGCCTCCTCCCCTACGACTTCGAACACACCTTGCTTTGTGGCATTGTGTTAAGAAAGAGGCCTCATAAAGAACCCACCTACGATATCCCGTCCTCATTTTTTACATCCGACTACTACGACACCTACTCCGCCTCTCCTGTCAGTTACCAACCCATCCAATACTTCTGCATCGGCAATCATCTGGACCACCTTTCCATTGTCCAATATCTGACACGACTTTGCTGAACTCTCTACCTCCCCGAAATCCAAGATCTTGACGCATTCGGACCACGGTTTGGTCTTCAACACAGCACTTCTATCGTAATCGTCACACCCTCTACCAAAGATCATATTTGACAAGTTGTTGCTGCATTAGCGTGATTTGATCAGCTCATCGCAACCGCTCAGAGGAAATCCCGTGACGGAGAAGATTACACGACCGAAATTGACGATATCCGATATGTTTCAGAATACGTTGACGAATATTATTGGATCTTAGAAATCCTCACACCATTTGTCGTCAACCAACAATCTGATCATCCCGAACGTTTCATTGTTACCGTCCTCCAAAGCGACTTCTGGGCCGTTATTAATCATAGCCCACAAACTCGTATCTATTCGCAGTACTCGTACACCTACCAAGGTCGAAGAGGAGAAGCATCGCTCATTCCGACGGTTGAACAGCTTTTCACACCTTGCGCAGAAAGGATAGAACAAGAAACAGGAAGTTCGTTAATGGATATAGTTGGAGGAGAATCTAGCGACAAAACTGAGTCGGAAAGCGAAGAGTCTACTCAAAGCATAGAGTACTGGAGGCCCTGGGAAGCAGAAGGAGGAGATTTCCCTAGTAACTTTGAGTTTGACCCGGACTTTAATTAAATAAAAAAACTCGTTATCTAAGACCCGTTATCTAAAACCCATTATCTAAGACCTGTTATCTAACCCGTTAAAAACCTGGAGCCCTATCGAGAACCCCGTCCTCTGGTCACTCCTGACACACCTCCCCCACAATCTCTAGGAGCTGCTGTGGAAGCTCTAGAACCCGACGATCTGTATCAATCCACAGGACCGGAAAACTTTCCTCCCTCACCTCTGAGTCCAGAACCCAAAAACCAACCCGACGATTGGTTCAATCAGGAATCTTTAGACCTTGAACCTGATCTAGCAGCAGCAATGACCGACGAAACAAATCAAGGTAGCAAGGCTGTCCTTGCCACTCCTCCGTTCAAATTCATCGGTAAAAAGGAAATGTATGTTGACTGGAAGAACGCCCTAGCAAACTACTTTTTTGCCTATCCCAGAAGTTTCCAAACCAACTCCTCCAAAATCCTCTTCGCATTATCCCGAATCTCGTCCGATAAAGCCAATGACGCCTGTCACACATGGAAGGCAAATTTCAACAACAAAACCGCAGTGCTAGGAGACCTATTTGCACCACGGAATTGGGGAACTATCTCGGAATTCATCAAGGAATTAGATAACGAATTCCTGGATCCCCATCTCAAGTTGAAAGCAGAAATTGCCCTTCATAATTACGAACAGCGAGAAATGACGGTAGACGCATATTTTGGAGGACTCGAATCCAAACTTATGGAAGCAGGATTATCACCAGACGCAGATGAAAGTTATCCGTTCATTCACAGTATCCTTCGCCGCAACCTCTCTCAATTCCTTCGTGATCGTATCTCACAACAGGAAAACCTACCCAACACATACTTAGAATGGAAGGCAGCAGCGAGGAAATGGGAACAGCGAAACGAAGAACTAAATCTGGAAAGGAGGAAAGATAAACCCCCTCAACAGAGGCTGCCATTTCAGTACCAACGATATCAACCGCATTATCAACAGAACCAAAACTACCCCCCACCACAGCATCGACAAACAGTACCGCAAACAGAGACGCAAAGACCACGGTATATCCAACAACGACCGTATTATACTCCATCACAAAGACCACCGCCCCAGAATGCAGTCCACCCAAACACAGCAGGAATGTTTGGAGGATCAGGTGTACCTATGGAGATTGGGAGTTCCAACATGCAGAGACAATGTCGGCCCAACCCGAATGTTACTTGTTACAATTGTGGCAAACAAGGCCACATTGCTAGAAATTGCCCACATGGAAAGATGGCAATACAATATATGGAAACGGAGGAAACCAGAGACACTCCCACTGCATCATCATTAAAAGAAATTGAAGCGCCTCCAAAGGATTTTCAGAAAGGTCAGGAGTAAGCACGGACTCTCTGACCCGTAATGTTGTACTTAACCCTCGTATGATACCAACGACTGCAATGAAACGAGTTGATCAACATCTACGTGCTGTAACCGAAACCTACGCGAAGCCACATTTACCGGAATGGTTGGCCAGACGAATCAAAGACCAGAAACCAGAAAGAGCAAGAGCTCTGTTACGAAACTGGGCCCATAAAGATCACTACGAGCATATCACCCTGCAAGCCATACAGATGCTAAAGAACCATGACGAAGAGAATATTGTAGAACGCATCCATGCTTATACCTCGCCCCACAACCCCATGCCAAAATGAAGCCTCCATGTCATTTCTCAAGTCACTACCACAGACGACAGACAGACATTCACCGTACCAACCCTTATCGACTCTGGTTGCACCAACTCAGTTATTGATCAAAGCCTGATTGACAAGTACACCCTCAATACTACGCCCCTGCCCGTCCCTCTTGACGCCGCAGGAGCTGATGCTCGATCCCAGAAAGTAACGCACTATGTCACCCTTCACATCAATGTGAAAGGGAAAGAACATTTGATAGATGTCATTGTAGCATCACTACTTTCACCACGCATACTGCTGGGATACGACTGGTTGATACTTACTAATCCAACAATTGATTGGCGGGCCAACAAGATTACCTTCCCTGCCGATGATCCGGATTATCATCCTAAAGAAGGGGATAAAATCCTAGCCGTCGATCTTGAAACACAAATCATGGAGATAACACAGCTAGAATTAAATGCTTTTGCCACTAAAAGTCAACAAATAGCTGAATCCTCCGAAAAGGCAAAGTCAAAACTCACCTTCCGAGATGTCGTTCCTCCAATCTACCATGAATTCGAACCCGTCTTCACCAAAGAATCATTTGACAAACTTCCCCCAAAACGTCCTTGGGACCATGCAATTGAGTTAGTACCCGAGGCTAATGGTCTTGACTGCAAAATGTACCCTCTTAGCCGAGACAAATAACACCATTTAGACAAATTCCTTAATGAAAACCTAACAAGTGGACGGATCCGAGTATCTAAATCACCCTATGCATCACCATTCTTCTTTATCAAAAAGAAAGATGGTTCACTACGCCCTGTCCAAGACTATCGCAAGCTGAATGAGCTTACCATAAAGAATCGCTACACCCTCCCCCTCATATCCGAACTCATCGATAAACTCAAAGGTGCCAACTACTTCACGAAACTAGACATACAATGGGGGTACAACAATGTCCAAATCCAAGAAGGAGACGAACACAAAGCCGCTTTCAGGACCAATCACGGCCTGTTTGAACCCCTTGTTATGTTTTTTGGACTTACCAACTCGCCAGCGACCTTCCAGACCATGATAGATCACTTCCTAAGAGAACTGATCACAGAAGGAAAAGTTATTGTATATTTAGACGATATCATGATTTTCATGGAAACACTTGAGGAACATCGCCAAATAGTCACCAAAGTCCTCCGTATCCTGCAACAAAACCAGTTGTATCTTAAACCGGAAAAATGCGAATTCGAGAAACAGGAAGTCGAGTACTTAGGCATGATTATCTCCAAAGACACTATCCGTATGGATCCGTTAAAAGTTGCAGCGGTCGCTGACTGGCCTGCACCAAAGAATAAAAGAGAACTCCAATCATTCTTAGGGTTCTCCAACTTCTATTGACGATTTGTCAAAGACTATGGACGAATTGCAAAACCACTCACTGTGCTCACCGGAAAAGTTGACTGGACCTGGAAAGACGAACAAGAGACATCCTTTGAAACATTGAAGAAAATGCTTACTACTGCTCCCACCCTCGCTATACCAAACGATAACGACCCGTTCAAACTAGAAACCAATTCCTCTGACTTCGCTGTAGGAGCTGTCCTATCCCAGAAACAGAATGATAAATTCAGACCCATAGCATTCCTCTCGAAAGCTCTTACCCCTGCAGAACGAAACTATGAAATTTACGATAAAGAGATGCTCGCAGTCATGACGGCACTAGATGAATGGCGACATCACCTTGTAGGATCGAAACACCCCTTCACCATCTTCACAGATCACCAAAACCTCCTTTACTTCCGTCAACCTCAGAAATACAATTGACACCAAGCTCGATGGTCGTCTCAGCTTGCAGACTATAATTTCAAAATGGAACACGTCAAAGGAAATCAAAATACAAAGGCTGACCTGTTAAGCAGACGAATCGATCATCCTAAAGGCACAAACGATAACGAGAATCAGACACTTCTCCCAGACGTACATTTTAGAGTACTTGACACCAACAAAGGATACCTACCGGATATACGTTGAAGCTTCCAGAAACAAGACGACGTAGTAAAGAAGAACTTGAAAGAGAAGCCGGATACCTGGAAGATGAAGGATAGGATTGTCTGGATCAAAAGAGAACCCGCGACGAGTTCCTACCCGATCCCATTAGCTGACTGCATATACATTCCTCGAAACCACGAATTACGGGCGCGAATATTGAAAGATCATGACGACGAAGTTCTGGCTGGACACCCAGGAGAAAGAACAATGTTTGAACGAGTAAACCGAGAGCTCTGGTGGCTGAGTCTTCGTACAGATATCAGACGATATGTATGAGGGTGCGAGAGTTGTCAACGCACCAAGGCACATCAGACAAAGCCTAACGCCCCTCTACACCCAAACCCGATACCAGATTGGCCTTGGCAGATTATCACCACCGATCTCATAGGCGCATTACCGGAATCCAAGGGCTACACCGCCGTTCAGGTCTTTGTTGACAGATTTAGCAAAATGGCCCATTTTGTCCCTACTTTCGTCACCCTCGACTCTGCTGGTTACGCACATCAACTCCGAGACAATGTAATACAACTCCACGGAATCCCTGAAAAGATCATCTCGGATCGAGGTCCTCAATTCATGTCTCGATTTACAAAAGACTTTTATGATTTAATGGGGATAACACCAGGCCTCTCTACAGGCTACCACCCTCAAACAGACGGACAGTCCGAACGGATCAACCAGGATCTAGAGCACTACCTCCGCATTTTCATAACTCATCAACAAAATGATTGGGCAGACTGGCTTTCCATCGCTGAGTTTACATATAACAACCATCTCCACACCGCAACGAATCAAACACCTTTCTTCTTGAACTACGGACTACACCCAAGAACGAGTATCACCACCACACCATCCCCTCAATCCGCTTCTGCAGAAGAATTTGGCGAACAGATGAAAAAACTCCACGACATCACGAAATCTTCCCTTCTCTTAGCCAACGATAATCTAAGAAAATATTACGACCGTAAGAAATCCCCCTCCCGAGAATATCAAGTTGGCGATAAAGTCTGGTTAGAAGGACATAATATCACAACGGATAGACCAATGAAGAAATTAGATGATAAACGCTTCGGACCTTTCAAAGTCACCCAAAAAGTCGGACCCTCCGCCTATCAACTCGACATCCCTAAAAGCTGGAAGTCCATTCATCCAGTATTCAACGAAGCCATCCTCTCACCATACCATGCTCCCAAATTCCTCAATCAACCAATTTCCTCACGACCACCACCTGAGATTGTGGAAGGGATAGATGAATATGAAGTAGAGAGTATAATCGCTTCCAGACCGACTAAACTGAAAGGTAGTAAGCTCGACTACCTAATTCACTGGCATGGTGATCCAGTCTCCGAACGCACTTGGGAACCTGACACTAATCTTACACATGTCCCTAAATTACTCGCCGCTTTCCACAAAACGAATCCCTCCGCCCCTCGCATCATTACCGCTTCTCTTCACTTCCGTCCTTACAAAAACTACACCGTCACTTCTAAATCTCCGATGCTTTTTGACTGGATTACCAACAAGTTCCAGAGTGCCGCATCCGGACTCATGAGGACACGAGTCTTATAAAAGGGGAGCTAATGTGAGGAATCGATTTTTCTTATTGCATTCCCGTCATGTTGTGGTTAGCAGACTTGATCCCTATCACTTCTCTTGCCCTTGGACTAGAGATTACAGCAGGTGTTTTATTACTTCTATCCTTTTTCTTCTTATTCTCTATTCACACTCATGTCCTATCGTACCTACAACGAAGGAGACTTGTTGTAGACCCTTGAGAAGATATCCAAATGACATAGCAACGATCCAGTGCTATGTCTGGGAATACTTCAGAGGAATATTGATAAGCAAAAAAGGTTGTGAGTCAGCGCCTTCTCATGGGCTTACTGATACAGCCAATTGCACATCCCTTACCAATACGTTTTCTCATACGATTAGTAAATACGATAGATCGGACCACCTTCTCCTCTTTTTCTTATTGGTTAGTTAGCTGGTCAGACCACATTCTCAGTTATTCCCTTTCTCGGTCTGACTATCGCCGTTCACTATATAAAGAAGTACATACTTGATGTATTGTTCTCTAGTTCAATATTAGTTTGGATTTGCGCTCATACCGATACTCAACCTCATACCCTGATTCACCGCCTTCCAGCAAGGACTTGACGGCATTGTGTTTGTTATATAGCTTCGTATTTGTTGCATGACATACAGCTACACTACCACACACTGCGTAAAACTTACTTGTTCCAAATTGGAACTACTCCTCTCCCTCCCTCATTTGACCAGGTGGTCCAATACAACCAGTCCATTGGTAAGGCCATGGAACTGTCGGATTTGGACTAGGTGGTGGACCGGTGGCTCCAGTTTCTTTTTTTTCAGCAGAACATTCATCTACAGTGTGATTATTTTTGATTTTTCAATCATTTTTATGGACACATATTTTTTAGAATGCCTGACTGACAATAAAGGAACTGTGTTGATACTGATAGTATTTTGCCTTGCCCTTTTTTTTTACTGCATCTTCCCATGACATCATGATTTTCCTGCTCTCTTTTTGCTATTGGGACTTTACTTTATGGCTGTACAAACCTGTGACATTACTCACAGCATTCATTGTTCTATCCCTTTCTTTTCCTTTTTTTGACAATCTTATCCTGTACTACCTATGCAGGATTTGTCAGTGTACATTCCTTCCTTCACGTTATTTCTCATTCTTTTTGCACAGCTATACTGTGCGTAGCCTACTTTTCTTTCACTATATAAACCCCTGTATTTTACCTTGTAAAAAAAACAAGAACTCAAATCCAGACTTCTTCTCTAATCTCAAGTTCACTACTCACTACTACTTGTGATCCAGTGTGGTCACAATAATAAACCTAAGTGAAACTCAGCCGCTGCCCGAGAGGCTATAGAAATGACTTTATTATTTACCTAAGTGAAACTACAATAGATGTTAGTTTAAGGTGATCTCTGATAAATGTAATGTAACATACCTCAGCCGCTGCCCGAGAGGCTATAGAAACGACTGAGGTATTCCTATACTAAACCCCCTACTACTTATAGTCAGAGGTGCTACTCGCTACAGTATAATGACTCCTAGGAGTACAATTGTGCTCCTAGGAGAACAATGGTTACTCCATGGAGTGGTGGCTATGCTCCATGGAGAACAATGGCTGCTTTGGCAGAGACCAGGTTTATCTGGTTTTGTCAGGTTTGAGAATGACAATATGATGAGGTGACAAAGTTCCCAGTGATAGCAGGCTCCTGATGCACAGACTGTAGTGCTCAGAAGGACTCTAATTGAAAGGGATGACAATCACTTTCAAAAGTGACGAGTGACGATGACAGCAGTTGACAGTAGTAGCAGTGGGAAGTGTTTGACAAAACCGGATAAACCCAGTTTCTGCCGAAGCAGCCATTGTACTCCTAGGAGTCATTATACTGTAGCGAGTAGCACCTCTGACTATAAGTAGTAGGGGGTTTAGTATAGGAATACCTCAGTCGTTTCTATAGCCTCTCGGGCAGCGGCTGAGGTATGTTACATTACATTTATTAGAGATCACCTTAAACTAACATCTATTGTAGTTTCACTTAGGTAAATAATAAAGTTGTTTCTATAGCCTCTCGGGCAGCGGCTGAGTTTCACTTAGTTTTATTAATACCCAGAGCCATAAGACGCAAGCCAAGCCAACATGCTTGCATTCTCATAGGATATCTGTCCGTCAATAAAGTTAGGGGATCTCAGCTTACAGCAAAAGCAAAGTCATCAAGAGTTCAGCGTCTATTCCATGAGTCTATGAGGGTCATACTAGAACCTTTGAAGAAGGCTGGCATTGAAGGGATGGACATCACTGGGGGTGATTGGGCTGTTAGGAGAGTTCATCCTGTTTTGGCTTGCTACATTGCAGATTATCCAGAACAATGTCTAGTGACATGTACAAAGTACAGCACCTGTCCCAAATGCAAAAGGCCTGCTTCTGAGCTTTCAGAATCTACTCCTGGAGAGCCATGTACACAGAACTGGACAGAAGAAGTCATTCAGAATGCTAGAGCTAATACAAATTTTTCCATCAATTTCAATAGAGATGCAAAGATAACCATATCTCTGGTGGTGTTTATGAGCCATTCTGGCTCAACTTCCCTTATTGCAACATTCATTTATCTGTTTCCCCCGATATTCTCTATCAAGTATATCAAGAAGTCTTTAAGCATATGGTGAACTGGTGCAAGGATCTCATGGATCCTAAAGAGCTTGACCAGCACACACATTTCCTCCCTTCCTGCTTGCTATGGTGTTCGTCATTTCAAAAATGGAATTTCTGCATTAGGCCAGATTGGTGGAAAGGAAAGAAAGGATATGGCCCACATATTACTAGGATGTTTGATTGGAAAGATTCCAAGGAGTGCTATACTTGCATACCAATCCCTCTTGAACTTCATCCAGATAGCACAGTATCCCACTCATGACGACACCACTCTGGGCTACCTTTCAGATGCTTTGGACACTTTCCAAAAACACAAAGATATATTGGTATGGCTTAATATAAGAAAACACTTAAACATTCCAAAATTCCACTCTCTCCTCTATTATCACCAGTTTATTACATGGTTTGGAACCATTGACAATTACAACACCAAGATGTTTGAGCGCTTCCATATTGACTTTGCAAAAGAGGGTTGGAGGGCTTCTAATAAAGAAATGAAGCACCACAAATGGTGACATGGCTTCTGCATTGTGAAAAGGTGGTCGCTTTCCAGAGCTATCAGAAAATGACCATGGATAATGAAGAAGACAAATTCCCTCACTCCAAATTCCAAGACCAAAGGCTTGTCATAGCAAAATACCCTAATAAATGTCAGCAAAGCATTTTGGACATCATAGAGAAGCATCAGTATCCTGGATTTGAATCAGCACTCAAAGTCTTCCTTAACAGTAAACTAACTCACCCAAATACATGTCGTGAAACCAGATTACTACCCTTCTATTTCAAAACCTCAATATCTTCCATGGCTTCAAATTCTGTTTAGATAGCCTAGGCAACAATGTTGACCTAGAGAATGACCGGGTAGATTCTGTCAAAGCCAGGCCAAGTGGAAAAAACAATCTATTGCCACAGTTAGACACAGTGGTTGTGATGAGTTCTCCTGATTGTAAGGCTACAGGCATTAAAGGTAATGTTTCTCTTACCCTATAACCACAAGCACGTCTAATACTAATGACTGTATTCAAGAAACAATGATTGGGAGATTGAGAGTAATATTTAAACTACCTGAAATACTATACAGTTTCCACGCATCCCCCAATAATTGGCCAAAACATCATTTGGCATATGTAGAGTGGTATAGCAACCTCAAATCCACAGCTGAAAAGGACTACTTAATGTACTCTGTTAATAAGGTACCTCTAAACACTGAAGGTTTTCCTCCAGGACAAATCATCCCTTTATCCAGTATTAAACAGGTTTGTCAACTTATCCCTGCTTTTAGTGGTTTGCACAATACATGTCCTCATCATTGGACTCATAGTAATGTTCTGGATGTTTGTCACAAATTTTATCCTAATAACTTTAGTAGCATATCAAACATTATGGTAGTCATATATAGCATTTTAAATTTTGTGTCTATAATACTATTATTGCTCTTGTTGCTCCCATTGCTCTTATTGCTCATATAACACTATAGTCACTATGATCATACTATAGTTGCTCTTATAGTGCTATAAGTGCTATAGGTGCTATAATAGGCTTTATTTGTACATATGTACAAATCCCTCTGCTATATAGCAAAAGGCTTTTTCCTGATGGGACTACAATGTTTGAAGCACAAAAAATTTATTTCATCTACGGGTTTAAAGTAACTATGCCCTAGTTGAGTGGGTGTGTTGTTTTTATTAGTTCCTTTGTTTCTTGAGGCAACTCTAGCATAGGCAAGTGGTTACATAATACTGTGTTCCTGGTCCCAAAGGAGACAAGGTGTGTCAACCATAAATTGACCACGCAAAATGTATTGGTTGGTCGGTGCAAAGTCTGAGCTTACTAATTATTCTCGGCACATGCCTGAGGAAATGCACTGCATGTACTATATGGCAAGTGTTGAGTGGAAACCTTCCAATCTTTTCTCTCCCTGTTATGCTGCAAAACAAACAAATTTATTACTGATGAGAACATGGAATAGCAATTTGGCATACAACACCATCTAAACAGATTGCCGTTTTAACTTTTTAGGCTCTGAGGCTGGACCTTCCTGATTCCCAGGTTGTTTAGATGGACAGTTGGAGTTGCATTCATCATACAATCCTTCTGATGAATTTGAGGGAGCTCTGCTAGGTGGAGGAGAGTTCTTGGGCAACTGTTGTGGCAGTGAAGCACTGACATTGAGTTCCCTGCATCCAATTTGTACAGAGCCTCGTACATGCTTTCTCCTATAATTATTTGCTTCCTCTTGAACTGAACATCTTTTCATATCTAGTTATTTACATATTGATTTCACCCTTTCCTACTGCGTGTCTTTCATTCTACCTTACCTACTTTGACGTCCCTTCAATTTCTAAAGTTTTCGCCTTGTTCTGCTACGCTTGCTCATCATAATGTAATAAATATTTCGTTCTTGATCGCACATGCACTACTCCTCAAAGTGATTTCCCCCCGGGGGACCAGGGTTGCCCGGAGGGCCGTGCTATTTATATTCAGCCACACAGCATGTTGCCACCTCAGTTCTCAAGTATTTGGACTGAGGTGAGCAACATGTTCATTTCTCTACTACATACAGTTTTACTTACAGTCTATTAGTCTTCTGTTTATCAGGTTAGAATAATAGATATACAGTTCTGAAGTATTCGGACTGAGTCTTCTGTTTATCAGAATTATATTATTGATACCCGGACGCCCCATGATAACTAGAAGCAATTGGGAGCCTTATTTGTGGCAGGAATGTGCTGTTTTGTGACCGCTACAGGAACAGGTAAACCAACACTACCATTTGACTCATGCATGTTATACAGGCTATCTCTGAAGAAATGACGCTACACTTGAAGGCCAATCATATTGAGTGAAGTGCTACAGTTCAAAGCCTGGTGCTGGCTGTGAGTTGTCGGAATACTAGCTTGGTTGGGAATGAAGCGGAGAGAAATGTGTTGGAAAGAGGGACTAAGATTAAAGTAAATTAAAGGCTTCCAGATTTACTGTCCATTAGTATTGTACCATTAGGTGGTGGTGGATATATATACGACCTGTAGGCAAAACAGGTTGTTGTACGCTCATTTCAACGTTCAACATTAACGAACTTGTGGTAGTGCTGCCGCTCCATGTGACAATACCATTTTTGGAAGGCATGCCGTGGATGCCGCCTTTGTTTGGCTCATGGGAAGATATTCCCTTATGACGGTTAGTTGGGCGCGGAAGCAGACCATTGATAGGAGGAACGACTGTCTTCCTCCTAAATGGTATGCCTAGGGGAGACTAGATCCTATCAAGCTAATCCAGAGGTTACCTGCCAGGAGCTTGGTATCAGCAGGTCGAGGGTTAAAAGAGTCGACACCTCCATGCGAATTTACGATAGGACTGACACTGAAAATGAAGACATTATCGTACAGTGCGCTGGTGCGTAAATTCCATCTGCCAGTGCTTCTCTCGGCGTTGATAAAGCCCAGCAGGCTATACCTTAGCCAGACGATGAGGTCGCGGCTGTCTAGTCCAGTTACAAGCACAAGCGTGATATCGTTCATAATTTCTCGGCAACGCTTTTCCTATCTTTGAATAACCATGAGGCAGCCAGCGGTCAATTGGATTGCATCTGATTACCGGGACGAAGAACAGTGAAATAATGGCTTGTGACATGCTCGTTTCAGTGGGAAGCAGATGTAGGCTTTGATGCTGCGTTTCATTTCCGCGTCTTTGAAAATATCCTGGCTTTTTTTGGGACCTGTCACAGTCCTCACTGTCTTGCCGCTCAGCTAGAAGAACGCCTTTTCATTCTACGGGGAACACACCGGGTACCAGATACTTAGAGTGATATTCGTACCAAATTGAGGTGTAGAGTCACTGTACTTTGGGGAAGTCTTTTACTATACGGTAAATTATCATTTTCAGTAACCCCCATCCTTCATATTCGTGCACGTATAAAGGTTCTTGTGCAGTGACTATGTCTCAACATCCTGCACTTTCCCAAGGCACTAACAGCCAACCCATTCATAAAGCATTTACCATGAAATCCATTTTCACTGGTTCCCTCTTGATTATCGCTTTCTGCCTTTTGCAAGTGGCCATAGCAGTACCAGTTGCTGAGTTACAGGATGGTATGTGTTATAACTCGTGAATACGAAGCAATGGAGATCGTCGCTGACTTCGTTGTTTATGTAACTTCTGAAGTTACGGATGGGAACCTCAAACGTCTGGTGAGTAAACATACAAAGAGCGCACTTGGCATAGGGGCAGAAGGTGTGTCTATCACAACATCTTTTTGCTACCGTGATATACTTACTGATATGATTTGAGTAGAATCCGGCCCCAACAAGCGTGAGCCACTTCCTTTCGGTACTTTCTATAGGAATGGCCCAGATGAGGGTATATCCTAGTTTTATTCTCCTTATGCATGTCGTGTTGAAATTATTATCCTCTACAGAGGACACCGATTCTGCGTGATGACAAGTGATAACAGAGTTACTGGATCGCAGCAGGTATAGATTCTGACGCAGAATTATGTATATTTTTTGACAATAGCCTTGACAGAGAGTGAAGTGTTCCAGGCTCGACTTGACGGGGACGTAACACTTTGTCCATTGAAATCATATTTCTTGTATTTGTATAGGCGAAATCTTGAATATTATGGTGTGAAAGGGATCAACAATTCAAGGGAAGCAAGTATGACCTGATCATACATCGGTGTGCTCGTATTCGACAGTAGTACTATTGGTGCTAAGTGTATGACAAGTCCAGTCTTTGCGGGATCGGAATGTAATAGTTCATGTTCGAGAGAGTCAAGTCAGACTATTGGAATCCAAAAAGAAAAAGAAAGAGAAAAATTCTGAAAGCATTTACAAAACATATTCGACATTCCATCCTCACCTTCATTCGATCCACACGTTCATACGCCCCACCGCCTCACACTTAGAGTCCACCACCCCCCGTCATCTGCCTAACCAAAAACATCCCCCGACCCTCGTCAACACTCTTCCCCCCACCCACACTTCTCATCCCAATCACGCTCTTCGGCCTCGGGCGAGGTGTACCCGGCACATTGAACCCCCCTCCCTCTCTCCCACCTCCACCACTCCCAAACATCTTCGTAGGACTCCCTGTCAGCTGCCTTGTCGGACTCAAGCCTCCACCCGTCAGCTGCCTCATCAACGCCGCGTCGGCACCCCCAAGGCCTGTAAACTGTCTCGCCATCGTCGTCGTTCGCTCCCCTACACTCCTACCCGTAAAGCTAGGCACGAGGGGCTTCGTAGGCGATTCTGCCGATACTTGAGGGGTGCGCAGGGATAAAGGCAAAAGCAGCTATATTAAAAAATTAGCATTTTTTTAGCAGTTATTATTTTAGCGGTTCAAAATTTGTGAAAAATATAGAACACATAAGCGAGACTCACCAGACACTCCCGACACCACACCCCACCCTCCCCATCACTCTTCGCCGCACTATCCAACCGCTTCCCACACCCCGGCTCATCCTTTCTCTTCCCCCTCCCCTTGCCTGCTCCCTTTCCCCCACACACCAAACACGTCGCATGCCACCTTGACCCCTGCGGCCCAGGAACCACTCCCATCTCCATCGGCGACACGTTCTTCCGGCACCCAGGACAGGCCGTCGAGCTCCCAAAGCGCGGGAAAGAGGTTGAGATGGCTGGCGCGGAAGGAGGAGCGAGTGGGCGTTCGTACCGCGAGGAATGCGGTTTGGGGCTGTTTCGGTTGCTGATGGTGTTGGTGTTAGAGGAGGAGGGCGTGACAGAAGAAGAGCTGGTACGAGTCTTCGGAGGAGGGAGAGAAGAAGGCGGGGGCGCGGCTGGTGTTGAAGGGAATCCATTGTTGATAATGGGGCACGAAACAGCGGTTGACCTAATAGTTTTTCTTTCTGGAGGTGCACACTGTAAAAAAATTAAATTACATAAATCAGTTCGAACCACACAACACCCAGCATTTTAAAACCAAGTCAATCGAGAGACCCACATCAACATGACAAGCCCCCCCTTCCCCCCTCACAAATACAGCCTGTCCCGTCCCACTCTCCCTGAACGGCCCATCACATATCACACACCTAAAACACTCCGTGTGATACGTCTTTGGCGTCCCGTATCCCGTCGCACTCACCTCAGGCACTGTCACAAACCGCCCACCAGCTTGACTAGCAAACAGCGCGCCACCGCATTTCGCACAGAGCGAGTCGGTGGAGAGCGTTGCGGCGCGGAGGGGTTGGCCTGTGAGTGCTGGTTTGAGCGGCTGGGTTTGTGATTGGCCGGTGTGAAAAGGTTTGAGGGATTGGCCAGTGTGTGATGGCTTGAGGGATTGGCCAGTATGTGATGGTTTGAGAGATTGGCCAGTGTAGCTGGGTTTGAGAGGTTGGCCTGTGTGGTTGGACTTGATGGATTGTCCAGTAAACGACGGTTTGACAGATTGACCCGTGTAGGAAGACTTCAGTGATTGGCCAGTAATCGAGGGCTTCAACGCCTGCACCGGGGGAATATCAAACTTCGAAATACCACCATAACCCACATCCTCCCCTCTCGACCTCCTCCTCTCTCCTCCCCTCCCACCACTCCCATGCACGAATACATCGTCTCTAAACCCGGGTGAGTTGAATGCAGGAGGAGAAGAAGGGCCCGAGGAGAGCGTCGTCGCGTCGGAGAACTCGGATGTGAGATCTGGAGTAGCGGGGATCCACGAGTCGCGATCACGTGATGATGTTACGCTCGAAGTACTATCTCTGCTCCTCTGTACAGGCGACCCACTCAAGCGCTTGGCAACTGGTATACGAGATGCCACTTTCTGCGGCGTAGGAGACTTGAAGGTGACAGGCGAGGAGGCGGAATGGGGAAGGGGCGAAGGCAAGGTGGACGACGACGAAGGTGGTGGAGAGACGATATCGTCGGCGGAGAGCGATTGGCGTAGGAAACGCCTTTTCATCTCTTCAATGGCGTCTAGAGAGGGACGTCCGACGGCAGGCGCGCCGTAACGCACAGGGCTCGTCGATTCGGGGCTGAAGAGCCTCTTTGGTGAATCATGTCGGGAATCGGGGGTGGAGAACCTATCATGCGATCTCTGCGCGAGGCTGTTCGCACTACCTTGTCCCTCATTTTCGCTCCGCCTGCCACGCTCTGGAGTGACCATATTGTGAGATAACGCGTGTCCAGCCAGGGGTAAAGACGAGTCGATGATGCTGCGCGAACGGCCACGAGTACGGTCTGTGAGGGGGCTGTTGTCACGGATGGGACTGTTGGCGTAGCGAGAGATCAGGGGGCTTGAGGTGGCTGGGGCTGGTGAGTCCTTGGTAGGAGTTCTGTTGAGGACGACACTGAGTCGTCGTGTGAGCTCATCGATAGCTGGACTACCATCCCTGTCCTTAAGAATCCCGAGACGCTGCTCAAGTTCCTCAAGCGCCGGGCTTCCCTCCCTGCTCCTCACATCCCCCAGTCCACCATGTAGCCTGTCTCTCTCGCCCCTAGTAAATTCAAGGTCGGATTCTCGTGTCTTGCGAGGTGTAGTTTTATCGCGTTTGAGACACGAGTCGAAGCAATCTGCGCAGGAGGGGTGGCCGAGGAGGTCGACCATGGGGGTGTCGCCGATGTTTTTGTAGCATGATTGGCAGCGGAAACAGCGTTTGTGCCATACGCGACCCGAATTTTCGATGAAGCCTCCCTCGCTTTTGAGGATAAGGACTGGGCGTTGACAGGTGGGACATTGGCCTTTCGACCCTCCGTTTTCGATGAAGCAAGGTCGACAGAGGAAGCGGTCTGTGGTGTGTATAGAAGAAGTGGATCCAGACAGAGAGGATGAGGAGGGATCTGGATAGATGGTCGCGTCAGGGGGAAATTCAGAGGAACATAGCGCACAGGAGAAAGAGGCGAGTGACTCTTTGGGTTGTAGAACTGAACCATAGACTTTGGAGAGAGTAGGCGCATAGGGAGATGGAAGGATATTGGCTGCGAGGGAAGCATAGGAGGGCGAGGGTGGGTGGAGGTCTGGAGAAGAAGGCGGGAGAGAAACCGATTGTTTGAGCGGAGATGGAGGACGCGTGGTCGAGGAAATGTGTGCGGAGACGCGATGGCTCAGATTTATAGTGGAGCTGGGCGTAGAGGGGGCATTGGGACGTGGAAAACGCGATGGAGGGAGTCTGGGATTGGGATCTGAAGAAGAAGTGAGTCTGGGATTGGTCACTGGAGGAGAGCTGAGTCTGGGATTGGGATTTGAGGGGGAATCGAGCTTGGGATCAGCGGGGTCGTCGAGGACGCGTGCTTGGGAGCGAGTAGGAGACGAATCACGTGCGGTATACGTCTGCGACCACTTGTCGACAGACGTGTCTTTCGACGGTGACCAGCTAACAACAGGAGCTAAGACAATATGCATAAGCTCACCACTGTGCACGACGACGAGCACAGCACACTCACCAACTGCCGTGCCACCACACTTGCACCGCGGTCCACTGACAATATCACCACATCGACGACAGAACCCCATTGGCAGTAGTTAAGAGACGCGATTGTGAACGGAGACAACGAGGAAAGAGCGAGCAGAACGTGTTGGACGACGAGCAAGGCAGAAAAGCACAACGAGCTGCAGTTGAACTGTGTTATGTAAGCAGACCCCGTGCACTCTGGTATAGACGACTGCGTAGAGCCATTTCGCATTCGAATACTGACCACTGTAGCGATAGCACTGTAGATTATCATCACTTTGCAGCCCAGTCTCCATGAGTTCACTGGCTTTCTTGGTCACAGAGCTTCAGGTGAGTCTTATTCATGTTTTACCACCGACAGCCAGTGCTAATGTCCTGCGCAGTCTCTGGCTAGTGAAACTAGGAGGAAACATCCCGAAATACGCGAGGTGTTTGTTGCACAAATTCGTGTTGCAACTGAGCGGATTGCTAATTGTCATACTTGCATAGGCTGCAGAAAAGTCGTTATCAATACTACGCTCCTCGCCAGAGCAGGCAACCGCAAGCTTAGCCTCTGGTGTGTTCTCTCTTTCCTCTTGACCTCCACCTCCTCACCCACCCTTCCTAGATGGCCCACAATCAGATGACCTCCTTCGCCCAGTGTTCATGGGGTGTGCTACAAAGAATTCAAAAGTAGTCGCCATCTCTCTCGGTTCCCTCCAACGCCTCATCGCCCTCAAAGCCGTTCCTCAATCCGCCGTACCCCTTATCATATCTACCATGACAGATGCAATGTCTCAAGGCGTCGATATCCAGCTCCGTATCCTCCAGACCCTCGTATCCCTCATTACCAACTTCGAGGCTGTCAGCGGGGATTTGCTCGGTGATGTACGTGTTCTATTCACATGCCCCCTCCTTTCTTTGTATCTCAATGTGGGAACTGTGAATGATTGCTGAGGGTATATTGGATTGGATAGGCTCTTCTCCTGTGCTTCAAGCTGCAAGACTCGCGGATCGCAGTCGTCTCGTCAACCGCTGCCGCAACCCTTCGTCAGCTCGTCATGTTCGTCGTCGACAAGATGGTCGACGAAGACCGCCGCGAAAACATCGACCCCGAATCCCTCGTCTCCACCATCCTCCCCGATGGTTCCACCAAACTCCTTGGCCCATATGCCCGAGACGCATTTTCCGTATTCGAAGACCTCTGCCTCCTCGCCAACGCCGAAAAACCACACTTTCTCAAACTCGACTACCTCCACAAAACCTTTGCACTCGAGCTTATCGAAAGCGTTCTCACAAACTACCACGATCTTTTCCGCAAGGTAACTCACTTACAACCCTGCATCCACTTCATACCCCTTACTGATAGCCACACAGCACCCCGAGCTGCTGTTACTCCTCCAACACCACCTGTGTCCCTTACTTCTCAAAGCCCTCTCCGAACGGCCTGTATTTCCACTGACACTCCGTGGCACTCGCGTTATATTTCTCCTTCTTAAGCAATTCTCGTTCGAGCTCAAAACAGAAGCAGAGGTTTTTCTCATGCTCCTCATCAGAATGATAGGAGACGACACAGAATCAATAGACCACACCTCACCCCGGCCTCCCTGGACGCGCGTCCTCGCACTAGAAATCATGCGTGGGCGAGTCTTTTTCTTCTCAAACCTCCCTAGTTGAATTCACACTGCCACCCACTAATACACTCCCTTTAACAGCGTCTGCAGCGATGCAGAACTCATTCGGAACATATGGGATCGTTACGACGCCCAACAACCGGGCTCCAAAGTATTCAGCTCCCTCATAAGCGCCCTCAAACGTCTCCTCACCGAAAAACCCGCGCTCTTAGGCGTGAGCTCGCAGATGTTCGGTGTGGGTGTTTCAGCGCATGCTGTTGGGGAGGGCTTGAGCGCATCTGGATCTGGATCTTCGAGCTCAGGATATGGTTTGGATGTGGGCGGGATGGCTGGGATGGTGGCGACGGCGGCTAGTGCCACTGTTTCTGGTGTTGTAGGCATGATGGGTTCAGGAGGAGGACTGAGTGTCCAAGGCTCAGCGATGAAGCTACAATGGTACATTCTCTTCTTATCACCTCTTGACCCATCCACCTCTAACGTCCAACTCTTAGCATCGACCAACTCGACAAAGCCGACTCTCCTCCAATTCCTGAATCATACATATATCTCCTAGGCGTGCAATGCATCGTCTCTCTCTGCGAAGGTTTCGCCTCCTTCACTGGGCCTTTATACACCTCTATAGTGATCCAGAAACCACGCACTGCCGGCGACCCCCTCATCCGCGCTCCACCCGCGCTCGACCTCTCCTCCCTCCCCCAAGACGAACCCAGCACCCGCCACCTCCTCATCGTCCGCTCCATGATCGAAAATGGCTGGCCTGCCCTCCTCGCCGCCCTTTCCTTCATCATTTCCACCTCCCTCTCGGATGACCTCTTCGTCGACGTCCTCACAAGCTACCAGGCCATGACTCACGTCTCCGGCATGCTCGCCCTCTCCACCCCCCGCGACGCCTTCTTTACCTCCCTCGCCAAATTTGCCATCCCCTCCCGCGTCGTCTCCAGCCTCGACACCTACTTTGAGCCTTCGACCCCGCGTACAGCCTCGGCATCTATCACCGAGAACCTCGGCCTGACAGGTCCTACGCAGCCCCCTGGATTGAGCGAAAGGAATTTAGCATGCTTGAAGGTCTTGGTAGGCAGCGCGCTCTTTTTGGCGGGGAGCCTGGGGGAGAGCTGGTATGGGATATTGGAAACGCTGCAGAACGCGGATTATGTACTCACAGTCAAAGGATCACAAGCCGTCTCCTCTCGACGCGCTAGCACCTTGGGCCCAGGCGGGTTCCAGTCCAACCGGTCTGTTTCTGCGCCCTCGCAGCAGCAGGGCGAACACGGTAAGGCCTCATCTTCGGGTGCGTCCCAGCACCACTTCACCCCTCGTCATCCACTCCTCACAGACCTCGATGGCGAGAGCGTGCAGAGCGCAATACAGCGCTTATTCGACGCATCAAAGAACCTCGAGGATACCGCGTTCCATGACTTTGTCAACGCGCTTTGCAAGCTGAGTTCGGAGATGGTGGGCATGCAATCGGACAACTCGGGTATGCTGGGAGGTGGTGAGAGCGGTAGTCTGGATGATATGCAGAGCTCTGCGACGCTTTCCCCGCGTAGCGAACTGGCGCATCGGAGAAGGGTGAGCGGGATACACTTACCGAGGACGTTGGTGAGAACCGTTTATTATCGTCGTCGTCCCCTACGTGTAGTTATGTCATGCTAATCGTTGATCATGGGTAGCGTTCAGGTGATTTCGGTGTAGATAGGCTGGGAGGTGTGGCTATGCTCAACATCCATCGCCTCATCTATCGTTCGCCGGATATAGCTTGGAACACTACGACAAGTCATCTTCTCTCGATCATAGGGCTTCCATTCGCTCCACAGCCAATACGAGTCCAAGCCGCGCGCATCTTGGACGAAATCCTCGTCGTCGTCCCTCGCAGCCTCTCATCCACCGGCGATCTGCAGGCAACGGTCCAGCGACGCGTCCTAGACGTTCTCGCGCAACAAGTGATCCCTCCAGAGAACGTTCCCAGCACCAGCACCAGCGTCGAGCTGCGGAGGATGGGCCTGGAGACGCTGCATCAGATTCTGCAGGCGTCTGGACACACGTTTGTCGTTGGATGGGAGACTATCTTCGAGATGCTGGGCAGCGTGTGTAAACCACCGCCGCCTTCGAGGACGGTTTCTGTCGACTCTATGAGCACTCTGTCTCTCGAGCCCAGCCGGCCAAGGCCGTTACCACTAGGCCATGGCAACGAACGCGGATACACCGCTCTCGTCAAAATCGCCTTCCAGTCGCTGAAGCTCGTGTGCGATGCCGTCTCCTCCCTATCACCAGAGCACCTTCGCTTATGCATCAGCACGCTCGGCCAGTTTGGCAGACAGGCAGATACAAACATCGCTCTGACAGCCGCCGAGAGTTTGCTGTGGAGCGTTTCAGACTCGATTCAGGCGAAACGGAAGGATGTAGAGAAGGAGCCCGAGTATAGTTCATTGTGGATGTCATTGCTGCTTGAGGTGTTGGGGCTTTGCACAGATGCGAGAGCTGAAGTGCGGGTGGGTGCCATACAGACGTTGTTCCGTGCGATGCAGCTGTACGGAGCCACGCTCAGTTTGGAGACCTGGGACGAGTGCATATGGAAGATTACATTCCCGCTTCTTGACGCCATTTCGGTTGAAACGCGGCGCCATACTCAAGCTTCGTCTCAGAACACTTTAACGTCGATACAGACCCCTGACAAAGCATGGGATGAGTCGAAGACCCTTGCTCTACAGTCGATAGGCTCCATCATCAATGATTTCCTAACCACTAAAATCATGCGTCTTGACTCGTTCACGAAGGCCTGGACGGTTTTCGTAGGACACATTCAGGACACTGTCTTATTGGATCGTCGGACACTCAGTCCGCCTGCTCTCCTTTGCTTGGAGAAGGCTATCAAGGCTTCTGCTTCTGCAGAGTCGACCCTTGCCCCAAAGGTTGCTGAATCTTGGGAATGCGCTTGGAAGGCTTGTGACCAGATTGGGAGTGCTATACTGCAAGGCGGGAAGTCGCTTCCTTCCAATGTGGATGCCCGTCTCCTATACAGGCCATTTACGCAGGAAAGTCTAGTTGCCTTTGTCGAGGTCATACGAAGTACGAGGACTATCAGTCGAGCCTTGGACGGTGTTGAATGGCCCTTGGAGCGCCTGACTCGCCTGATGGCAATATTGAAAGGTCAGAGTGAAAAAAAAATTGACTTACTTATCAGCGAATCTTACGCTTGTTACAGGTGTACTGACATACCCCAATTCGCCTGATTACAGACCAGATGTAGATGGGTTGACTCCTGTGCAGGTATGTCTTCATTGATTGCTCTCCATCTCCTCATCTGATAACATTTCTAGGCAGCTGTGATGAATGCCATAGAGGACATTGATCTCTCCTCCACAGGCTCGCCTTCCCTTGTCATGCGAGATCTGTCAGAGTATGCTACACTGCCGTTCCTAGCCTCCTTTGATGTCCAGCCAGCTTTAAACCTGGTGTCAGGGTCCCCTATCAAGTCCACTGTGCCGCAGAAACGAATCACATATATCGGTCTCTCCAAGAAAGCAATGCCGCTCCTTGTTGATCTTTATATCCAATTCGAGAAGAAAGCAGATATATATGTAGATGGAACATTGGAAGCTGTTTTATCGGTTTGTTTGTCAATAAGCCGTCTCATATTTTTGTGGTCTCATATATTTCTTGGATCTCAGGCCTACGCGATACCCGTCAAGCTAAAGTACGATTGTCCAGCACCATCCAAATTTGGTAACGACCTTCCTCTATGGAAAACTGCAACAACTAGTTTTCTGCGCATCGTCAAGGAATGTGCTCAACAGATGAAGAATTTGGGTGATGGTAAGTATGAAGATAGATTTATTATATAAGGAGCGTGCACTAATTCGATTTTAGATATACCTGACGAGCGCATTGAGGGAATCTGGAGACAAGTCATTGAGGTCTTCAGAGGTGGTATACTTGCTGACTGGTAGGTACCGCGTCTGAGTTAAAGTCACTTCACACCGCGTTTTGAAGTCTGACTTCTATCTCTTTTACATATAGTTCCGCTGCTGAGAACTTCTCACTCGATGTTCAAGAAGCAGAGGAAAACTTTGACCTCGCCTTGATAGCTGCGTTGGAGATCGATGTTGTGCCACATTTGGGAGATATGAAAGTGCCTGATTATCTTGTTACTCAGCTTGCCAAAATGTTGTACCGAGGCAGCCAGCTATATGATCCAGACCCCAGTTTTTCACCCCCTGGATCGCCCTCTATGAATGGCTCTCATACCTTAGAGAAGGTTGGCATGGAAAACCACGGCAGCACATCTTGGGGAAACCTTGTACCTCGAGAACGGTTTTCATATTGGTGCTTCGATCTGCTGTTCTTGATTTGCTCCGATGTTTCCAAAGGTGTGTCGCTCATGGCCTCGTCCAAGTAGCATATATTCAGAAATGATAAGATCAAGAACTGCAACGTAAGAAGGTGGCTACATTATGTCTACCTTCCTTACTGGACCGGTGTCACACGACGATGATAGGGTATGTAGCGGACGAGTCACTGCGCGGTCATTTACCGTTCCCTAGGTGAGTTATTAAACAAAATTTCGCCGTAGTAATCGCCTAAAAATACACCAGAGTACGAGAAGATGAGCTTCTGTATGTCCTGCGGAAGCTTCTGGAGCTTAGGCTGTGGCCAGGCACGCTATGGGCAGCATGGTCAGATTCCCCTTCGAGACATAGTGCGTCGCAACCCAGTGAGTCAGCCTCGTATTTTGTTACCTACTTTGTATTTACGTTCCTTGACGAAGCTGTTGATGTGTCACTTTCGCCTTCAGCACTGGTTGCAGACGTTGTGAAACGCTCGTCAGTCGCACATCTGTTCCACACATACTCGACTCTTTGTGAAATCGCCTCGATACCCCGAAAGATGCCATCGGCTTGGGTGACGACTCACTCTTCGCTTTCATCTCCAGCTGTCGCAGGAGAAGCTCACCGCAGTCGCATTGGTGCATCAGACAAAGAAAATGGAAAGGTGGTGGAAGTAGACGCGAGGGTACTTGCTAGGGAATGCCTGAAAACGATTGGGAAGGAAATAGGTGCTGCTCGATGAAGGCTTGAAGGATAACGCAGTCAGCAATTGAATACATCCCCGGACAGTCTTACAATGATAATCTTAGCATCCCCGTGCTCACGACAGTTTTTCCCATCAAACCATTTAAACGCTTTTGATACACAATAAATTGGTGGATAGAGCCTTGGATAGAGTTTCTAATGACATCACTTACATATCATCTCATAAGTTTATGAACAATCTGCTCAGACAGATTTTTTGTCCCCAGCAGTACTAAATGGTGTAGGTACGTCTGCACCTATGTCGCCTTCCTTGGCACCAAGCACCTCCATCAGCTCTTTTCTTCCAAACATATGAGCTGTTTGGATGGCATTTGGAGTCCCAATCCTAGGGTCTGCCCCGGCGTTTGCGAGGATATGCACAACCTCGTTATGTGTCTTAAAAACCGCACCCGCTATCATAGATTGACCAAGGTCATTCAATCTGTTCGGATCTCCGCCACGAGCAAGGAGGCCTTTTGTAAGATCAACGTGACCCGCATATGCGGAAAGCATGAGAAGAGTGTTCCCTATAGCGAATGGATCGGGCTGTCAAAACCACCAATTGGTGTGATGCGATGACTAGACGGACCCTTTTCGTTGGTTAAATTGGCGGGAAGGCCTGCATCAACGGCCTGTAGTACTAGCTCTGTATTGCCATTTCTAGCGGCATCAAATATCTTATGGGCAAACTCAACCGTCTCGGCAGGAAGACTTGAGAGATCGGATTTGGGCGTCTGCTGCGTTTCTGTGGCCTGAAAACATAGATAAAGAGTCAACTAAAACAAATAAGACAATTGAAAAGCATCAAACCATTTCGATCAGCTATTCTAGTTGATGGGTACGAGTAGCGTTACTAGCGAGGACAAAACAAACCAAAGGATAGCGACGTTCTATTCTAAACTGGCACCATCGATGATCAGAAAGGTCACGATGGACTAATCCCGGCTTGAGACATTTTAGACAATCTGGTCACACACCCTGGGCGATGGTCCAACGCCTTCATGACTTCTCTGAGCCTTTTCTATTATTAGCCCAATGGAGAATACTGCTGATATGCTACTGATACCCTTTGAACGTGAACTGAAATAACTTGAATTCAGAAACTCTCAAGATGAGAATTGAAAATGGAAGGGAACCTTGATTACGCCGGTATCTCTGAATCCATTGGATGGGAAGAGGGTGAATTAGAATCGAACTGTGAACTTATAATACTTATGCAGGACGACTCTTTCAAAGATGAATCGCTGCTCTGAATCACAACGTCATGTCATGTTTCTGCTATGGTTGTAAGTCACTGATCGCCTTCATTGTTTACCAAAAGTTGAAGGTGATTTTTTAGACAAACAAGGGCCACGTGAGAGGAGGAAAACGAACACCCACACATTTTGCCCGCGATATATATTTTTTTCACAACGCTTACCGTTTGCCATTTTTTTTGTCGAGTTTTCAAAATGAAAAAATCAGTATTGAGCACAGCTTTGTGGTGATATGGATATGTATGAAAGACTGGGAGACATGAAAGTGGCAAGGGAATATATGTGAATGTTCTGTTAGTAACTTTTAAAGTCGTAAATTGTAACCTATGAGAAATGAGAGGTCACATAAGATCACTTATACGGGATGGTATGTGTTCCAATTCGTGAAAAGGAGGAGACTGAAGACTGAAAATTGTGACAGCACGACAAACTCGCTCAAAAATCGTCATCAGCACCACCGCCTCCGGACTGTTGGTTCGTTGCGTTGATCATGGTGGGGTCTTGGTCGAAGTCAACATCCTATTAGACAATCAATGCTCGGTCAGCTCGTGCTACTCGAGCTTCACATCTAGTGCTCACCTCATCATATACGGGATCTTCGTCGCCATCCTCGTCGAGAGGTTCCCAAGGCTGATGGACGTCTGTCCAGCTACATCAAAGCATAAAAGACATCAGCCATAAAACTGGAGATGGAGAAGAAAGGGCAGCTCACAAATCATCGCCCTCTGGTGGAGGCACAGGTGAGTCGCGGAAGAGCCGCCGCGTCAAAGGGAGCTTGCGCTGGAGCTTGAAGAGTGGGGTGTAGCAATATGACCCAGTTTTATGTGATGCTTTGCGGAGGAAGGAAGTTTGGGTGTTCGTCCACCATTCGAGAGAGATTTCGCCACCTGCGGATACTGCGGGGGCAGAGGGTAATGGGACGGAGCCGACGAGGGCGAGAGCTACTTTTTCTGAGCCTGCAAGATAGAATGGAGACGTGAGCTGAGAGTAGGATGGACCACATTAGGAGAAGTACTTTTGTTTGAGAGGTAGAGAGAGTAGGCGGGGCAGGAGAAGACACTGGTGACAAGATATTTGTCTTTGAGGAGAGGTATGTTGTAGAGAGGCTCCAGGATAGTTCCGGGTGGGATGTAAGTCTGGCGTGGAGCGTGCATGACAAGGAGGGCGCCGCGTCTGCCTTCTTGGAACTGCCATTCGCCTTTGAGAGACGCGCTAGCGATGCCTGCGATACCACTGACATCACCCGTATCAGACGCATCGAGAATGATCCACATGATGTCAGCACACGAAGAGATCATAGAGAAATAAAGTACGCACATGTCGGGACCGAACTTGAAGTCTGTGCGTCGTACACCCGTGGAAGAGACGATGAAGTCAGATTCTTCTTCTGCAGTGACGGGCTTGTGTTTACTGAGATCGAGGTTAGGGAATTTGGTAGCGAGGTGAGGTGCGAAATCGGGGTCGTAGATGTTGCCCTCCTTCAGGAATTCGCCTGTCTCTTTGTCAATTGTGCCGTAGTCGCCTGGCTGTAAATCACACACATTAGCTGGAGTAAGATCAAAACAAGCTCTGCACACCTGGACGGGGATTGGGGGATCCCAGTTGGCCCATTTTGCGGATGTCTGGCGGATGAGGTCGACGTATTTTCGTGATGCGTATTTCATGGCGGTTAGTAAGGAAGAGTGGATGGAGTATGATGAACAGGTACTTATCTGGACACATCATGGTTCTCACGACAGGCACGGCCAAGGTGACCCACTCAGACGCGACGCCACGTTCGACAAAAGCAGCGTTCTCCAGCCAATTGGCCAAGGTAAGGATGCTGCGATCACGACACAACGCTAATAATGGGACTTTGTGCTGATCTCAAGTCTTGTCAATACACAGGTTGAACTTGTCGATTACGTAATTCGACGATCATTTTGATCGGGGTTTGTGACTTGTCATGTCGCGTCTCTCACGCTGCCTTCTCAGTGCTGACTTCTCCGCAGCAGACATTGGCAGCCTCAAACGCGTAAAATCAAGCGCACCCTGCACCCTCAGCCCAGCCCCTATCAATAATACCCATTCACTACCCAGAAGAATGCCAAATGGATACATGAGTACGGCATTATCACTCCCAAAACAACACATTTTATATTGACTAGATGGGGCTAGTAACTGTTGTTGGTACCAGTAATCCTGACTGGTAACTATAGGGGTCCAATGTTCCCATCCTATGGCCTACATGGACACAAGACCTGTGCAATACTAATATATCCCTGGCTCTGAATATTGTTGGAATACTTGACATTGATTCTCCAATATACTGTAAATAGTTGTTAATCTCCTGCTTTGTAATTATTGTCTTTTGGTCTCCTTTTTATGTTATCTCTTGAGTTTCACCAAGTTACGGTATGGGCCTTGCACCATAATTCTTATTATATCTGCATAATCTGTGAACCCATCTGAGGCATCTGAACAATCAGTCCATTATTAAATCAGTGTAAAACCCTTTACCACATAATCACTTATTTTATCTCCAACTCATTTCCCACAAACACATCCACTCTATTATTGACAAACTTGACAACACCAGTTGGATAGTCAAAACAAACTGAATCCTACCTTTGCATAGAAGATCTGTGGGAAGTTGTTGATCCACTTGAGGTTATTGCCACAGGTGGCACTGCCCTGACCAACTGGAACAAAAGGCTTTTTATCATATCTAGTTTCCAGTGGGCCCAATGGGAAATCCAGCTGAACAGCCTGGGCCACTCTTAAATTGGAATACAAACAAGATAACCATGCTACCCACATCACTCAAAAAAGCTTCTACTTACTTCCCCACAATGCATCAAAAAGCATCATGGCCTATATATCAATTGGAGGCCATCAACATGTGACCAGTCCTGTTACAATAGACATACCAGCACCTATTCAAGTTTTACTGTTTCTGTACTTTATTTTTAAGACTTTTCATAGTCACATAACCAGTGTCTAGACTCACCATGTGACTGGTCAAACCAAATAATTTGTGTAAACAATGTTGCCACAGTGATTATCACATCATGTGATGCAGTTGTATGCACCTAGGTCGCCCAACAAACAAGCCTAACTATAGTGGAGGATCATGTGTCTCGCCCACTATAGTGAGGTTTGAAATTTGAATTCTCTCAACACCGGTGATAAATACCACCCCAAAAACCTAGGTAAGCTTAGACTTGAGAGTTTTTTTTTACATCTCTGCAAGCTCAGCGTGCCATAACCAAGCTTGCTGTTCTTAATAGCGAGCTTGGTAATCTTGCTCAATTCAATATTTTCAGCCTATTGTGTTGGAGATAGTGTAAGAAATCAAATTTTCTATTGCATTCCCATCATATTGTGGCTACCTGACCCACTCCCTGTTATTCCTCTCACCATTGGATTAGAAATTACAGCTGATATTCTATTACTTTTATCCTTCTTCTTCTTGTTTTCCCTTCACACTTGCGTTCTATTATACTTACAACATAGGAGCCTCCTCTCCAATCCTCAAGAAAAAACATCCCAATGGCGTAGCACAGGTTAAAGGCTGTATCTGGGGATACTTCGGCAAGATATTAATCAGCAATATGGGCTGTGACTCAGTACCATGTCATACCATCCTCTCTTTTTTTCTTATTGGCTCTTTGTTAGTCAGACTATTCTTGATTTTACATAGCTTTGTATTCGTTGCCTGACAGAATATTAAACTCACTTTTCAAATCCTCTTCCAGAAGTGCAACCCTCTGGAAAACTATCTCATCATACCTCAAAAAAACTGTTATTGCCTTTGCACCAGTCTAAACCCTCATTATCACCTTCTCCTCGTCCCTACTATCCCTACTCTCCTCCTCACCCCCCTCACTGACCTCTTACTATTCACACCACCACACCTACCACCATTCAGTCTCCTCAAACTGGACACCTCATCTACTATAAACATTCTTGTCCAATTTTTTGCCCCCTTTGCTATCATCCATTACCTTCAGACCAGCCTCCTCAGCAACATCATCTACCTTCATTGTGTCTACATCCCAATAGCACTCAGACAGGTGGGTATCAGAAGCGGACCACAAACACCAGAGAGATTTCCTTGCAGGTCTCAACAAACTGCTCCCAGTCCTCCCGGTCCCTACCAAAGCCCGTTCCTCAGACGTGGAAGGGGCAGTTGAGCAGATCACTGAGCTTTATCAAGACACATCTGCATCATCTTCTCCCATCAATTCCATCAAGGAACTAGTCCTTGATATTAATGGTGCTCTCACCCTCACCCAATCCATCTTTTGTTACAACCAAAGTTTTTATATTCTGGCGCACAGAAAGAACAAGCAGAGAGGAGTGAGTGAGAGAGTGGATAAACTCCCTTAGGTTTAGGACCGAGTTAGTTGTGGGTGAACAACAGGAGGACTTGCTGAGGAGTCTCCTGGATCTATTGGGTATTTATACTTACTACAGGTTTGTTTGTACATATGTACTATCGTTATGATAACACAATTTTTGGACCTTTCCTTCATTTTCATTCTCCACTTTAACCTTGTATACTTTAGCTTTCACACAGGGTGCCACATGGCACTTCCCCTTTTGTTCAAACTCCTCTTTCTCGCGCCGTGTTGCCTTCTTCTTATTTTAGATACAACTCTCTCACACAGTGGAGCTGGTCATGCGGGCTAGGCCCCATGACATTATCAGCCACTAACATTATCAACTGTACAGTACATAAGTACAAACACTCTGTATTAGTATATATACCCCAATAGATCCAGGAGACTCCTCAGCGAGTCCTCCTGTTGTTAACCAACCAACTCTCTGCAGCCTAAGGGGTAACCACTCCCTATCCACTACCTTTATAGTGTGTTCCTGTGTGCGCCAGAGTAACTAACTCTTGGTTGTTACAACTATACAGTTGATGGAGGCAGTGGCTGACGATGTCATAGGGCACAGCCTGTGTGACCAGCTCCACTGCATGAGAGACTTATATCTAAAATAAAGGAAGGCAGCGCAGTGTAAGAAAGTGGAGTTTAAACAAAAAAAAAGTGCTGCATGGCACAGCATGTGAAAATAAAGAAAAAGGGTTAAAGCGGAGAGTGAAAGTTGAAGGTCCGAAAATTGTGTATTGTAACATCTTTTACTATTCCACCATCTGTAGGAGAAATACTCGGAGCATTGAGGAGGTTCTCCAACATATCAGACAAAGCACAGAGAGAACTTTTAATATCCATATTTCTGAACCACGGACAGGTTCCATTGAGCAACTACTTCAAAGGCAGCCTAGTATGCCCAAGTTACGAGAACACTCAGAGGGTCAAACTTCTGAAAGGAGAGGCTAACATATGTGAAAGAAACTTGCACCTCATTTTTCAGGATTTTATCCCCTCTCTCATGGAACTTTATTGCATTTGCCCTGTTTTGTTTCCTGATATACCCAGCCAACTCATCCCTTACAATTTTGAACACACTTTACCTTGCGGCATTGTTTAGAAAAAAGCCCAATGAAGCACCCACCTACAACATCCCCTCCTCATTTTTTACCAACAACTACTACAATATCTATTCTGCTTTGCCAGTCCATTATCAATCCATTGAATACTTCTGTATTGGCAATCACATTGACAACCTCTCCATTGTTAATTATTTAACACGACTCCGCCATACTCTTTATCTTCCTCAAATCAAAGACCTTGAAGCATTCAGACCGTGTTTTGGTCTTCAACACAGTACCTCTGTCATTATAGTCACACCCACCACCAAAGATCATATTCAAAGAGTTGTTGCCTGTTTAGCCCAATCTGATCAGCTTATTGCAACTGCACAAGAAAAAGCTTGTGACAAGAAAGACTACACTGCCAAATTATACAACATCCGATAAGTCTTCAATTACATCAAGAAATATTATTGAATATTGGTAAATCTCACTCTGTTTGTTGTTAATCAGCAGTTAGACCACCACAAACATTTTATTGTCATGGTCATCCAAATCAACTTCTGGGCCATTGTCAACCAGAGTCAACAAACTTGTATCTACTTGCAGTACTCATCCACATACCAAGGTCAATGAGCAGAAGACAAATAGAAAGCGGCATTTAAAACCAGAAAAGGACTCTTCGAACCCATAGTCATGTTTTTTTCACCAAACGCAGAAATAATTGGATTAGAACCAGGAAGTTTGTTGGAGAGTATAGGCGCAGAATTGGACAAAGGGACAGAATCAGAAAGCAAAGAGTCTGCTGAAGGTGTAGAGTATTGGAGACCTCGAGAGGCAGAAGGAGGTTTTACTAGCAGTTTTATATTTGACCCGGACTTTGATTAAGTTAAACCTGTGTTTTTAATTGCTTAAAAAACTGGAGCCCTACCGAGAACCCTGCCCTCCCGTTACTCCCAAAACACCTCCCACACAATCTCTAGGAGCTGCCGCTGAAGCTCCAGAACCAAACAACTTATATCAATCCACTGAACTGGAAGACTTTCCTCCCCCACCTCAGAATCCACCACCCAAAAATGCAGTGCCTGAAAATTGGTTCAATCAAGAGCCTCTGGACCTTGAACCTGATCTGGCAGCAAAAATGACTGATAAATGCAATCATAGTAGCAAGGCTGTCCTTGTTTCTCCTCCATTTGAATTCATCTGCACAAAGGAGATACATTAACTGGAGGAACACACTAGCAAACTATTTCTTTGCATATCCCAAAAGCTTCCAAACCAACTCCTCTAAAATTCTCTTTGCACTATCCCAAATCTCATCTGACAAAGCCAACAATGCCTGCCACACTTGGAAGGCAGATTTTAACAACAAAACCGCATTCCTAGGAGACTTATTTGCACTACGGAACTGGGGCACTATCTTAGAGTTTATCAAAGAGCTGGATAACAAACTCCTAGACCCCCACCTCAAGTTAAAGGCAGAAATTGTGCTGCACAGTTATGAACAAAGAGATGTGACAGTTGAGACAGTTGACACATACTTCAGAGGACTCGAGTTGAAATTTATGGAAGCAGGATTACCACCAGATGCAGAAGAAAGCTATCTGTTTGTTCACAATTACTCTGCTGAAACCTCTCTCAATTCTTTTGTGATCACATTTTGCAACAGAAAAACCTACCCACTACATATCTAGAGTAGAAGGCAGCAGCCAGGAAATGGGAGCAATGGAATGAAAAACTTAACCTAGAAAGAAGGAGAGACAGACCCCCACAGCAAAGGATGCCACCACAGTACCAACAATATCGACCACATTATCAACAGAATCAAAACTATGCACCGCAGCAGAACCAACAAGCAGTACCGAGTACAGAGACGCAAAGACCACAGTACATTCAACAACGACCATATTATGCACCACCCCATCAGCCACCACTCCAGAATGCAGTCCATTCCAATGCAGTAGGAACATTTGGAGGATCAGGTGTGCCTATGGAGATTGGGAGTTCAAACACACAGAGACAATGTCAGCCCAACCCAAACATTACTTGTTACAATTGTGGTGAGCAAGGCCACATTGCTAGAAATTGTCCACATAGAAAGGTGGCAATACACTATATGGAAACAGAGGAAACCAAAGACACTCCCACTATGTCATCATTAAAGGAGATTAAAGCGCCTCCTACAGATTTTCAGAATGGTCAGGAGTAAGCACAGACTCTCTGACCCGTAATGTTGTATTTAACTCTTGTACATTACCAACAACTGCAATAAAATGAGTTGATCAACATTTATATGCTGTAACTGATGAATATGCAAAGCCACATTCACTGGAATGGTTGGCTAGAAGAATCAAAGACCAGAAGCCAGAAAGAGCAAGGGCTCTACTATGAAATTGGGCCCATAAAGACCACTACAAAAGTATCACTCTACAAGCAATACAGATGCTGAAGAATCGTGAAAAAGAGAATATTATGAAACATATCCATGCCTACACTTTACTGCACAGACCTATGCCAAAATGGAGCCTTCACATCATTCCTCAAGTCACTACCACAGACAATCAACAAATCTTCACTATGCCTATCCTTATCAATTCCGGCTGCACGAACTCAGTTATTGACCAAAGCCTCATTGACAAGTACTGTATAACCTCCACACCACTACCTGTGCCTCTTGATACTGCAGGAGCTGATGGCCAATCCCAGAAAGTAATGTGCTATGTCACTCTCCACATCAACGTGAAAGGGAAGGAACATTTGATGGATGTCATTATAGCATTATTACTTTTGCCATGTATACTACTTGGACATGACTGGTTAATACTTACTAACCCTTCAATTGATTGGCGGGCCAACAAGATTACTTTCCCCACTGATGATTTGGAGTATCATCTTAAAGAAGGGGATAAAATCTTAGCCGTTGATCTTGAAACACAAATAATAGAGATGATGCAGTTGGAACTGAACACTTTTGCCACCAAAAGCCAACAGATAGCCGAGTACTCCGAAAAAGCAAAGTCAAAACTCACCTTCCGAGACATTTTTCCCCCAGTCTACCATAAATTTGAACCTATTTTTACCAAAGAATCATTCAACAAACTTCCCCCCAAACATTCTTAGGACCACGGAATTGAATTAGTACCTAAGGCTAACAGTCTTGACTGCAAAATGTACCCTCTTAGCTGAGACAAACAGCACCATCTAGACAAATTCCTCAACAAAAATCTGAAAAGTGGACAAATCCAAGTGTCCAAATTGCCCTATGCATCTCTGTTCTTCTATATCAAGAAGAAAGACAGTTTGCTACACCCTGTTCAAGACTATCGCAAGCTGAATGAATTTACCATAAAAAATTGCTACACCCTCTCCCTCATATCCCAACTCATTGATAAACTCAAGGGTGCCAACTACTTCACAAAGTTGGATTTACAATGGGGATACAACAATGTACGGATTAAAGAAGGTGACAAACACAAAGCTGCCTTTAGAACTAACCATGGTCTGTTCAAACCCCTTGTCATGTTTTTCGGACTTACCAACTCTCCAGCAACCTTCCAAATAATGATGGACCACCTCCCTGATGTGATGGCAAGAACTGTAAATGAAAAGACTCTAAAGGAATGTGTAAGTATGTGTTTAACTATAATAATGATGTTACTATACCTCAGTCTTTCTGGTAAATGACTGAGGTGTCTAAGGTAGGATGAGTGCGCTTTACTGTATCCTAATTAGGAAACTTATGTAATGTATCAAAATGTCGGAATAGTTGAATGAAAATGAATGAAAGAATGGAAAATCTATAGTAGTACCCATGATATGCCAACACTCCCCTCAGAGAATTGATCACAGAAGAGAAGGTTATTGTTTACCTAGACAATATCATGATCTTCACAACAACTCTCTGTTATGCACGAAGTGCTTAACAAAGTCTTGGGTCTTTTCCTGAGGAGTTTATCTGAGGCTTATCTGAAGATAAGTTTGAGATTACAGTTCTGAATAGAGGTTTTTATGAAAGATAATCTTCTTGTTCTTCCGGTAGGAAATCTGCTTCTTAGAGTCTAGCTTTGTAAGCATAAACTATGTAGAATTGTATTGAGGAGAATACTACTATGTGTACTTAACTATATATAGGTAAAGGCTTCAGTGATAGGGGTTACATCCTATCTAGGGCCGGCTTGTCTGTTGAAGGACTTAGTACTATGTGTACTTAACTATATATAGGTAAAGGCTTCAGTGATAGGGGTTACATCCTATCTAGGGCCGGCTTGTCTGTTGAAGGACTTAGTACTATACAAGGTAATATGAATGCAAAGAAGTATTGTGAAAGAATATGAGTCATCAGTCCGATGGTATAACCAATGAGTAAAGGAAAATGACTAGTCCATGAAAGAGAAGTAAAAGCGAGTTGTATCTAAAACCAGAAAAATGCAAATTTGCAAAACAGAAAGTTGAGTATCTGGGCATGATCATTTCTAAAGATACTATTCAGATGGGCCCATTGAAAGTAGCAGCAGTAGCTGACTGGCCAACGCCAAGGAACAAAATAAAACTCCAATTATTTTTAGGATTCTCTAACTTCTATCAACAATTTGTCAAAGACTGTGGGAAAATTGCGAAGCCACTCACGACACTCACTGGGAAGGTCAACTGGACTTGGAAAGAAGAACAGGCAATATTCTTTGAGACTCTAAATGAAACACTCACAACAGCCCCCACCCTTATAATACCAAACGACAACAACCCTTTTAAACTAGAAACAGACACCTCTGACTTTGCTGTAGGAGCCATCCTATCCCAAAAACAGAACAACAAGTTCAGACCAATTACATTCCTTTCGAAAGACCCTACCCTGCTGAACAAAATTACAAAATCTATGACAAAGAAATGCTTGCAGTCATGACTGCATTAGATGAATGGCAACATCACCTTGTAGGATCAAAACATCCCTTCACCATCTTCACAGATCACCAAAATCTCCTCTATTTCTGCCAACCCCAGAAGTATAATTGATGTCAGGCTCGATAGTCCTCTCAGCTTGCATATTACAATAGGCTGAAAATATTGAATTGAGCAAGATAGCCAAGCTTGGTGTTTTGGCATCACCATATACATATGGTGTGTGAGACTTGTTTGTAGATGTAAGTACTATGAAGGAGCCATCAGCACCTATTTCATGCTGAGCTTGCAGAGATGTAAAAAAAACTCTCAAGTCCAAGCTTACCTAGGTTTTTGGGGCGGTATTTATCGCTGGCGTCGGGAGGATTCAAATTTCAAACCTCACTATAGTGGGCGAGACACATGATCCTCCACTTTAGTTAGGCTTATTTGTTGGGCTGTACTACTAGTATGTGCTTGCGGCCTACCTTAGTCACAGGCTTAGTGCTTTCCTATATAAATCACTTGTTATCAGCACACATGGAAATCTTGACTCGGACAGATCCGAGTGACTCTCCTATAATGCCCTTTGATCCCTTCGTGTGGTACATGCATTAGCTCCTTTGGTAATCTGTATAGCACGCCACTCGAACGTCGATAGCGCGTTCGATAGGCTTGTATGGGGTATTGGTCATCCTAGATTCTTTAGAAAGTGTCCACGTCCAGTGGTCTAAAAGCTACACGAGGTCGAAGCCATTTCCCAGGGGAAACCCAAGATTGAATAAATAATGCCTCGTCGATTACACTCACCTAGTGTCATTCGAGTAAGTAACTCAACGAAAGCCTGAGACACTTGCCGCTCTTCTGCATATATACAAGACTAGTACCCGATGGAATCGCGCTGCGCTGGTGGGGTTGTAGATTGGAGATATTCCTATCAGCGCATGCCAACTGAAATACGACGGAATTGTGCATCACATCGAAAACTTCAATGGTAGGATCCGATTAAAACTAGTAATTATATAAAGTTTAGGCGCCTAAACCATGCCTAATCGGATTGCACGTCGAGCCCCACCGCTTAGGCAACTCCATGGGTCTTTCTGCAACGTATCTTGTCGCCCGGTACAAGTTTGCATCGTCCATGACCATCTTAGTTTGCTATGCGCCGCCGCAGGACAGCTTGCTCACCAACTTTGTAATTCCGCATTACGGTATAGTCGCTTTTTCAACCTTCAATTAGCCCCCTTTGTGCTTCTGTGCTGGATATATATTAATAGCGTTTCCGAAGAACATGAGGATCACCTATCGAAGAATTTTCCCTCTCTTTCATCTCTTCTCATTCGCCTAGTCAACGATTTGTAATGGACCTAATGGACATACTCGATATTCTTCGTCAGTATAAGACCGCTGAGAGCTTGGGAGGATTGGTCTTGCTCGCTATCCTAGGCAGTCTTGCCCGTAACAGGCTCTCGCGGTCCAAGCTACCACTACCTCCGGGCCCGCCTGGTCATTGGTTATTCGGGAACACGTTGCCCAGGGTCAAGTGAGTTTTCACAAGTTACACGAATCGTCAATTAGCTGTGGTTTATTCTATCCCTGTAGTCAATCACAAGTGTTTGCAGAATGGATCAACCAGTATGGGCCTGTCATATCGTTGAAGCAGGGAAAAAAGATCATGGTTATCATTGGTCGACATCAGGTGCGTATCCACTTCGACAAGACTAGTAATTGTCGCTCACATTGAATGGTTGTATAGGCGGCTGTAGACATCATGGAGAAAGAGGGCGGGTTATTGGCAGATCGTCCTCGTGCTGTCGCAGCCGGAGAAATACTTTCAAGAGGTTTACGAATGATTCTCGCGCCAGCTGGGGAACAATTCAGACGATTGCGCAAGTATGATGGTCCAATAGCAATATAAACTTTAAATAATAATTGTGTTACGTCGTCAGAGCCGCTCACACGCATCTCCAAGCCAAGGCAGCAGAATCCTATGCTCCCATCCAGATGGACAGTGCAAAAGACGTGATTTTGGACATTCTCGACAACCCAAAGCAGCACATGCAGCATACAAGACGGTACGTTTCAGTCGATCATTTCCCCTTGAAATTTCTAAGTTGCTTTCAGATACGCAGCATCTGTGATTCTCAAGGTCACTTATGGAAAGACAGCGCCAACGTCGCACACGGACAAAGAGATCATACTCATCCATACAATGCTTCGTCGTTTCCAGACTCTTATGCGCCCTGGAGCTCTATATGTAGAGGCCTATCCTTTCTTGAAATATGTTCCAGGTTATGCCAGCTATCTGGAGACATGGCGCCGAGAAGAATCGCAGTTGTTCCATGAACAGCTCGATCGTGTACGAGGAGAGCTGGTAAATATTGTTCCTTGGTGTTGAACTACTGTCTTTCTTAAACCACATGTTTTATCTATCAGGCTGCGGACCAAGCTGGGCCATCTTTCGCTAGGTATCTTTTGGAGCATCAAGATGAGCACAAGCTATCAAATGAAGAAATGGCTTATCTTGCGGGTTCACTCTTCGGCGCTGGTTCAGATACGGTCAGTAGTCCACTTTGGTGACTTTTTCTCACCCGACCTCATATTGATTGCATATATCGTGCCTCAGACAGCTGTAGCTCTGACTGTTTTGATCATGGCTGCCGCACGCCATCCAGAAGCTCAGGCTAGAGTTCAGAAAGAACTCGATGAGGTGGTTGGACGCGACAGAGGTAACACACTCTGTTCGCGTCAGGTTTGATACTGATATCATATAATATTTCAGCCCCAACATTCGATGATCAGTATGCACTTCCCGAGATCCAAGCCTTCATGCTTGAATGTTTACGATGGAGGCCAGTAACGACACTAGGTATGTAAAAGTCACCTTATATGGCATTCTGTTAATTATGATTCAAAATTACTAGGTTTTGCACACCGTGCTCTCAAAGATATAGTATATGTGCGTCGTCCTTTGATTTCCTATATGGGCTGCTCGGTGTTAACGCACAGCTTCAGAAAGGCCAAGTTATCCAACTGGCGCCGTTGTGTTCGGAAACCACTGGTACGTGTTTCATGTTCGCGCTCACCATCGGGATTTACAGCTATGTCCATTCCGATTCTGCTGTACAGGGCGATATCTCGTGACCCATCGGTATATCCAGACCCCGACAAGTTCAACCCTCAACGATGGTTGAACAGCAAAGGCCAGGTCAAAGATGATCTGAAATTCCCAAGCTTTGGCTTCGGGAGACGGTAAAGGAGCCTTATTTGATATATTCGCACTGTACTTACGGGTATATCGTTTCTATCTCATCCTTAGTATTTGCCCTGGCCAGCACATTGCCAATCGGTAAATTCAAACTACCGTGGTATCACACTTGAATTTACTAAGTTCTTTCGCAGGTCCATTTTCATCAATGCAGCACTTCTCCTATGGTCATTCCATATTTCGGAAGATCCATCTTCTCCCATCGACGATAAAGGATTCGTGGACGGAGTAATTGCACATCCCAAACCGTTTGACGTGGTATTTACGCCCAGATTGGGAGATGCCAAGCAAATAAGAGCTGCTATGGAGAAATATGCCGAGGATATTTAAAATAGGAATATAGCTCTGTTTAGGATGTATATGCCTACAGTAGTGTTGTATGTAACTAGCTACCTACAGCCACTTTTCTAGGCACTTGTAGAGAAACGATGCGTCCATCAACGTCCATCCTTCGCTTTCATGTTTATCTTGTATGTTTGCCTTGCACTATTTAAAGACACATCTTGCCTCACATTATCAATTATTTGGAGAGATTTGAGCTATCTAGCTATTTTGTGGAATCTGACCCACTGTTCCACTTATTTCCACTTTCCTTCACCTATTTTCAAAAATGCTCAGAGCGTCCAAGATAACGGAATACACAACTCGTGCGTGGTTGAATGCTGCAATCAAAATCAACATACACGAAGGACAACCATGGTTCACAATTATATTCAACTTTCGACGTCTTGACAATGACGTCAGAGATGACCACGTGGTTATCTAATCTTATCCTTAGACGTCACTCCTGATACGCCATATAAAGTCTTGCCCCTCTCTGCGAGTTTGCTTTGAGCCTCTTATCCACTGAACCTCACAGACATGTTCTCAAACTCAAACGCTCAATTTCAGAATGGTTGACTTCGTAAAAGCAAATAATACGTTTGTGTCCCAGCACAGTGAGAAGATGCATGAGGTTTCTAAACTCGGTCCTCCACCCTCAGAGCATCTTATCGTTTGTATGTGTAGCCTGATATTCCCCTCTGATATCTTGCTAATCTACCATCAACTCAAGTGACCTGCATGGATGCGAGACTGAAGTACGTGTTTTAATAAACGGTGCAACCTAGAGTAACTGGTAATGACTATTTGTTAGCCCGTTCAAGTTTCTCGGTCTAAACGAAGGTGAAGCCCACGTTATACGTAACGGAGGTGGATATGCGTATGTACTCCGCTTGTTTATTCTACGTCCAGTCCATGTTGAAACGCCAGATATTTTCTCTAGAAAGGACGCCCTCAACAGCATCATCCTGTCTCAGCAATTCTTGCAGACCCGTTCTATCGCAGTAATTCACCACACAGATTGCGGGATGACTCACTTTACGGTGCCCGAACTGCGTCACAAGATCCTGGAGACGCATGTAGGTAAGCTGAGTCCCGATAAAGCTAGCCAGGTAAAGAAGGAATATGTTGAGTTGGAGGAGAGGCAAGCTTTCCGTCCATTCAAGGATGTGGATGAGAGTGTAAAGGAGGACGTACAGTTCCTGAAAGTGAATCCAATGGTAAAAAGTGAAGAGGGGAGCATAACGGGTTGGGTGTATGAGACCGAGAGTGGAAAAGTCAGTCGATTAGATCTCTCTGCAAAATATCGAGCTAATGGGTGGGCTTTGCAGATCCGACGGGTGGTCTAACCAAAAGTAGTGTATAATCACTTCGATTTCTGAATAGCTATAAGCCGTAATTTATCATTAATGTTGTACTCGTGTGAAATATGTATATCATTACTCACCTCGAACTGTAGGAAGATGCAGAGCAGAAAGATCATACGATCTGAATGCTACGTGTGTTAGGCCAATGACAGCCTTCCAGAATTCAAAAGCGTAGATGCATTACCAGCATTACAGCTGATATTGCAGGGATGATCAAGTGGAATTGGAACTTCCACCATCCTATATCAAATTCAAAGGCGTTTGCTCCTCGAGCATGTTCTCTCTGGTCATGGTGTGTATTACCATCCTGTTCAAATTGAGGGTTCCCAGCTGTGAAAGAGGATACCATTGATATATGAGGTACACCAAACGTGTATATAACTTGGATGGTAAGTTTCCACGATGAAGGACTAGAAATAAAGGTGCAAGTACAAAATGTACCGATTCATGCATATCAGTGTCATTATCATTATACAACTCTTCGGACCTGTACGACATACATCAGCTGTGAATCAGCAAGGTAAAAGATAAATATTTAAACTATATACCTTTCCAGTGCTTGTTTCGTACACCCAGCCAGAAACGGAGCCTTCTGTGGTGAACACCAGGGGATGGCCCTGCAATAAAGAGACATCTTCTCTGACACTCTGGTCAAGGTCTGTGAACGTCCTGAATTCGAGCTTGTTTAACTCGGCCTCTGCGGCTTCGCCTGGTGTTTCCGCGAGCACTTTAGCGTGGAGGAGGGGAGGAGTGAATGTGGCCATTCCGCAGTCTGTGTGGTGGATGACGGCGATATTTTGGGTGCCGAGGAGACGCTGAGAGACGACGATACTGTTTATGCCATCATTGCTAAAGAGGACAAGGAGATGAGTGGAAAAGCATAGGGAAGGATGGGTTACGTACGCCGAACCGCCCGCATTGCGGATAACATGAGCATCACCGTCACCAAGACCTAGAAACTCTGCAGGGCTGGAAATCAATAGGTTAATAATGGAAAGATGAAGGCGCAGTAGGAAACTGACTTGAGTCTAGCATCCATACATGTGACTGCACGTGGGATTATGGGTCAGTACTAGTAGGATGATTGTTGGGAACAAAAGCACGCACCTACGATGAGACGCTTCAAAGGAGGAGTGGTCAGTACCGAAAGGGTATTTGCTCGTTCTTCTGAGAGGCTGTTCACGAATTGCTGGTTTGAGTGGGTGAAATCGACCATGGCTAGGGGTTGTCAATGTGATTGGCTGTGAGACTGGAATACCAAGGAGCGCTAGCTTTATACTATGACGGCGAAACGGTTGCGACATGGCGTAACATAATGACACAAGAACTGGGGCCGCATCATATCGAACAGATGACCTACATAGATACATCCATCAATAGTAGCAGTGGATAAGTTTGGATTTAGAGAACCGACTGACATCGTGCGAGTCATCGAGTTTTGGTGTAGCTACGTACCATTGAAGCGTGCTTAACCAATCGGAGCCTATACGCAGAAGTTAGATAAGAAATATTACGTTGTACTGCCACTATCTTTCTTGGAGATCCTAAACGACACCTGGGACAAGGTTCGAACAGATTCGAAGCAAACTCTTCTGAGTATGTATATATGGCAAGTTCAACGACACACACCGCAATCAACAATCAGGAATTTCATTCTAGCCCTCAACCTTCGGTTATCACATCAGAGAAGATACACTGCCAACGATGGAAGTTGGAAGTTGGGCGGCGCAAAAAAACATGGCGGGAGTTTCCCGGAGGCAAATCAACTTCAAAGAGAGTCTCTTGCAATCAAAACCACATCCCATTACCGATCTCAGGTAAATATGCGTCATTTAGCCATAGTATATGCCTCCATCCACTGATATTGTTTGTCCTGCCACATAAACAGCAACGTTATCCACCGTATTCTGATATGGCCAGCGTGAGACTTACCTGTGACATAAGAAGAATCCTTAGATGCGATAAACGAAACTACGCCTGCAATCTCATCTGGCACACCGGTACGCTCTATGACAGGGCGACCAATCGACTACGGGATCAGGCTGTGAGTCAGTACTGCAGCTTTGCTTCACACCATCGGATTGCATACCATAGTATCTGCTAAATCCATCACTCGCAGCTCGTCCAATCCTAGCATGAGGGATGCACCTTGGACTAGTGAGACTAAGTAAGCACCTGATATTTTGCATCCAGCTAAGGGCGAACGTACTCATTGCGGTATCAGTAATGCCGGGAGCGTAAGCATTAACCGTAATATTGTGTTTTGCAAATTCTGTGGCTGGAGAAATTTGAATTATCAAGGAGTGGCTACAGCGACGCCACGACGTGAACACACGAAGGGCCAACCTGAGACTTACCAGCAGTTTGAGTCAAAGCCTGGACAGCAGATTTACTAACGTTGTATGCACAGCAGCCCCTAGCAGCTATTATAAAAATCAGTAACGTATTTTTCTCACTATCTTGAGACAACGCTTCTACCTCTTTTCCCGGCAATAGATGATGCGCCTGCTCATGACACGGACTGAGTAACAAAGCGACAAATCTCTTAGAGACAATAGTGCCAAGACGTACCTATGATTCTGCCTCCCTTGCCTTGATTTATCATGGCTTTAGCTGCATGTCTGTAGCAAAACAGTACACCCTTTACGTTGACAGACAAAATGTTATCAAAATCCGCCTCCGAAACTGTTTGATCAGCAACTTGGGACCGAACAACAGAACTGTGCGCTTACCATCTAACAATGATTTGGCTGAGGCAATGCCAGCATTTGCAACCATCTGAACGTTGGTTGGCATTATATTCTTGGACAGTATCAATGCCACGAACCACGTCAAGTCCCCCAAAGGTTTCGACGGTCTTTGCGACAAGATCTTCGACTTGTTCTTCCTTTGAAACATCGGTAGGAACAGATAGGGCCTGTCTGCCCTTCCTTACTATCTCGGATACAGCGTCGTCCATTAATGTAATTTTAGAGTCGAGGTCTGCAAGGACAACGTTGAATCCGTCATCAGCAAGTCGCAGAGCTATGGCGCGACCGATTCCCTGAGCAGCACCAGTTACGATTGCAACGCGGATGGTAGACATGGTACGTGAAAGACGAGCTAGGTGTGAACTTCGAACTTTGAACTTTATAGTCATCCATTCAGCGCACAGCAATTCCTCCAGGATAGATATGTGAGATGGGAACAAAGTGATGCCCGATCCATATCCCGGCCAGGCGATGGAAAAGTCCAGGTAATCTGATGGACTCATTACAATGCACGAAAGGCTCATAATAACATAGATCACCGAACACGATATTCGTCTTTCGAATTGCAGTCAAGTAATGCTAAATAGAGTAAGCCTGAGTGTAAGTAGGTGTATGCCAATGATATCCCGTGACCATACATCGACAAAAAGGCCATGGCACTACTGTGAACTTACTAGCCTGCTCGGGAACATCAGAATGATACAAATTGGATGCCCTAAGTTACCGTTCGAAGTCACGGCCGGCAGCTATCTCTCTATCCAATCGTGATATCAGAATTTAGCATCCAAACACTGAGCGCGTGATGTAGGACTCGAGTCCAGATAGCAGCTGACAAAGTGACTAGATATTACTAAGATAGGCCTCACCCACAATCGACGCCATCACATGACGTGACTTGGCCTGTGACAGCCAGGTCTAATCGTAGCGGCGCCAATCCCCGACTCCGGTTTTGATTCTGCACTGGCAGTAGTTACTTCACTTCTAGCAAGTCACAATCCCAAGATATTTGACGTGGTTACAAAAGCATCAAGAAAACAAAGGAACCTGAGCATGGCATCCTTATTCAACCATGTAAAAAGTATTTTTTGTCAAACTTCTTGCTAGGGGATTACAAACCCAGCTTAGAACTGAGCTTGGATTCACTACCTATTCAGTATATAAACCCCTGTATAACAGTAGGAAAGGACAAGTTGAATCTACTCTTCAATTCCCTGCTATCATCATGAAGGAAGGCCTCAATCCTATCATCTGAGGAGACTATCACATCCATAATCCAATCTCTATTAGGCGATTATAGACCAATGAACAATTGATGGTAGCATAACATTAGAGTTAAATTACAATTATAATGGAAGGCCAGATCGTAACACTGTCATTGTCAGGCAGACACCTCAGACCTTCTCTCGAAGTCTTGAGGTGAGATACTTTTATGTTAAACTTACAAGTACTTAGCTTATACTTCATTTTCAGTCTATTATCTTACTAGATCAATTACACAGACATTATTAGACATCATATAAAAGTTTGAATGATATTCAGGATAATATATAGCATCATCATAATAAGGATAACTAACTATTTATACTGTGAGGTACGAGCTTAGAAGGGCAATGCACCTTGTCAAGAACGTGTGGAACACAGCAAGGCAACTTTTCAAGGAACGTCTGCAAGCCAAATATGTAGCAGGTGCGGGATAGAAGGGCAACAAGGGACAAAGACAAAGAAGTGTAAAAGAAAAAAACATAATATTGAAAGAGCAACTTTTTATTATGCGAGATAAACTATATAGTATACACTAACAAATATTACCGGAAAAATGAAAGAAACCGGTGTCATGCACCAAAGTTGATTGGTAGCATGGACAGGTGTCAATAACGAAGCGAATATTCAAAAAGACTCGCCTTTGCGCCACACAGGCACAGTGCCACGTGGAATAGTAATTAATATTGCCCTTTTTGAACTTGTGGCTGATCAGCACCACCTCTATTAGGCAATCCAGTCACGCTCACCTTTGCTTTTCCATCCGGTACTTTCCGCGTTTCGGCATTTCAGCAAATTTTCGCGTCGCCACTGGCTACACATTGCATTGCGCCCTCGCTTTTGTCGTTTCCCTTACTCCCCTTCCTTTGCCTAGCCCCACCATGGGCCCCTTCCTCTCCTTTTTATTCTCACCCGACGGTCGTTTCTGGGTCCCCATTTTAGTTCACCTCCTCGTCACCTCCACCCTCCTCCTCCTCATCTTCTTTGCACCCCCACCATTTCTGATGTCACCACTTCCTATCCGCTTCCGTCGCCGATCCGTTGACTACCACGTGCCACTGCTGATATCAGCAAAGCCCCGGCGGCCGGTCCAAATTGGGCAACAGGTCCATCTTCATGACGTCGATCTGCCATCATATACTATCAAAACATTGGTCGCTCGTCTTGCCTGGTTGGAGCGTGGGTGGGTAATTTTTGAGCTGGAGAAGGTTCATCCCCTTGCGTCGCCCATGTTCATCGCTGTCCCATTCACTTGGGTACACTTATCATTTGTCCATCGTCTTCGCTACAGCTACACCTACCACACGCTGCCTGGGACTCACTTGTTCCAAATTGGAACTACTCCTCTCCCTCCCTTGTTTGATCAGGTGGTCCAACACAACCAATCCATTGGTAAGGCCATGGAACTGTCGGATTTGGACTAGGTGGTGGACCGGTGGCTCCAGTTTCTTTTTTTTCAGCAGAACATTCATTTACAGTGCGATTATTTTTGATTTTTGAATCATTTTTATGGACACATATTTTTTTAGAATGCCTGACTGACAATAAAGGAACTGTGTTGATACTGATAGTGTTTTGCCTTGCTCTTTTTTTTACTGCATCTTCCCATGACATCATGATTTTCCTGCTCTCTTTTTGCTATTGGACTTTACTTTATGGCTGTACAAACCTGTGATATTACTCACAGCATTTATTGTTCTATCCCTTTCTTTTCTTTTTTTGACAATCTTATCCTGTACTACCTACGCAGGATTCGTCAGCGTACATTCCTTCCTTCATATTCTTTCTCATTCTTTTTGCACAGCTATACTGTGCATAGCCTACTTCTCTTTTACTATATAAACCCCTGTATTTTACCTTGTAAAAAAAAAAAAGAACTCCAATCCAGACTTCTTCTCTACTCTCAAGTTCACTACTCTGCTACTTGTGATCCAGTGTGGTCACAACACTTCCCACTGCTACCACTGTCAACTGCTGTCATCATCACTTCCCATTTTTGAAGTTATTGTCATCCCTTTCGATTAGAGTCCTTCTGAGCACTACAGTTTGTGCGTCAGGAGCCTGCTATCACTGGGAACCTCGTCATATTGTCGTTCTCAAACCTACCTTGTGCTACGATTAGCAAGGTAGTGCTCGTCTATACTCATCACAAAGCCCCTATCCTTCTATAAATTCAACTATCCCTCCTCCTCAAAACCCACACTCATACACCTCTGGGTTTTACTTTGAAGGATCCTCATATATACCACCCCACGAACAACCAGAGCACCCACTGTTCTAGGAGGCAAAGCCCATAAACAAGTTCCGTGGAATCTGGGAGGATTGTGTGTTAGTTTGTTTTTGTGTGTGGTTTTCTAACAACAGTTCTTATCATCGACACCGGTCCCTGTATATTATTTTGCACATCAAAATATAAACAACTGTGACAACACCAACAAGATGCAATCTTGGGGCACTGGAGCACAACCTCAAAGGCTACAACTCAAGGAATAAAGGTACAACATATTAAAGAAGGGAGATTGTCTTCACTAATGTTGGTATACACTAGGAGAGGACTTGCTGAGTCCTTCCCCATGTATTGCTCAGGTATATATATACTACAATACATAAGGTACTGTACAGTTGTAAATAAAGTTTAAAGTTTAATGTCTAGCATGTGATCAGTCATATGATGAGTCTAGACACTGGTCAGGTGGTGACTTGGAAAATAAAGAGTAAAAGTACAGAAAAGTAAAGTGTAAGTAGGTGCTGGTATGTCAATAGTAACAACGGCTGGATGGATTGATGCAACAGAGAACCATCCCTTCCTTTAAAAGAGCTGGGGACTGCAACTTATGAATTATACACACAATGAATCTGCCGTACCAGCGACAGTAATGGTTTTATTGGTGGGTATGGATACCACTTCTATAAGTAAATTAGTCTCTTGTTATCTGGCTTGCACATTCTTTCTATATCAATTATAAATATTGTAGTTCCTGTACCTGCTTTTAATCACTAGTCAAAGAAGAAGAAAAAAAATATTAAAAGGAAAAAAAAAGGAAAAAAAAAGGAGCTATGATATCATTACAAATATTAGATACTGTGCCCCCCACCTCAACCACAATTGAAGACTCCCATGCTGCTCAGCTTGGATTATACCCAGGCTCATGATTATCAATGGCTTTCACAGACCCATTGGCAACTTTCTCAGATCTCCCTGCAACTTCTTCTTTGCACCAGCAATCTGTCCCCATAAGTTACCAACAGGCCCTTTTATCAGGTCACTGGGAAGGTTATACGTCAAACCCTCTTGGCTAGCTCCCTTTACAAGCTCCTTTATGTGTCTCAGACAGCCTCATAGCACCAAGCACTTTTTATTGTGAGTGTATTATATAAAATGACCTATTTTTACACTAATTAACCTGATATCTATGTTATAGCTATTTTTCCAGCCCATGCCCCAAAACTGTAAGGACCATTTTATTATTTTCTTATCTTCGCTATGTCTTGGTTCTCAAACACTTTTCCCGTTACACCTCTGGCTCTAGGGCTAGAGGTATTATTTGCCGTTTTACTTCTCATAGCCCTCACAGGCTTTCTTAACCATTGCTACCATTTTATATCACAGATCAGAGACTGGGTATCGCTCCCGGCCAGCCAGCACACTGGGTAGGGACTGGTAGTAGGCATCTCGCCAACCAGCTCCAAAGCCCCAGTAAAGCCTGGATACACTAATAAACGCCTTATTCAGGATTGTACCTCATTATGAGGATACGGTTCCTGAACACGCGTAACAAACCTCTATTATTAGTACAAATCTCTCACCGCTGATTAATCAAGTTAAAAGTTGTACGATAGTTGTTCTCCCTTTTTCTTATTGGCCGATTGATTCCTCAGACCACTTTTCGTATATTCTCCTTTCGGTCTGAGGAATGAACAGTTCACTATATAAAGCCTTACCTATTCATGTATGGCTCCTTAGTTTTCTATTACTGAATTTACCCGCTTTACTCCTCAACAAGAACCTTTGAAGCTTACCTCTCAAAGTCCTCTACTCGCTATATTTACTAGCGTCTGTCGACCTCAAAGCTCATCAAACCCCTTACTCCCTGCAAGTGCAGAAGGAGACAGGTTTCGTTTTTGTTATAGTTTATCGTTGCCTCACAAAAACCTGTCAAAGAATATTGGTCATCACATGGGGTGCTATAATATAGCTTGATTATTGTAAGTCTCTATCTTTTTCTTTCTGTTTATATGCTGATAATACTCTATATAATCATCACTCACCCTTTTTTCCTCACCTTA